AAATCCGTTCATAAATATGCGATTGTGTGGGTAGATGCGTAGGTGGAAGCGTAAACTTAAAAAACCCCACACACATATACAGAGAGAGAGAGAGAGAGAGAGAGAGAGAGAGAGAGAGAGAGAGAGAGAGAGCGTGTGTCTTAAAGAAAGAGGGAGGGAGAGAGATAAGGAGAGAGAGAGCATGTGTCTTAAAGAGAGAGAGAAGGAGCGCGTGTGTTTTAGAGTGAGAGAGAGAGAAAGCGTGTCTTAAAAAAAGAAAATAAAATATCTGGGAGAAAGAAATAGATAACATAGTAGTCATCCACAAAAAAATTTAAACATTTATTTTGGTATAAATTTCGTGAAAGTCGAACAACAAATGTGGAAGTAGTTCGCGGTAATACAAAAAAAGAATTAATTTTTTGTGTTAAAACGGATTTAATATAGACTATATGAGGACCGCGCGAAGCGCGGTCCGAAAAGCTAGTATTTATATATGTACTTGTCTGATAGCTCAGATTTTAACAAATGTATGCTTAGCATAGAAATAACAATAAAAATAATAAAATATACAAGAACGGAAATATACAAGAGCAGAAATATAGATCAAGAACAGCCAGGAAAAAAGAACAATATGCAATTTTTAATGTAGTAAAATTTACGAACATGTTTTTATAATATATGTATGTGAAAATCAAAGCAGATATATCGATGAGATGAAATCTTTTCGTAAGTTTTATTGAATAATAAGTAATTAATTTTGTGTATTATTGTCATTTTCATAATAAATTTTCTATTAAAATACAGATAATATAATTATTAAAATTCAGAGAAATATTGTTATTTATGACAATTAGAGGATCAATATAATTTATGTCCTTATAAATGTCAATAAAAAATGTGAAGAACAAGATATTTATATTACTTATTGTTAGATCGATGTTAGCAACTACAAAATCTAAACAAAGTTGACATCATAACTTTTTGATAATTATTCTTATTTATTTTCGACATGTGGCCGTTACTTTTCTCTTGAAACTTTTGCTAAATTATAACAATTAAGAAGTACGATTAAATGTCTAGTACTTTTAGAAACATTATAATTTTAAATGACAAATTGATATGATAATGGTATCTTGTGTCTTTCTCGATCTTCATATATATGTGGTTCGACAACTAATTAAAATAAAATAAAAAGAATATGTAGCATAAAATTGTATAAAAATATCGTAAACTTTAATAATATCTAATAATTATTATGTAAATGAGACGATAATGTCGATGTTAGCTTGCCTTTGGGCATAAATTTAATGATATTAAAAATCACCATAAATTTGTAATTATATTACTAATCATTTTATCGTACCAAAAATTAACAAACATTATAAATTGCAAGAAAAAAACACTGCAGAAAAGTTTATCTCATGAAACAATGTACTTAAAAATTACTTATAATTTGATTAGGTATATTATAATTTGTGATAAGTTTATTTTACCAGATCGTAAATGGTTGTCTCTTGGTTCGTTACACGTACAGCGATGATAGCACGACAATAGTTATTTATAAAATGTTGATCTGCCTGATTCTTACTGACTTATTCGCACGAAATTATTTATCTACCTGTAACTTTCATGGGTCATTATATATCCTATATATTTATTTACATTATTTTCGATACTTTTATTTTTTAAATTTTTGTACTGCTCTTTTTTTTACTTAATCTAAGTTGTGCTAAAAAACTTGATGGAATGGATACAAAAGCTAATAATTTATTAATTACCAAAATTAAGATACTTATTTTCCATTATTTTTGTACTAATATAATTGGCTTTGTTATATTATATTCTTGTTTTTAAATTTAACGATATTAAAAATCACAGTAAATCTTTAATTATACTATTACTAATCTTTTTATTGTACCAACATTTATAACAAACAAATTTCAAAAAAAAGGCACCAAAGAAAAGTTTGCTTCATGAAGCAATGTATTTGTGAAGTACTAATAATTTTATTATATTATAATTTGATAAGTTTATTTTACCAGATTGTAAATCAAATGATGTCTTTTTTTTGTTACACATACAGCGATGATAAAAGATAATAACGAACACGCGTATGGCTTCTAAAAAATATGAACAAGTTATTTATAAATAAGTGTCGATGACTTTTAAGGACAATTAATGAGAGGATGAATAAAATTTAAAATATATGTATAAATTCTTAAACTTTTTTAATCTTTAAAACTTATGTGAGAAAAATTCATAAAATGTCGGGATGCAAAACATACATATTTTATTGCAAATAAAAAATAATAGAACAAAAAAATGTTTAATATGAATAAATTTCTTTTATATATATATATATATATATATATATATATATATATAAAATATAAAATTTTAAATAAGGAATTAGAAGCCATTCGCAGAAATTAACCACATTAATAAACTAAACAAAAATTAAAATTAGTAACATAATAGTTAAGAATTATTACATCTTGCAATAAGATAAATATAGAACACATAAAATAATAATTTAAAATAATAATATACGATGTTGAATAATGTTATGTCATTATTATTCCTTCGCAAAATTTTCCGCGAGTAAAATTAATTTCGATTTTCGGCAAAAGAAATCTAATTCAAGATTTAATAATAATCAACTAAAAAATTTAATGAGAAATTTTAATAAGAACCTTAAATGTGAATAATTAAAATACAATCACATATAATTTACCGCTAAAACAAAAACGAGAATTTTTTTTGCTGCTTTTTTGAAATTCTCGCGTTTAATGTTTCCGCAAAAAATCTAGTGGAAATATATAATTGCGATTTGGAGGACGAGTTTACTGAAGAAATCATTCAATTTAGATACTTTATCCAAAATAAAGAATTTTCTTCCAATATTTCACTTTCAGTATCATATTTAAAGTTAATACGTGAAAATAAAATTCAAGCTACTTTCCCAAACATCGAAGTGGTAATAAGGATATATCTTTGTTTAGCTTTAACGAACAGTAGCGGCAAACGATCATTTTCAGCATTGAAGAGAGTAAAGAATGCTTTTAGGTCAACATTAGGCCAAGAAAAATTAAACAATCTCTCTATTTTAAATATTGAATCAGAATTTTAACCAAACTCAACTTCGATGATGTAATAAAAATATTTTTCGGAAAAAAAGCCGTAAAGTGACATTATAAAAAAATTTTTCATTTTTAATTAATATAATTATTTTCTTGTTCTTAAATGTGTTTCATTTTTTTTAATATTCAAAAAGTTAATTATTTATTGTTTATTCATTGAGAGAAGGAGGCTTGATTGGAACGCTTGAAGATCACAAGCCCCTGGGCGTAAATTTTATAAACGCGGCACTGATTGTACGCAAGATGTTTCGGACAAGTTAACAATATTCTTGCACGCGCTCGAATATACAATTGCATATACAAATTGCAGTGTTCCATTTCCTTCATGAAGACGATGAGATGACGTAACAATTGTAAATGATCATTTCTCGCTATTCACGCCTGTCTCTTCGTGCGCAAATGTATAAACATACGCACAATCACAAAAATAATTAACAATCGAAATGCATACACACTCTAAAAAATGTTCGCATTTGTTCACTTCATCTAACGTAACTAAAAAATTTATAACACACGTTTTTTAAACAAAATCGCATTTAACATGATTAACTTAAGCTTGAGCAATTTTTTTACATCCTATATATAAAAATATTATTTTTGAGATTCGAGTAGAATTTCTTTTTTACATAAAGACTTGAAATAATTTACAATTGGTATAATTGCAAAAATTGTACTGAAATAGAAACTCAAAAAACAATTTCGTTCTCCGGATATAACAAAGCATATTATACGTGTTAATTAGAGAGAAAAAATCAACGATTCTTATTAAAGAGAAATGATCGTGCTAATACATGTACATATATGTGATGCAAATAGAAGAGATTTCGGCAGCCTCTTTGAGGATTGCACACACGCAATGAGTGTTGTCGTTTTAACACGAGAGTTCTATTAATATTATAATTCCACATCTACGGGGTGAGAGAGATTCACACTCGCAGAAACCTACTTCTATTTGCTCCGTTAATCGCGGAGGAAAATATCTCGCTTCGGAAATTATATATATTTTTTTTATCTCCAAATGCGTTGTCATCATATGTATCCTTCAACCGTGGGTATAATTATTGTCTATGTATATGTATATATATATTTATAGTTTCTACAAAAAACGCGCCCTGCATGTTTATTATAGGTATCACTTAGCTTGGTCGCTTAATCGCGATTTTACACGGATTGAGGGATCGCTCGATCAAGGCGACAAAGTGATCATGTAAATGTAACTATTATTTGCGAAAGTGTTCGTAAAAAGAGTGAATGAGTGTATGAGTATTATGAGCAGCGTTTCGAGAAAGAATTACAATTTTTTCTCTTTCTCTCTATTTTTTTTACATAGAAGAATCTATGTTGTAAAATAAAATAAAGGCCAACGTTTTCGCATTTTACATTTTCGGCTGTGTGTGTGAGTTTGCACATTTTTAATATTATTATAATTGCAACTTAATCGTTTAAACTTAATATTGCTCATGGGTTTTATTGAAATCTTACGGTTGATACAAGGACGGCATACAAATAAATTAATACACGAGGATATATTATAATACAACTCCAAGTGCGACTAAAAGCCTATGCACATTGTACGAAATATTATGTTACAAAATTCAACTGTTTTCTTAATTTATAAATTGACAAGAGTAAACTTAAGATGAGATTAAACTCGTTACTTTAATCAGTTCTAAATTCAGTATAATTGCACTCGTAATTTTAATGTCGTAATATTTTCAAAAATGGAATTTAAAGAAAATCAAACTTCGAGACAACCAATCAGCGTTGCGAAAAAAAGGGTTCAAAACTTCGATACAAATTGAATTCACACAGTTAACATGCCTTTTTTAGAAAGAGATACAATTTTACGCATTAAAAAACTTTGTAATAAAAAAAACAAAAGCATAATATGATATATATAAATTTAAATTTATAAATTTACAAAAAAATATGACATATGATATATGGATATTGCTATTATATATGCTAATAATGTTAAAATAAAGTGTATCACAAATTAATATAAGATTTATAATATAGATAACTTCTCTTGAAGAAATTTATTACTAGTAACGCCAATTAATCACTTATTTCGAGTACTTAAAATAATGATATCATTGCAGTAATTTAAGTACTCGAAATAAGTGATAAATTGGTGTTACTAGTGCTAAATTTCTACAACGGTTGTAAAACATCCGTGATTACATATAAATTATAAATAATGTTTAATCGCAGTGTTATTTAAAACTTTTTTAATTTTTATAATACGTATATGTTGTAAATATTACGAGATAAATATTAAAAAAGTCTACTTCGCAAAAAATAAGTTTTAAAATTCACGCGACATTCTTAAGATTGATAAAATTTAATCACATTTAATTAATGTAATTACTTATATGACTAATCAATAATTATTTTTGCAATATTATTTTATATTGAGTTTTAAAGAAAAAACAAGAATCATTGTGCCATGTTCCTTTAATATATATATATATTTTTATATTAAATTATACACATATATATAAAGCGAGAGTTTATTATATGTATAGAATACATTCGTCAATATAAATACAAATAGCGATACAAATGTAAATACATAAGCAAGTGAAATTAATAAAATTAATAATTATAAAAACATGTTATATATAAAAAATGTCATAATTTGAATATAAACACATGTTCATATATACATATACATAATGTGTATATTAATCAATACATCAATATATACAATATGCAAAATCAAGGTACACGTACTTGTACAAACCATGCATTTTTATATATATACTATTATTATTATATTACCACTAAATATATAAGTGTGATAAAAGCGTGCAATATTTTTATTATTCTTATTTGATAATTGAAGAGAATAAGAATAAGTCGCTTGATGCAAAAATGTCGAAGTAATATGCAATGCTTTTCGAAGATACAAGATTTCTTATTTTTTACATTATTATACAATCATTTTCGTGTAGTATTTCGATTTATCATAGCAATCTCTTGATAACAATAACAGTTAATCATTTAATTGAAAGTTTTATGATTGTTCACAAAATAATTAATAACAAGACAAATATTTTATTGATAATATATATAAACTTTTATCGTTTGTAGACTTTATTAGAAACTATGGAATCTGTATTTTAAAGAATTTATATTTCTTTTATTATGTTGAAAAAATGAACATTTTAATGTCTTCCCCAAAGTTTTCATTTCAAGTAAAATAAAATTGTGTAATTATAATATTAAAATATAATTGTGTTATAATAAATAAAAACACATAAATTACTACGTTTTCATAGCAATTTACTTATATATTTTCTTGAATTATTAAAATAACACAAAATATTTGTGAAATATAAAAATTGCACAATTTTATTAATCCCAAAGATTAAAATTTAAAAATATGCGTGCGCACATATCTCTTTCTTCAATGATATTAATTTTTTAATTCACTAACAATAATCATGTATATTAATTTAATTTAATTATATGTATATAATTTAATTATATATAAATATAATTTAATTATATGATTTTTTTACAAATAGAAAATTTTTAGGTCTTTCGATTGTATATGATAAAATATACTTCAACACAATACTCTAATTATACTCAAATTTTAAAACTTTAATCAAAAATCTTTTACGTGAAAATGTTGCAATTATAATCATTTTTTTTGTATACAATATCTCTTCTCAGTTATTTGCTATATGTATGATATTACATTTTATATATTAAAGCAATTTGCTGATATTTACGGATGATGTTAATATTGTTAATATTATTATTTGAATTATTAATATTGTTGTCAATTTTAATGTCTTTTATAGTGTAAAAGTAATATATCAGATATTATGTACATAAATTATTTAATAAAAAATTGAGTCATTTTTAATTATTAATACCACTTTGTAGTTTATGTATTATATCATTTATGTTTAATGATAAATATAAATTAGAAAAATAAATTAAGAAATATAATTTAATTCGTTCATAAAAATGAAAATTATTTTATAAATGTTTTATAAATGTTTTTTCCAATGTTTTAATATTGACTAGAGTAACTGTAATAATAATATTGAAAAATAATATAATAAATAAAAAAATTAGTAAATTATCACATTTTTAGCAAAAATTTATCTTAATTTTTTTAAATATTAAATTTGCGTAACATATTTTTCATTTATTAAAATTACATAATCTCTCCAAATTTGTATTTACAAATTTTAGAAAACATATTGAAAGATAAATTAATTTACTTAACTTTAAACTACTAATTAACGAATTAATTAATATTTTAATTCAACATATAGATAATTTTCATTTTTTTGTATAATATTAAATTATCTTATACTATTTTTATATAAAAATATTAATGTAAAATAATTGAAATAATAATTTTTCAAATCTGTTCGATATAATCCTTTTCTAAATATCAGTAATTGCTATAATATACAAAAATATATACATTTAGAAAAAACTGAAATTAATTGATCAGTAAGAACTAAAATAACTCACTATAATATTGAGAAGTGATAATTTGTAAGTACATAAACGCAGGTGCGTGCAAGTTTAAATTACGCGTTATTCGACACCACTTTGTTGATTTATAACACAAATTTGAATCCTTATATCAAAATGAATATAACTATGTTTTTCTAATGTAATTATTAAAATAATTATAATAACATTTTCAAGAAAATGTTTTATTACCGTTAATTTGTAAAAAAAATAGTTATGTTTGATATAAAATATTTTGGTCTTTAGACAGAAAGTAAAATCGCATATGATTATTTCTTTATGTTTTTATTTCTAATACTTACTATTAATGATTATCATTTATTTTTAAATTTTTAATAGAATAAAATAATATTGGCAATAAAATAGAAAGAAAGGAAGCAGCATGTAATTAGACGCATAAAAAGATTTATTGACTAAAAATTTATTTCAAACAAATAAATCATATATGAACGGACAATTTGGTCTTTCAAGTTTTTTTCAGTGTGAGATAAAATAATTAAAATAATTACAATTAGTCAGATAAAATATAAAACAATAAATTTCAAGAAGTACAAAATCATTAAAAAATTCAAAATCAGTGGTCAAGACGATTAAAATTCTTCTTATATCTCACGCCGAAATAACCAAATTGTATATTTATATATATTTTATTTGTTTAAAATAAATTTGTTAATTAATCAATCTTTCCGCATTTGTATTACAGCTCTGGTTTCTTTTACCTATTTCTATTACTATGTTACTATTGTCAAAATCTTTGATCAAATTTAGTAGAGTAAAATAATAAAATAATTTTATTGCTAAAGATTAATATAAAATATTTTTTATATAGAGATGTCAGTATATTATTTATGGAAATTGATTTTCCCTATTTACACTTACATTCTAATTTAAATTATTTACAAATTTTTTATAAGTATATGTGCGTGTATATGTTTAATTATTAAATTTATAATTGTTAATACGGCTTTCAAGTTTTTAAGAATTAAATGTAAATAAATTACTTGTATGCTTTTCTGATCGAAATTTTCCATTATACAATTATTAAAATATTTTCTAACTCTAACTTAAAAATTACTTGTGTAGCCGCGTATGCATCAGAACAAAATTGAGATTCGGGCTTAATAATATACTTATGAAACTTTATCAATATTATATATAAGTAAATCTTACAATTAACAGCAAAACACCAATGTTAACATACGTATATGTAATTAGTTCTCTACTGGAGGCTGTAAAATTTGAGATATTATTTACATAAACTTGTATTCTTGTGTACAATTAATAAGCTAACATTAATAATAAATAAGTTTAAAAACGTATATTGTATTATATAACTCATTATAAAAGTGAAAACAGTCATTATGTGTTCAAAAACGAACGTATTCACAACACGTTTAGTTTATAACAAAACGGTTGTTTTTTAATTTATGTTAATTTAATTTTTTTTTTGTTTTTACGATATTTGAAATATGTTTTTTTCGTTTGCTCATTTAATTCTGAAACATTTTGTGTGTTTAGATATAAGACGATTGTATCCTCATGTTATGCTTGTTTATAACATATTTCATTTCAGAACAAATGCAAGTGCACCAAGTTGAAACAGACACTGTGTATACTTTACTGTTTGTATTTTACTTACCTGTTGCTGTTGCACATCATTTGCAGGTATAACAACTCTTCCGTTTGCAAGCGGCACGGCAAGTGGCTGGACATTCATTACTCTATTCTGAAACATTTTGTGTGTTTAGATATAAGACGACTCTGTCGATCTATATAATTGTTGTGTGTTTAGATATAAGACGACTCTGTCGATCTATATGAGGATGTATCCTCATGTTATGCTTGTTTTTAACATATTTCATTTTAGAACAAATGCAACTGCATTTAGTTGAAACAGACACTGTGTATACTTTACTGTTTGTGTTTTACTTACCTGTTGCTGTTGCACATCATTTGCAGGTATAACAACTCTTCCGTTTGCAAGCAGCACGGCATGTGCAGGCTGGACATTCATTACTCTATTCTGAAACATTTGTGTGTTTAGATATAAGACGATTGTATCCTTATGTTATGCTTGTTTTTAACATATTTCATTTCAGAACAAATGCAACTGCACCAAGTTGAAACAGACACTGTGTATACTTTACTGTTTGTATTTTACTTACCTGTTGCTGTTGCACATCATTTGCAGGTATAACAACTCTTCCATTTGCAAGCGGCACGGCATGTGCAGGCTGGACATTCATTACTCTATTCTGAAACATTTTGTGTGTTTAGATATAAGACGATTGTATCCTCATGTTAGGCTTGTTTTTAACATATTTCATTTCAGAACAAATGCAACTGTACCAATTTCAAACAGACACTGTGTATACTTTACTGTTTGTGTTTTACTTACCTGTTGCTGTTGCACATCATTTGCAGGTATAACAACTCTTCCGTTTGCAAGCGGCACGGCATGTGCAGGCTGGACATTCATTACTCTATTCTGAAACATTTTGTGTGTTTAGATATAAGACGATTGTATCCTCATGTTAGGCTTGTTTTTAACATATTTCATTTCAGAACAAATGCAACTGCATCAAGTTGAAACAGACACTGTGTATATTTTACAGTTTGTATTTTACTTACCTGTTGCTGTTGCACATCATTTGCAGGTATAACAACTCTTCCGTTTGCAAGCGGCACGGCATGTGCAGGCAGGACATTCATTATTCTATTCAGGGCATTCATTACTCTTTGCGGGGCATCCATTACTCTAGGACTTTCACTTATTATTAGTAAAAATCCCAATGGGACAAATGTATAAATGTATAATATTTGTCCTATATATATATATACACAGCGTGTCCCATAATTCGCGAATTACCTTTCATGGTTAGATAGAGCGTGTTAAACTGAATAGGAAAATCCTGTATCATTTTGCGATATTCGCAATAATTATTGAGTTATTAACTAAAATATCTAAACGAATGAGCGGGTAGAAAGCGGTAGGCCGGACTGGGTGTGCATGTCGGATGACTTATTTGTTATATACCGCTTATTATCAAAAGTATAATCTTACTTTTCGGCGCCACTACATTGGTCGCCGCTCGCTGCATGACGCTGCCTCTCGATCAAATAAAGCTTTCTACCTGCTTATTCGTTTAGATATTTTAATAAATGACTCAATAATTATTGCGAATATCGCAAAATGATACAGGACTTTTCTATTCGGTTTAACACGCTCTATTTGCCCATTCGCGGTGGTTCGCAAATTATGGGACACCCTGTATATATATATATATTATAAGTAATTTAAAAGTTGAAAGAAATCAATTTACCGACGGCCAAAGAGATGTGGGTAATATATGTATATGCAGCTTAATATGAAGAGTATTACAATCAGTAAACTAAATGTAATAATCAAGGCAACTTGCAACTTGTTATTGGAATCGTGTGATTCATCTTTTTTACTTGTATCTTCTATATCATCATTTGACTTATTAGAAGTCTGATTGTCATTTTCTATATTGAATATCATATTCGTTTCATTACTTGCTTCTAATAAGACTAAAACATAATTATTAACAATCCAATACATAAATAGATAAAAGATTACTAATTTGTTGCATTGTAATAAGACTATATACAATTATATATTGACATATAATTAGTAAAAGATTTGTATTGTGTGTAATATTTTAAATATGTATTATATATTCTATAAATTCAAATGATACACATATTGTAAACACACATATATATATATATATATATATATATATATATATATATATATACATATATATGTATGTATGAAATATTATTGTATATGTATAATTTTTTAATTTTAACATAATATAATATAATTCTTTTTTAATGTTTACTTATCGATAGAATTGGAAGAGGAAGCATACAAAAACTTCCAAATTTTATATTTAATTTAAATGTATTGATCCAAATTAAATACATTGATATTAGTAAAATTAATATTATGTGTATATATGTATATGTATTATAGCAAAATTATTTTGATTTATTTTACCTGATATGCTTGAGATAAAAACAACAAGAAGAACTACAAAAATTGGTAACCAATAACATAAAATTCGTTTTAAGATTCGCATTAAACTAAATATATGCATCGTGGACGTGGGTGTTTAAAATTTTTCTCCTTAAACTTAAGTAATATTCGAGATTGTGACTTATTTTATCCAATCTTTTCTATTCGGTTTTTGTTATAAATATTTTTATGCTATAAATATTAAGCGTCTGCAACAAAAAGCAAAAAATTTCATTTATATTAATGTATATTTTATATTTATATATGTACTTGTCTGATAGCTCAGATTTTAACAAATGTATGCTTAGCATAGAAATAACAATAAAAATAATAAAATATACAAGAGCAGAAATATAGATCAAGAACAGTCAGGAAAAAAGAACAATATGCAAGTTTTAATGTAGTAAAATTTGCGAACATGTTTTTATAATATATGTATGTGAAAATCAAAGCAGATATATCGATGAGATGATCTCTTTTCGTAAGTTTTATTGAATAGTAAGTAATTAATATTGTGTATTATTGTCATTTTCATAATAAATTTTCGATTAAAATACAGATATAATAATTATTACAATTCAGAGAAATATATATATTTATGACAATTAGAGAATCAATATAATTTATGTCCTCCTTATAAATGTCAGTAAAAAATGTGAAGGACAAGATATTTATATTACTTATTGTTATATCGATGTTAGCAACTACAATATCTAAACAAAGTTGACATCATAACTTTTTGATAATTATTCTTATTTATTTTTGACATATGGCCGTTATTTTTTGTTTGAAACTCTTGCTATAAATTATAACAATTAAGAAGTACGATTAAATGTCTAGTACTCTCTTAGAAACATTATAATTTAAATGACAAATTAATATGATAATGGTATCTTGTGTCTTTCTCGATCTTGATATATATGTGTTTGACAACTAATTAAGATAAAATAAAAAGAATATGTAGCATAAAATTGTATAAAAATATCGTAAACTTTAATAATATCTAATAATTATTATGTAAATGAGACGATAATGTCGATGTTAGCTTGCCTTTGGGCATAAATTTAATGATATTAAAAATCACCATAAATTTGTAATTATATTACTAATCATTTTATCGTACCAAAAATTAACAAACATTATAAATTGTAAGAAAAAAACACTGAAGAAAAGTTTATCTCATGAAACAATGTACTTGAAAATTACTTATAATTTGATTAGGTATATTATAATTTGATAAGTTTATTTTACCAAATCGTAAATGGTTGTCTCTTGGTTTGTTACACGTACAGCGATGATAGCACGACAATAGTTATTTATAAAATGTTGATCTGCCTGATTCTTACTGACTTATTCGCACGAAATTATTTATCTACCTGTAACTTTCATGGGTCATTATATATCCTATGTATTTATTTACATTATTTTCGATACTTTTATTTTTTAAATTTTAGTAATGCTGTTTATTTTAACTCAATCTAAATTTTGCTAAAAAACTTGATGGAATGGATACAAAAGCTAATAATTTATTAATTACCAAATATAAGATACTTATTTTCCATTATTTTTGTACTAATATAATTGGCTTTGTTATATTATCTTCTTTGTTTTTAAATTTAACGATATTAAAAATCACAGTAAATCTTTAATTATACTATTACTAATCTTTTTATTGTACCAAAATTTATGACAAACAAATTTCAAGAAAAAGGAACCATAGAAAAGTTTGCCTCATGAAGCAATGTATTTGTGAAGTACTAATAATTTTATTATATTATAATTTGATAAGTTTATTTTACCAGATTGTAAATATCACATAATGTCTCTTTTTTGTTACACATACAGCGATGATAACAGATAATAACGAACGCGCGTCTGACTTCTAAAAAATATGAACAAATTATTTATGAATAAGTTTCCATTTAAAGATAATTAATAAGAGAATAAATAAAACTTAAAATATATGTATAAATTCTTAAACTTTTTTAATCTTTAAAACTTAAGTGAAAAAAAATTCATAAAATGTCGAGATGCAAAACATACATACTACAGAGAAAAAATAATAGAACGAAAAATTTTTGATATGAATATATTTCTCTTATATATATATATATATATATATATAATATATATAAATAAGGAATTAGAAGCCAATCGCAGAAATAAACCACATTAATAAACTAGACAAAAATTAGAATTAGTAACATAACAGTTAAGAATTATTACATCTTCTTTAAAACTTCTGTAATTTTTATAGTACATAAATGTTGTAACTATTACGAGATAAATATTAAAAATGTCTACTTCATAAAAAATAAGTTCTAAAATTCACGCGACATTCTTAGAATTGATAAATTTTAATCACATTTAATTAATGTAATTACTTATATGACTAATCAATAATTATTTTTGCAATATTATTTTATATTGAGTTTTAGAAGCAACAACAAAAATCATTGTGTCATGTTTCTTTAATATATATATATCTTTTTATAAAATTATACACATATATTGTATATAGAGCGAGAGTTTATTATATGTATAGAAAACATTCGTCAATATAAATACAAATAGCGATACAAATGTAAATACATAAACATTGTGAAATTAATGTTAGAAATTAATAATTATAAAAACAAATTTATATATAAAAAATGTCAAAATCTGAATATAAACACATGTTCATATATACATATACATAATGTGTATATTAATCAATACATCAATATATACAATATGCAAAATCAAGGTACACGTACTTGTACAAACCATGCATTTTTATATATATACTATTATTATTATATTACCACTAAAAATATATAAGTGTGATAAAAGCATGCAATATTATTATTATTCTTATTCTGATAATTGAAGAGAATAAGAATAAGTCGCTTGATGCAAAAATGTCGAAGTAATATGCAATGCTTTTCGAAGATACAAGATTTCTTATTTTTTACATTATTATACAATCATTTTCGTGTAGTATTTCGATTTATCATAGCAATCTCTTGATAACAATAACAGTTAATCATTTAATCGAAAGTTTTATGATTGTTCACAAAATAATTGATAACAAAACAAATATTTTATTGATTATATATATAAATTTTTTATCGTTTGTATACTTCATTAGAAATTATTGAATCTGAATTTTAAATAATTTATATTTCTTTTATTATGTTGGAAAAATGAATATTTTAATGTTTTGTCCAAAGTTTTCATTTCAAGTAAAATAAAATTGTGTAATTATAATATTAAAATATAATTGTGTTATAATAAATAAAAACACATAAATTACTACGTTTTCATAGCAATTTACTTATATATTTTTTTGATTTATTAAAATAACACATAATATTTGTGAAAATTAATAATTGCACAATTTTATTAATCCTAAAGATTAAAATTTAAAAATATGCGTGCGCACATATCTCTTCCTTCAATGATATTAATTTTTTAATCCACTAACAATAATCATGTATATTAATTTAATTTAATTATATGTATATAATTTAATTATGTATAAATATTATTTAATTATATGATTTTTTTACAAATTATAAATTTTTAGATCTTTTGATTGTATATGATAAAATATACTTTAACACAATACTCTAATTATACTCAAATTTTAAAAATTTAATCGAAAATCATTTATGTGAAAATGTTGAATTTATAATCATTTTTTTTGTATACAATATCTCTTTTCAGTTATTTGCTATATGTATGATATTACATTTTATATATTAAAGCAATTTGCTGATATTTACGGATGATGTTAATATTGTTCATATTATTATTTGAATTATTAATATTGTTGTCAATCTTAATGTCTTTTATGATGTAAAAGTAATATATCAGATATTATGTACATAAATTATTTAATAAAAAATTGAGTCATTATTTAATTATTAATACCACTTTGTAGTTTATGTATTATATCATTTATGTTTAATGATAAATATAAATTAGAAAAATAAATTAAGAAATATAATTTAATTTGTTCATAAAAATTAAAATTATTTTATAAACGTTTTATAAATGTTTTTTCCAATTTTTAAACATTGATTAGAGTAACTGTGATAATAATAATATAAGAAATAAAAAATAATATAATCAATAAAAAAATTAATAAATTATCACATTTTTAGCAAAAATTTATCTTAATTTTTTTAAATATTAAATTTGCGTAACATATTTTTCATTTATTAAAATTACATAATCTCTCCAAATTTGTATTTACAAATTTTAGAAAACATTTTATAAGATAAATTAATTTACTTAACATTAAATTACTAATTAACGAATTAATTAATACTTTAATTCAACATATAGATAATTTTAATTTTTTTGTATAATATTAAATTATCTTAAACTATTTTTATATAAAAATATTAATGTAAAATAATTGAAATAATAATTTTTCAAATCTGTTCTATATTATCCTTTTCTAAATATCAGTAATTGCTATAATATACAAAAATATATACATGTGTAGAAAAAACAGAAATTAATTGATCAGTAAGAACTAAAATAACTCACTATAATATTGAGAAGTGATAACAAAAGTTATAATTTGCAAGTACATAAACGCAGTTTTTTTTCAGTGTGAGATAAAATAATTAAAATAATTACAATTAGTCAGATAAAATATAAATTAATAATAAGTTTCAAGAAGTACAAAATCATTGAAAAATTCAAAGTCAGTGGTCAAAACGATTAAAATTCTTCCTTTATCTCACGCCGAAACAACCAAATTGTTTATTTATATATATTTTATTTGTTTAAAATAAATTTGTTAAATAATCAATCTTTCCGCATTTGTATTACAGCCTTGGTTTCTTTTACCTATTTTTATTACTATGTTACTATTGTCGAAACTTTTGATCAAATTTAGTAGAGTAGAATAATAAAATAATTGTATTGCTAAATATTAATATAAAATATTTTTTATATAGAGATGTCAGTATATTATTTTTGGAAATTGATTTTCCCTATTTACACTTACATTCTAATTTAAATTATTTACAAATTTTTTATAAGTATATGTGCGTGTATATGTTTAATTATTAAATTTATAATTGTTAATACGGCTTTCAAGTTTTTAAGAATTAAATGTAAATAAATTACCTGTATGGTTTTCTGATCGAAATTTTTCATTATACAATTATTAAAATATTTTCTAACTCTAACTTAAAAATTACTTGTATAACCGCGTATGCATCAGAACAAATTGAGATTCGGGCTTAATAATATACTCACGAAATTTTATCAATGTTATATATAAGTAAATCTTACAATTAACAGCAAAACATCAATGTTAACATACGTATATGTAATTAGTTCTCTACTGGAGGCTGTAAAATTTGAGATATTATTTACATATAACTAGTATTCTTGTGTACAATAAGCTAACATTAATAATAAATAAGTTTAAAAACGTATATTGTATTATATAACTCATTATAAAAGTGAAAACAGTCATTATGTGTTCAAAACGAACGTATTCACAACACGGTCAGTTTATAACAAAACGATTGTTTTTGAATTTATGTTTATTTAATTTTTTTTATTTTTACGATATTTGAAATATGTTTTTTTCGTTTGCTCATATTTAATTCTGAAACATTTTGTGTGTTTATTAGATATAAGACGATTGTATCCTTATGTTATGCTTGTTTTTAACATATTTCATTTCAGAACAAATGCAACTGCACCAAGTTGAAACAGACACTGTGTATACTTTACTGTTTGTATTTTACTTACCTGTTGCTGTTGCACATTATCTGCAGGTATAATAGCTCTTCCGTTTGCAAAAATCATAATTTGTATATCCATTCCTCTAGGATTTTCACTTATTATTAGTAAAAAATCACAATGGGACAAAATGTATAAATGTATAATATTTGTCCTATATATATATACCCAGCAAACACAGTATATAAATGTTATATACTTAAGCATGTTACATGTAACGTATATGTTAGTTGTAATTTCTATAATACTTATAGATGGTAACATTTTTAATATTACATATATTACATTGTAGTTATATTGTCATTATATCCCAAGATAGCACTGACTTATCAATATATCAATGTGCTATTTGGTATATAATTACAGTATAACTACAGTGTAATATATGAAAATGTTACATCTATGAGTGGGAAATTACAACTAACATGGATGTTACATGTAACGTACACGTTATATTACCTGTTATATTCCGTTTTATTATAGCAATGTAACGATTATATATCAGTGTTTGCTGGGTATATATATATATATATTATAAGTAATTGAAAAGTTGAAAGAAATCAATTTACCGACGTTTTATGCGACGTAACCATAAATTGTATATGTAGCGTAATATTATGTGCATTGCAAGCAGTAATATAATAGTCAAGACAATCAGCAACGTGTTATTGGAGTCGTGTGATTCATCTTTTTTACTTGTATCTTCTATATCATCATTTGACTTATTAGAAATCTGATTGTCATTTTCTATATTGAATATCGTATTCATCTCATTACTTGCTTCTAATAAGACTAAAAATAATTATTAACAATCCAATACATAAATACATAAAATATTACTAATTTGTTTCATTGTAATAATAAGACTATATACAATTATATATTGACATATAATTAGTAAAAGATTTGTATTGTGTGTAGTATTTAAATATGTATTATATATTCTATAAATTCAAATGATACACATATTGTACACACACACATATATATATATATATATATATATATGTATGTATGAAATATTATTGTATATGTATAATTTTTTAATTTTAACATAATATAATATAATTCTTTTTTTAATGTTACTTATCGATAGAATTAAAAGAGGAAGCATACAAAAACTTCAAATTTTATATTTAATTTAAATGTATTGATTCAAATTAAATACATTGATATTAGTAAAATTAATATTATGTGTATATATGTATATGTATTATATAAAATTATTTGATTTATTTTACCTAATATGCTTGAGATAGAAACAACAAGAAGAACTACAAAAATTGGTAATTATACATAAAATTCGTTTATTCGCATTAAACTAAATATATGATCAAACGTATGTTCAAGAAAAAGGCACCAAAGAAAGTTTGCCCATGAAGCAATGTATTTGTGAAGTACTAATAATTTTATTATATTATAATTTGATAAGTTTATTTTACCAGATTGTAAATATCACATAATGTCTCTCTTTTTGTTACACATACAGCGATGATAACAGATAATAACGAACGCGCGTATGACTTCTAAAAAATATGAACAAATTATTTATGAATAAGTGTCCATGACCTTTAAAGATAATTAATAAGAGAATAAATAAAACTTAAAATATATGTATAAATTCTTAAACTTTTTTAATCTTTAAAACTTATGTGAGAAAAATTCATAAAATGTCGAGATGCAAACATACATATTTACTTTATTGCAGAGAAAAAAATACAACGAAAAAATGTTTAATATAAATATATTTCTCTTATATATATATATATATATATATATATATATATATATAAATATAAAATTTTAAATAAAGAATTAGAAGCCATTCGCAGAAATAAACCACATTAATAAACTAGACAAAAATTAGAATTAGTAACATAACAGTTAAGAATTATTACATCTTACAATAAGATAAATATAGAACACAAAATAATAATTTAAAATAATAATATACGATGTTGAATAATAATGTTATGTCATTATTATTCCTTCGCAAAATTTTCCGCGAGTAAAATTAATTCCGATTTGCGAAGAAGTAATTCTAATTCAAGATTTAATAAACTCGCGTTAAGATACACGGTGCCTCGTCGGCTACGCCTTTAACTGATCGCGAGATACTACCGTGTCTCTTGATAATCAACTGAAAAATTTAATGAGAAATTTTAATAAGAACCTTAGATGTGAATAATTAAAATACAATCACATAAATTACCGCTAAAACTGTGTATGCTTATCTCAAATTAATGTCCATTTTCTTTTTCAAACAAAAAAGCAGGTTTGTTAATCGTGACAAGAACGAGAATTTTTTTGCTGCTCCATTGCAATTCTCGCGTTTAATGTTCCCATTTAATATTGCAGATCTCTTATACAAGATTTGACAACTGATGATTGTACGCAAAATGTTTCGGACAAGTTAACAATATTTTTGCACGCGTTCGAATATACAATTGCATATACAAATTGCAATGTTCCATTCCCTTCATGAAGACGATGAGATGACGTAACAATTGTAAATGATCATTTCTCGCTATTCACGCCTGTCTCTTCGTGTGCAAATGTATATACATACGCACAATCACAAAAAAAAATTAACAATCGAAATGCATACACACTCTAAAAAATGTTCGCATTTGTTCGCTTCATCTAACGTAACTAAAAAAGTTATAACACGCGTTTTTTAAACAAAATCGCATTTAAAATGATTAACTTAAGCTTGAGCAATTTTTTGCATCCTATATATAAAAATATTATTTTCGAGATTCGAGTAGAATTTCTTTTTCACATAAAGACTTGAAATAATTTACAATTGGTATAATTGGAAAAATTGTACTGAAATAGAAACTCAAAAACAATTTCGTTCTCCGGATATAACAAAGCATATTATACCTGTTAATTAGAGAGAAAATGTTAACGATTCTTATTAAAGAGAAATGATCGCGCTAATACATGTACATATATGTGATGCAAATAGAAGAGATTTCGGCAGCCTCTTTATCACGTGTTATATGCAAAAATAGACTTTACTATCACTCTCTTGTCGACGAGGAACGATGAAAGGAATCGTCCGTGAAAGAGATTATGGTTGAACGTCGGATTCCTTTCTCATGAATTCTTTTCTTTTTTTTCAGGATTGCACACACGCAATGAGTGTTGTCGTTTATACACGAGAGTTCTATTAATATTATAATTCCACATCTACGGGGTGAGAGATTCACACTCGCAGAAACCTACTTCTATTTGCTCCGTTAATCGCGGAGGAAAGTATCTCGCTTCGGGAATTATATATATTTTTTTTATCTCCAAATAAACGCGTTGTCATCATATGTATCCTTCAACAGTGGGTATAATTATTGTCTATGTATATGTATATATATATATTTATAGTTTCTACAAAAAACGCGCCCTGCATGTATATTATAGATATCACTTAGCTTGGTCGCTTAATCGCGATTTTACACGGATTGTGGGATCGCTCGATCGAGACGACGAAGTGATCATGTAAATGTAACTATTATTTGCGAAAGTATTCGTAAAGAGAGTGAATGAGTGTATGAGTGTTATGAGCAGCGTTTCGAGAAAGAATTACAATTTTTTTCTCTCTCTATTTTTTTACATAGAAGAATCTATGTTGTAAAATAAAATAAAAGCCAACGTTTTCGCATTTTACATTTTCGGCTGTGTGTGTGAGTTTGCACATTTTTAATATTATTATAATTGCAACGTAATCCTTTAAACTTAATATTGCTCATGCGTTTCATTGAAATCTTACGGTTGATACAAGGACGGCATACAAATAGATTAATACACGAGGATATATTATAATACAACTCCAAGTGCGACTAAAAGCCTATGCACATTGTACGAAATATTATGTTACAGGATTCAACTGTTTTCTTAATTATTAATTGACAGGAATAAACTTAAGATGAGATTAGACTCGCTACTTTAATCAGTTCTAAATTCAGTATAATTGCACTCGTAATTTTGATGTCGAAATATTTTCAAAAATGGAATTTAAATAAAATCGTAATAATAACAGCGCTCCAGGACGAAAAAAAACAAAAAGATTGCTTAATATGTCATAAAGGGAATAAATATTGCAATGTTTCGAAAATCTTACGTATAATGTGCATAGATCTTACAAAGATATTGAAAGTAAAAGTTGCAACAGAGACATTGATACTTATACATAATTGGAGTGTATATAAACGCAGCATCTCGTTAAAAAAATTAATTCGTATACATTTCTTTTTCGTTTATAATTATAAAATTGCCGGGATTACAGCTTTCAATGCATTATATATTATATTTATGGCTGTAAATTAGTAGTCTGTACCAGCCTGGACTAGCCTAATATAATATAATCCGACTGCTGCAATTTACATATATTATATATTTCGCAATAACAAATAATTCTCTATTTTTTATAAATATATCTATCTAATAAATGTCTAATAAATATGTAGAATCGTGCTCTCTCTATAATAATATACATATATAATAATAATAATACTCGAATTATAAATACCAAAAGCAAGACTCATTAGGCTATACCAAAAGCAAGACTCATAGGCTATATCAAAAGTTGCGACGAAATTATGCATGTCCTTATGTATGTATATATCGTATAGGAGCGGACATTAATTAATAATACGCGTATACAATGTTGGCAAAAAAATCGTAACGATCGAGATAATCCCTTAAAATTATGTTATCCATACAAATGTTCGGTACAAATGATGCTATCATACATATTGTTATATATTATAGTAGAGACTTATATGAAATTGGTGGGTTACGAAATCCGCTAGAGAGAACTGAGAGATAGCTTATTATAGTCCTAAAGTATATTTTAGGTGTGTTAAGATTTATATCGGTATATCGGATATTGCGTGTTACTGTTGGTGTTAACCGTTTAGCCTCCTAGAAAATTTGTATATACGTTGTATAAGATTCTCTTTAACTCCTTTTTCCCTCTCTTCCTTCCTCTATCAGTATTATTTTTTCAAAATGAATGGTTTACATCATAGTCATCAAATTCATAATATTTCAAGCCTATTTGGTCGTAAACGACTCGTCAACAATATATATCTAACGTCCTACGAATGGCGATATATTAATTAAACATTTGTTTTTCTGCATCTTTTTGTTGCAATTTTTACAATTATCAGAATTCGCAGAAGCATCGATCTCTAACGTTTGTATCACACATTTCTCTTGTCTTCGAAGGCTCGAGGGGATCTATATATTTTTCGATAGTCTTTGCAAAATTCCTAAATTCAATCCCGGGAAGCGAAAACACCTCAACCGTCGCAAACAAATCATCTAAAATACTCTTCAAAAGCTCGCAAAACTGCGCTAAATTGTACTATTTTCGATTGTGATGACGATGCATCTAAAACTCTACCCTACTCTAAGCCAACGTATGATGATACACAACTGACACGACAACATTTGTCTGACTTACTCGCGACACCAAGCAAGGTATCATATACACCAAGCAAGGATAAGATTGTTTCTTTCGGATCGTCAGTGAAACATTATGGACGAAAGTGTGTCTCCTACAACGATTCTTATCATAATAAACTTTGGAATAATCGCGTACACATAGCCAATATTTAATTACCCGGGTCGTAAGTAAAACCTACATCTCATTCAATGGATTAGGTACTCCTTCGTGGTGATTTTTAACGAAGTAACCGAACGAGGGTACGTTTAACATCAGCAGCGTTCTCTCTCTCTCTCTTTTGTTGATTACAATATTGTGTGCAATTATTGTTATAGAAATTGTCGTGATCGATACAGGATCACGTCTGTGCTTCCATTTTGTGCGTCCGTGCACGTAAATATCCCGACTTAACTCAACGCTACGTTTTGTACAATTCAGTAAACGCCAGTTTGCGCTCGCGAACAATAAAGTTTCTCCTCTCCATCATATTCCATCTCTTCTTAATAGGTATGCATTAGTATAAAATTCCCGTAAACGTAAAAATCTTATCACTCATTTAACTTAACGATTCTCATGTTGCAAATACAAAGACGTCGTTCAACGTCAAGCATTGCATACTTGTCTTATACAAGAAAGATGCAAAATGATGTAACTCATCATCGTGTGTTTGAATTCTGTAAAAGATTTCCAAAAAACCGACTTCGCACCCGTCACATTTAGAAAATGCTTACCGTTGTCAATAGTAAATGTTTCTCAATACAACTAGCGATCTCAAAACTTGAGATAAGCAAAGAATCTAACACACTAGCAGACTCTCTAGTGTGTTAGTCGCCTGTTTCATATAGCCTCTTGACTATTAACCGACTGCGAACTACGTGAGGTTTTGCGGCTAATTGGTTCCAGGTACGCCGCGGGTGCCCAGCCTTCCATGCCAGTGCCGATCAGTTTTACAAACCACCAGCCAGCACAGCCGACCTTGAGAAGCTCCAAGGTATCACCCTCGCGCATCGTGACTTCCGACTGTCCCACTGCGCAATAATCTGCCAACGCCACGTATCTTCCACCCTAAAAAATAAATATATTTTTATTGCAAGACCGATTCAGAGACTAAAAAGATGCAAGATACTCAATAGAGACAATGTTATTATCAGAGAAAAGGAGAAAAAGATGCTGTTTTATGTCTACAAAGTTGTTCTCAGCACTTGAAAAATATGAAAGAAGACTCACTGGTGCTGGTCCTGGACTGTCGCCAAAAGCGTCTTCTTCATCCGTATTACTATTTTCCGAACTCCATGCCGCGTCCTCCTCCGTGGATTGCGAAACATCAGTCATGTGTGAGATAACGCTGTTACCGTCGACGGATAGCGTTCGCAAAGATCCCGAGAGACTGCTTTGAGCTTCCCACGAAATTGTTTGTCGTAACGGTCTTTCGAGAGAGAAGAAGCGAAGATGAAGTATACATCGAGAAAAGATCGAAATGCGCAACGTCGTTGAGTCTTAATAGCGATTACGTACTTATGATTGGATTTTCCAAGAGCCGAATTCTGCTTTCCCTTGAGTTCGGCTAACTGTGACATCAGAACGCCCTTGATCTGACGCACCCAGGATTGTTTAACATCGATGCTAGGAGCTTGTATCGTGTGTACCTCAGCTCTGCCCTGCAACCATATCTCGAATCGTTTAGCGTCGCCTTTCACTGACTCTGTCAAACCAATCTGCGACATCTGTAATAATATATTACGTAAAATAATCGCATAAATTATAAATTTTAAATTGGGGGAAAAAGTTATTCTTGCAAATTTGAAAAAATATCGAAATATACCTTCAAATATCTTTTAAAATGGTACGTGGCCTTGTTGTGGGCTTGAGGCTTGCTATGCTTACAAAATATCAAAGCCTTCTCGTATAAGAAGATATGCCGTTGAGATGGTTTCAGTCGCAATAGTCGTTCTCGCTTGCTGCTGCTCCAAACGCTAAATGAGCCTTGTAACAGCAATTCACCCTGTGCGCTCAGATCGCCCTGTAAGTAGAAAGAAAAAGACATGAGTAATATAATAAGAAACAAAATATAATAGTTTTTTTACAGTAGAAAAGAAAATCTCATAATGGAGGCATGTACTTACTCCAAAACCTGTTATTGCAGTTTGATGCATGCTGTCATTGACGCATTTTAACACGACTAGCATGCAATCAAGCGCCTCTTGCAGTTCGGTGCAGCATGAAGGTTCGTCACTATACTTTAATAAATCCTTTAACAACAATTGGTACTTGGTGATCCGTTGAACGGGCTTGAGAAGATAGGCAGCGAGCGGCAGCTTGTGACCAAGTTTCTGTTGACAGGCTGCGAGAAACTGCGGTTCAGTCTGTATCTGTTCACGCAATCTCTCGGATCGTGGAATATTCTGACAATAATAACTGTACAATCTAAAGAATATCTCGCGCTAAAAAAAATACATTAATTAGGAATTATCGAGCTGATGTATATGATGTATATTTAAAAATATAAACGCTTACTCTCTGAACAAAGCACAAAGCGACCAGCTCAGTATTCGAAATGCAATTCTCCAAGTCTCTTAGAAACGTTTCACCATGAAAAATACAAATATCCTCTAAATTGCCAAACAATACGTCCGCCTTGCCCACCAGTGCAGCTGGTATCAAATGAACCATCGCTTCGTTCGTCATTTCCATCTTGTAACCTTTAATGATCGAACCAAGTTCGGTGACGTAGATTCGTTCGGTTTCCACAAGTTCTGTCAAGACGTGGCCGCGTTTTAAACGCAAAGCCTCGATGTCTCGAGGCTCACTCTCCGGTGACGAGGATTCTCCTTCTATAGGACTCATCTCCATCTTAAATAAAGTCATTTTGTTATAGATCATATATTTATTTATATTTAATATTTTTTTTTATTTTAATTTTAATTTTTAATATTTTATTCCAGTATAAAGCTATCATACAATTTGAAATTTTTTCAAATATTATACAGGATGTCTCAAAAGTCCTGCAACAGTTGAATATCTTTATTTGAAACATTTTTCTCAAAAAGTTTGTTTTCGAGATATTTAATCGTTGCAGGATTTTTTGAACACTGTATAAAGTTTCATTTATTATATAAGATTACCTTTGGCATAGTATTGGCCTTTTTGAGAACTCTGCTGGGCTTTACAGTTTGAGGCAGTGATTGCAAAGGTTTGACTGGTTCTGGAGTGACGGTTTGTACTGGTCTGGCTGGTTTGATCAATTGCTGTTTTAGTGCCATTATCCTCTTGTCGCACATCAAGGACACATCTTCTATCCTTTGCAAAACCTATGAATCACAATTTCGAGTTGAGACAAATTTCGTTGAAATCAAAATATATTTCAGAAATACGCACTTGCGTGATGAGCGCTTTGGTCTCCGGCATCACGGAATCTTGGAAGATACATCGAGGATGGTGGAACTCCTCCGCGGCTTCGATCAACTGCTGCAGTTCTTGAAGTGCCTGATCCGGCAGCGTGGTGCTGTTCTGCGACGCCAGCAATTCTATTCCTCGCGTGCACCAAGTGTTGGCCTAGTGGGATTAATAATAAAATTAAATAAAAAATTAATTTTCTAATTGGCAAAGATAAATGAAGATGAAGCCGAGGGCTCCAGTTCAAACGTACCTTATCTATACGTTCCATAAGCTCCCGGCATTTCGTCAACATGTGCAATCGTCTTTCCAGTCTCTGACTGAGGATGGTGCAGACTCTCTGCAGCTCCACGCATTTGGGCTCCACGACGTCAGTCGGGCACTGATGCCTGCCGGACAATAGCTGTTGACCAGCGGATATCACCTCTTCCGCGCGATCTATGTCTCCCTATAAACATACGTAATTATATTTATGCACGATAACGCGATTAGACGTATTAATATATAAATGAATGAAGATGCTACAAACAGTCATGGCACTTGTGTTCTCATAGTTTGATTAAATGATCTAGAAAGGAAAAACCTCGGAAAGAAAATACACTATTATTGCGTGCAATGCAGAAAGAGAGAGGGCGAAAAATCATAATGATAATAATCATTCGCAAAAATTCACCATGCCATTATCGGACATGAATCAAACCTCCATCGGTCTTTCGATGACATATGCGTGCATTTCAACTAAAAGAGATAAGACAAAAAGGAAATAGCGTATTAGCTTGAATAGTATAAATAACGTATAATAGAGAATTTTAATTCAATGTATATAGCGCCTACGAAAACTTGTCGAAAAGTAATGTTTTCTATTTATCTCCAAAACATGATAAATATAAGACTGATTGTGAGATATGTATGTGTAAATGCTAAAATATATCTCAAAATTATACTGTGTCTTAAAAAATATAAGTCTATCATAGAATACATGTATTTTGTTAAGTGGACTGCTTACCAAGACCCAAATCCACATGGTATGCAACAAATAGGACTATCGACAAAATGAGGAAAGCGGTGCAAAGTAACATTTGTGCATAATGTGCATTATATATGTTACTGCTTATGATCACGTTCAAACCAGAATTTATATATGTATAAACATATGATGGGATATTTAAATGACAATTATATATATCTATATTTTTGACATTATCAATGATAGCATGTTTACTTTGTTATGAAGTTTATATAATACGATAAAAAATAATCTCCTGATGAATAAAATTATGCTGGTTTGAATAACATTCTGGTGCTTTAAGTGCGATCTGTATACATTCTCAAACACAAAATTGTGCAAGTTGCTTTCACTAATTGATCATTTTCGTACAATGGGTCTATAAGAACTTTATATTTCAGTGATATATAAATGACTCTTCTCTGCATAAAATTTATCATATAATTTTATCTTTGTAACTTTTTACGTTATTTTAAAAATACTAATAACTTTTGCTAGATATCTTATAAGAAAAATAATCCAACACGTTAAATATGATGATTGACGTATTTTGTCTCAAATTTACTAATTAAAAGTGTCACATACTCTGCATATTCGTTGAAATGCCGATGTGTCATGTAGTAACTGCTCCACTCGCACTTGAGTCTCCCCGACCTCCGTCATTTCTTCAACCGTCTTTAGATGCTGATCTAACGTCGCTTGTAATTCTCGAAAATCTTGTTCAAATTGCCTCAGTGCCAAACAATGTCTCAAACGTGAGCTATGATGTGACCAAAACAAGTCAAAGGTTCTCTCGGTTTCCTCCAACTGAACGAGTAACCTAAAGTTAAAGAATTTAAGCATTAAAAAATGATATACGCGATACATGATAGATTTCTTATTTCAATATTTTATATTAACGGATGTCTACTCAAATTTTGTAAAAAAATTATCTGATAAAATATAAATATAAAACAAAAATAATTTATTATAAATGTCTCAAGAAATACTAATTTATTTATTTAAATATTCTCTATTAAAGAATATAACAATTTTCTATGAAAATAGTTTATATATAAGATTATACTGAAAATAGATTGTCAATCAAAAATCACATAAAATTTTAATTAAAAACTCAAATATTGCCAAGATATATTAGACCTGTTCTTAAGTACTAGATAAGAGTAAAAAAAAAAATTTTTTAATTCCCTGAATCCCAATTAAATTCCATGAGAAATTCCCGGTTTTTCAAGGTTAAAAATCTCCTGAGAATGTCAAGTTTTCCCCGGAGTATACATCCTGATTAACGAAACAAATAATTTCTAATAAACGTAATAAGATTAATCATTTTATTTTACGTCTATATTATATTAATTAAGAAATTTTAATTTTAAATATTTCTTCTCTTACCTTTCTACTGCTGCAACATTTCCCAATCTATCGGCCGTTCCTTTTCCAGTTAACTGCCGTACACTATCTAAAAGAGCTTCTCCATGCCTGGCAGCGCTAAGTATCTCTTCTTTTAATTCGTTATACTCAGCTTGTTGCTGCGACAATAATGTGGTCGTAGCAATAGTATTGTTAGGAAATTCCACTTCGGCCAAACGTCGCGTAAAGGAGTCTAACGCGAGGGACACGTCCTGCGTCATTGATGAAAACTTCTCCAGACTCTGCATAGAAAGAGACAAACAAGTGTTTATCAATACAGACAGAATGGAAAATTTAATTTCATATAATTAATATCGCGAAACTTATATTTACAATTCTATTCTGTATCCAAGTGTGATGACAATACGGTAAATTGCCACCGAGCGGCTCGGTAAGCTGATTTGTTTCTATAAACTCGTGAAGCTCGACGATGTTAGCCAAGAATATAACTCTAAACTTGAAATCCTCTCGGAACAGTTTATTCGACACCTCCGAAATGGCTTTCTGTAAAAATCCGGCAGGTCGCAACACATATACTACATGCACTAGACCAGGGAAAATGCCTGAAATAAAAATGCAGAATTTTTAGTAACAATTATTATTGTTAAGTAATATAGTTTCATGAAGTAGTAATTAGAATATAATTATATATGAGTGAATAATATGTGAATTCACTTACAGAAATTTTCAGAAGCACCGTTTTCACAGAGTTCCATTTATCATTCCTTCGATCAATTATCAAATGAAATCCAAGATCAGCTTCTTGCAACCTATATATAAACACATTCAATAATATATAATTTAATTATTTAATAAGATAATTTATATTTATTTTTTAAATAAATTATAAAAAATATTTATTTTTTTACATAAATTTATTTTTGCATAAAAGAGATATCAATTGTTAATTAAAATGTAATATAGTAATAGACTTACGTTGGCACAGAAGTAAGGTATAACATGAGACGTTGATAGTCCAAGTCAGTCAAATTATGAAAATTGCCATTGTCTGGAAATGTAATTATAGGACATCCCTCTCGCGTTTTTCCTCCTGCAAAATATGTATTAAAAAAAACATTTAACAAAATTTAAATCTCAAAAGTGAATTTTTAAATATAACTTGTAAAACTAAATACAATATTTACCAGCAATAATAGCATATTGTGCCTGGAGAAGGTCTGCAACGTCTCGAACTGCCAAGTCTCCATTTTCTATCTCGCCTGTCATACTCTCTACATCTTCTGTAAAATTCAAAATATTGTCTTTTTTACTATTATATTACATTTATAGTATATAAAATACATTATATGTATTTCAATTTTTTTTAATATTTTTGTTACAATATTGTTCGTGAAGTATATTGCTTAAAAAAATCATGAGATTTTGTTAATGTTAAAATTAAATAAATAATACATATATCTTAAAATTTTATATACATATATACATACATATATATATATATATATATATATATATATAAATAAATATATATATATAGACACTTGCACGATTAGAAATTAAATAAGAATCTTTATTTATTCTGTTATAATTATATATTTAAACGTGTTTACACAACACAACACATTACACAAACATTATATGCATATATACATACAATTATTTATATGTTTAAAAAATCCTTTGGCATACTTTTATATTTTATAATTAATACAATTTTATTTACCATATATTTAATTTTGTGAAGATTAAACTACTAAAGGCCGCACTGCCTCATTATTGAGAAAAATAATACATTTTAGGAGATATCACAGTATTATTTAATTAGAAAACTTTAGTAAACGATTTTGTTTGACAGCCTCTTACGCAATGTTTACTGTGAACGTACAGTTCACGGTCAGAGCTCACTGGTATACTGAATGCAAGTACCTGATCAGAGGTTGCACTCACATGACCTTGCTGATGCCACCAACTGAAACAGTTCCCTGCTGTACCCACAATATTGCTGATATAACTGTAAATCAAGAGGCTCTCAAACGGGAAAACATAATCTTAATTAATACGAGGAATCTTGAAAAACAAGATCATTAATATTTAGTTGATATGTCCTAAAAAGCTTCCAATCCCTTACAACAATTTAATGTATAATATATACCTCTCTCATGCTTGTTTATATTAGAAACGAAATTTTTAGGTAGAAGAAAATAAAAAGAGAGAGAAATTCATCATAAATTATTTTTTTAGTATTAGTATTTTTAAGCAAGTATTGGATTTATATATGATACTTATAATTAGTAAAATTTTGTACGAGTTATTCAATACTCAATCTTAAATTATATCTAATAATTGATTTGTCTGACTTGAAGTGTTTTTTGTAAGAATAAAAATTAAACATACATTCTCTCTCTCTTTTTCTCTTGTTTACATGTACATGCTACAAATAAAAGATATAAATTATACATAATATTTATGCGTTAGAAGCACTGATATAAGCATTTGTATTGAGAAGCACTGTTGCTGCTACCATAGTTACTTATGATTTCCATGTCTGGAATTCAATAAAGATAAGAAATATTGAGATTCTTTGCTTTTGGACATCATAGGTTATTGAACTCTATAAAAAGCCTGTATGAAAATGTAGATTTTATAACTATATAGGTTTTTTTAGATGTCTTATTATATGAAAAATAATATTTAATTATAAAACAGCTGACCCTCCCAAACAGCTAAGAAATTTCAATATTTCCTAGATTTTTAGAATTAATTTTGGCAGATTATAACAAAGTACTTTATAAATTATAAATTTTCGTAAGTATTTCACAAATATATATATATATATATACTTTTAAAATATTATTTAATACATTTTTCTTTTCATGTTACTGCATTTTCACGGATTATAACGATATATTTTTATTTTGAATCTTTCGTGACTTTTAATTAAAAAGAAAGAGTAAGAGAATAAAAATGTAAAGAAAAAAAAATAAAATTTTCAGAAATTATACTAAAAAAAAGTAATTTTTTAAACAAATATGCTTTATATAATATTAATATTCTTTCTCGTTATCAACAAAAATCTAATGACTATTCAGCTAAATACTTTTTATCAATCAATATAGAAATACTTTTTTGCAATTATTATATCCAAACTTGAAAGGCATTATAACTTTACTCAATTTACTATATAATTGAGTAACAAAAGATGTATACTTTTCAACAAGTGTACATCTAATAACATAAGATTTTATATATATGTAATTTCCTTTTTTTTGCATTTTAGAAGATCAGAAGAGTATCATATATATATATATATATATTTATACACGTTATAAAATATTCTTATTGCGACTTTTTCGAACAATAACAAATATCTAACGCGTGCAATATATTACCGTACTCTCGGTTTAGGACCGAGGTATAGGAAAAAATTACTGAGAAATTAGAACCTTACAACATAGGCGCATATATCACATTCACATATACATACAATATACGTACAATTTGCTATGATATAATATATAACTATTCTTTTCTCTCTCATGCAATTTTCTAGTTTATGTTCGTTTTCGACAATGTGATAGCGGGACTGTTAACTACCAGCCCGCGCGTAGTAACTTGATAACTCACGCCGTCCTGTAATTTACTGATAGGAGTTAGCACATAGGTCTCGTTCTGTCCTAACTCGTGAGTTATCATCAATGGCAATATCGTACCACCTTCCGACTTTGGTGACTTCTGTTGACTCGTGTCATCCCTCGCATCGGGTTCCGTCTGACAATGACTCTGCGTGGTCTGATTTCTCACGATGAATTCCAGCTTGGCAAACTTCACTTGCGGGAACTGCACCTTCATGAATCGCCGAAACGTCGAGTAGCCCATGCTCTTGACGTCGGGTGACAATTTCTTGCAATATTGCGTGTACAGGTCGTGCACAGTTTTCCGCGTGATATCCGGCGACAGATGTAGCGGCGCGTTCTTAGCGAGCTTGGTCTTCTGCTTGGCCTCCTGCACCTCGATAAAGTTCTTCAGAAATTTCGTCGCGATCTTATATATGTCTAGGGAGAACGTGTTGTGCGGGATCTTCCCGTGATTGCCGTGTACACGTGGCGTTACGCCGTGCGTCATCAGATGCTTCCGAATTCGTTTGATCTGATAATGTGTACAATTCTCCAAGTACAGGAACGCATCCAGGCACACTCTTCGACCCTGATAGACATATTGTGCACGTAATCTACGTCGTTCTGTGTGCCGAGCGGTTTGATAAGGATCCGTCAGGCATGCCATTGTCACCCCCATTAAATACATGTCGTGCTCGGCCTTGGTCAACTCCGCGATGTTTAGTCTGTGTCGATAAACTATCTCGGGATTTAGGTTCTTGAAGCACTGATCGTCGACACACTCGCAGCCTCTTTTGAAGCGTTCTAATACCTGAGTTGGGCTATCCTCCAATTTTGTGGGATCGTAGCTTGGTTGATCGACACTTCGAGCTTTTTTAGTCTTGACTCTTGCAATGGATCTTTTTGATTTGGCATTAGAGACGTTCTTGCATTTTTCATGTTTCTGTAATTTATAAAAAAACATTAATGACCAGTACATATTAAAAAATGGCAGAAAATTATTTAATGTGATTAAAGTATATACATCTGTATTATGAAGATATATAAATTGTAACAAAATATCAATGCATAAGATTCAATAATTTTTATTAAAAAAATAAATAATAATATATATGTAAATGCAACATATATAACATATATGTAATATAGAATTTTTAAAATATATAATAAATAGAAGTTTACCTTTTTCTCTGTATTTGTTGCCTCTGATTCCTTTGTTATTTTACTTTTATCAGCAATAACAGTTTGAGCATTAGATATTTCTGATACTTTCACATCACACTTTTCTTCTGTTGTTGGTTCCATGTTGCATCTCTCAATTTGTACAGCACAGCTTTTCTGTCATCCTGCTATAAAAGATTTTATAATATTCTCAAAATAATTACAACTTTTCAATAATTATTCAAAACAATCATCATTTTCAGTAGCAATAAATTCTAGAGAGTAAGAAGATTCAAAAGATGTGCAAATATATTAGATTTAAATTTATTTTTTAGAAAAAGAAAACAATTTTTACGCAATAATTTTTCAATCGCACCGCGTTTTAATCGCACTTTCTGTACTTTGCTTCCTCTCTCTTCCCAAAAGTCAAGAATATACAATAATATCCATTTCATGTTTTGAATGAAGAAAAAAAAATAAGCACATGCAGCTGGCATTGACAAGAAACATATGTTTATTTCTATTGATAGTATCCTTTTTTTCGGACTAGAAATAAGTATAATCCTCCAAGCAGAAGAGGCGGAAGAGACGTCGTACACAGAAAGTGCAGCTGACAAGAAAGAAGTAGGGGACTAGCCTAAGGTCGAGAATCGCTGATCGCGCCCCTCGGTCACCAACTTTCGTCTCTAAGGCCAGTTACGTCAACATTCCTACTCACCGTAATTTGATTGTCTGTCGCGAGCTCCCTAGCTGGAGCGAGTCCTCTCGCGGTTCGAAAAACGTCACGTCGACGAGACGACACCCTCGCGAACCCGAGCTTGCAGCTGATCGCGATAAATCGCGTTGTATTCACCAGCCAACACTCCCGACGATATGGCGAACGACTAGTTCGTGTTATTGTGTCCAGAGGGGACGGCGACTCCCTCAGGAACGTAACGCAAAAAGGCGCCCAGCTCCTGTCACTTTTGCGTCACAAAAAAAACGCGCTCCGGATGGGCAGCGAATTTGAGTGGATAAATATGTCTAATTTTATTTTTTTTTATTTGCAGAAATTTTGTGACTCAAATCTTGTATTGTGGCAAAAAAAAAAATGCGCCAAGAATTTTATTCGTGCTCTACGTCAAAATGGAAAATTTAATCGACAATTCGATTATATATGAATTAAATATAATTTTATCTTATTGATAGTTCTGTATCTAATTTAAGAAAATTAAATAAAAATAAATAAAATACACGCATATTTATATTTTATAAACACTATAGAGGAAAAATTATGCACTTATTAATTAGAAATAAAGTTTCTTACAATTAATTTTTTAAAATAGAAAATTTAATCAATATAATAAATAATTCACTCATATTGATTAAATTTTTCTATCTTATTGATAGTTTCTAATTTCAAAAATTTTATATAAATAAATAAAATTCATACATATTTTATTTACTCAATAAACGATACATATAAAAACTCTTCAACTATTAATTACACTTAATTTTTCAATACAGAAAATATAAATAACCAGTATAATTCACTCATATATTGATTAATATTTTTTCTATATTATCGATAATTATATATTCTATCTCTATAATCTAATACAATTTAATATAAATAAATAACAAAATTCATGCATATTTTATCAACTCGATAAACACGAAAGAGTGAAACATTATACAGTCATTAATAATGACAATTAAATTTTCTAGAGAAATAATATACGAGAAAATTAATTAAATATATAGAAAATAGCAGATATATTATTATAATATATTGCATATACTAAAATATATACATATATATCATAATACATTTGTTCAATAATATGAGAATCAACGATCTACTCGCGAGAATGTCAAATAAAAAAAAATTCAACAATTTCGGTGTAGCGGGAAAAAAACTTCCGGATTCACCCTCTCTCCGCTCGTGTCCGGAAGCACGTATGCGGATTATTGATTGATGGAAGGGCGCGGATACAGCCCTGGTGCTCTCTCCCGACGACGCGAGGAAGGAGCGAGCGAGACCTCAAACAAGCACAATGCACAACACCACGAGCACGCTCCAAATAGCATAACGTCGCGCACGTGAGGAGGACCGATGGCGGACGCGAGATTAGAATCGTCCCTTAATTTGTGCAAATTAGAGAGAGCTGAAGAATTTTCCTGCAGAATATTTCCGATCTATTACGACAAATTTTCCCGCGTGTCAGTAGATTAGATTGAATATAGAAGAAATTTTATTTAAAGCGTAAATTGTACTTAAAGTCTTGAAATAAAAAGTATAAGCTTAATTAAGACGAAGAACGAAGGAAAGCAAATCTTATAAGGTTCTGTACAAACGGCTTTATCGTATATAAATCTCCTTATAAGTTTTAAGGTCGTAAAAATGTAGCGGGAACGAATTGGCGCGGCTACCGTAATACCGTAACTTATCGCAAACGTCGTATAAAAACGCGTAATGTTCGCTGTTCCGCACCTATACAATCGTTTTTTCACGTCACGAAATATATAGTTCGTTTTAAATTAAAATGGCAAATATCTATGCAGACGATTTTTACTTTCGTATTTTTGCATGATAATAGATATTTTTCTAATTTTAAGACGATGCAGTCATTGCGTTTCATATCAAAAATATTTGCATTTGAAACAGTAGAAAATATATGTATATAATAAAATATATAAAATAATATATACAAATATAATATTATATTATATATTTTTTATATTTTTTATTAAATATATAATATATTGTATAATATTATATTATATATTTATAATATAATATAATGTAATATTGTATAATATTATATTATATATTTTTTATATACTTTTTCATATAAATATTATCTTATATATTTTATAATTAATGTTACTAGAATGTGTGTATATATAGTGATATATGTATATACATATGTAACATGTTTATTTACATAAATATATTATAATTATTATTAATTATAGATATATACTATATATATATATTATCACACACATTCTACTAACACTATAAAAATAATATAAGCTGCAAAACAGAGATAATAATGAGTGTACTGAAGACGATATCTGAACAACAGGTTTAAGACTACAGATGATATTTCGTTGCGATAACTCGCATCGAGTTTCTACGCTAAAAGACCGACAACAATGCGAAAATTGTACGTATGATCAATGCGATTCAAACCTGTGCATTTAGTAGAGCAGTGTTGATGGCAGGGACAATTGCAGCTATGCAACGACTTTCGACGGAGAATCATCTTGCCTGCCGCTTCGGTTGGTCCGATACTTATCGTATTGTCGCAGAACGTTGCAAACTTGTTAACAATAGAACGCTGTATAATCAACACACCGCCACGACGCAGAGAGGCTCATCGATTCAGGCTACAGCTCACTCCACAAGCCGACTTAAATCATTGTTCATTTCGTCGATTTCAACTTTCCCCTCCTTGGGTATTTAATGCATCTCGCACGTCATCACACTATTGTAACGAAAAATTACAATATACGGAGTATTTCGCACATTTGCTGTATCCTTAAGAAATTATCCGATATATAATATCCAATTTTTCTTTCAACATTAATTAAATATTTCCTCCTGACGCGGTTTTCAAACAATTTAAAAAGAGCAACCACAAATTAATAATTTAAATTTCACTATTATTCGATAGAAATACTATTATATATTATATAGAAAAAGAAGTAATAGAGATATAAAGAAAATTTAAATAAAAAAAGTATTTAATTAGATTAACACTTTATTTTAATTGATTGTACACAAACTTTGCATTTTCAATAGTTAATTAAATACTTCCTGCTGCTGCTTTTCAAACATAAATATAATAACTTTGCCATCACATTTTAATTCAAATTTCACTATATATTATTCGGTAGAAATACAATTAATTATATTATATAGATAAAGAAGTTGTTAAAATAAATATAATAAAAAATTATTTAATCCGAATTTATACTTTATTTTAATTGATTGTGCGAAGACTTTGAATTTTCAAGTTCTCGAAAAGTTGTTTTGCTGAACTACTCTGTGCATCATCGCGTCAACGTTATGCAATGCAAAATTGGTACACGATACTGCAAGTAACTGACTCGATCGATGCAACGAACAAAATTCGCTGGTAGCAAAAGTTCGTTCGCAGAATTATTGCCGCGTCGTAATTAAACGTTGCGCGATAACATCGGTTATTCGAATCGATGCTATCGCAAGTGAAATGAGAATCTCTAGAGACACTTTCAACTTTGATGGAAGACAAAAATTCTTCTTGGAAGTGCGAGCGCATTCTCGGATTAAACGCATTCTTTGTCTTGCAATTAGACGTAAAGTCTCGATTTTCTCGACCCACCTTGTACATCGGCAAGTCAACAACAGCTAATCATTAGTTTCCTATATATTGTCAATTGACATTGCAACACACGTTTTTTATCTTCTACTTAAACGTATGCCATTATGACAACTCATTGTCAGCAACGTCCTGCTCGTAATGTTTTATTCGAACATATTAGCGTACAAACATTTGCGATTAATGTTTTATATAAAATATTTTTTGTACAAAACGTAAAATATTATACAAAAAATATTTTCATTACATTATACTTATTAATGTCAAATATTATATAAAAATGATTTTATATATAAAATAGCGTACAAAGAATGCGATTAATATTTAATATTATATATATATATATATATATATATATATATATATATAAAACGATGAAATTATTATAAACTATTGCATTATAAAATAATATTTTTCACAGTAAATAAAGATTTGTAGAATAAATACTATTTCCACAGACTAAAGATATATTTGTGTGCGATTACTTAATAGAATATAATGATACTATTCATTTAAAACGTAGAAAAAATTTAAATATCCTGCTCTGTGTTCTAATGATAATACAGATAAAAAACTTGTTAGAAATGTTGACACAATAGATGCAGATGCAATATATTACACCTGTATTTATAGAGTCGCTATTTTTAAATGTTTCCAATTATACATATCTCATTATTCGGCGATATTAATATCTCGTAGCGCATGTTCGAAATTTCTGACTTCTCCGATAAGACAATAGGGCACGTTATCGTCGTTCTCTATTTACAGTCAATTACGTCTCTCTCTATGCATACACAAGACGGCGGACGTTGTCTCACGTGTTTCACGCTCGCGGGGATGCATCAGTCACGTTGCACACGATTGCACGCGCTATATGCGCTATGCAGAAGAGCGCTTCATCAAAGTTGCACGAGGGTTCTTTTTGATCGATACCAATGTACTCGCAACCGTACGGCAACCCTTTCACGAAGGGACGCCTACGCGTTAATAAATCCTTTGTTGTTCAGAAAATAGCCGCATAACAAATAGCTTTAAATTATAACACTCGATATTAGATCACGACAAATCCATTTTATGTGAACTGAAGCGACAATTAAGATATTATTACTCCAACGTTATTATTTAATATATTCCTAATTGTGTCATCATTTTTTCATCGGCGGTTTTTATTTGTAGAAGAAAGAATCGGTAAATTATTTTACGACAAATTCTATATGAACTGAAGTGATAATCAAGATATTATTACTCCAAACTTATTATTTAATATCCCTAATTGCGTGGTATAATTTTTTGATCGGTTGTTTTTATTTGTAGAAGGAACAATCGATATTAAATTAATTTACGACAAATTAAATTTATATGAACTGAAGCGATAATCAAAATATTATTACTCCAAAGTTGTTATTATATTTAATATCCCTATAATTGTGCCATAATTTTTGATCGGTGGATATTTGTAAAAGAAACAATCTATATTAAATTAATTTACCACAAATCAATTTTATATGAACTAAAGCGATAATCAAAATATTATTACTGCAAAGTTATTCTTTAATATCCATAATTGTGCCATAATTTTTTGATTCGTGGTTTTTATTTACTATCTAATATTCCTATAACTGTGTTATAATTTTTTTCATCAGTTTTATTATAAAATAGAAGGCATAATCGATATTAAAAGTTGAGTAAGAATCAAAATATTACTATTTGAAAATTATTATTTAATATCCCTAATCATAGTCATAATTTTTTGATCGGTAGTTTTTATTTACTATCTAATATTCCTATAATTGTGTTATAATTTTTTCATCAGTTTTATTATAGAATAGAAGGGATAATCGATATTAAAAGTTGAGTAAGAATCAAGATATTGCTATTTGAAAATTATTATTTAATATCCTTAATCATATGTCATAATTTTTTGATCGGTAGTTTATTATAGAAAGACGATTAAAGTAAGATTCTTACAAGAATACTGAAAACATGTTTTACATTGCATTTACCGCGTTATTTCCGGCCATCCCTTTATCGCGCTCACGATATTTCGCGGAGAATTCTTATCACACCCATAGAAGATTTGACTTTTATTACGCTTGGAAGATTTGACGGTCGATTTGCTTCGCAAGAATTATTACTTTGCTGAATAATTCGCCACGGCCTGCAATTATGTATCACGCAAATTTAGCGCAACCGTCCGTTCATTTGCACGATATTCACGTCACGCGGACATTTAGCTCCTATCTACAGTATATATATTTATACTTGACTAGTCTAGTGTCCTATATACTTGATAAGCCGTCGTGTTATCAGCCTCAAACCGATGTTGGTGGTCAATACCTCGAAAACGAGTTTACCGACAATACTATACAGTTCGTTTCAGATTTCACGGACTCCATTGATCAAAAACTACCACGTAACTGATATGCATCACATATCAGTATTTAACAAGTTTCATATTTAAGAGATAGATATATACCCAAATTATCGCCTTGAAATTTTAGACAATCAAAAAGAATTTTATAAGCTCAAGTATAATTTAAATTGTTTTTAAATTAAAACAATGAAATTCCTAATCTGTTAAATTATACATATATAATTAATCTAATCAATTGCAAAAAAAAAATTTATTTCTAACTCGTTGATACCGGCTACAATGTAATATTTATAATATAATATGCATATAATTTTTTAATAAACTTGTTAATAAACTTATTTTCTACATAATTAAGTATAATACAAAATATTCATTTATTATATTTTATAAATAACGTAAAATAAAAAAACTCTTATTGTTAGAAATGTTATATAGTGATTATTTCTAAAACCAGCATCGCGAAGTTATTACATCCTCAAAAACTGTTATGAATCAACAATATATGTTATACCCGCTATATGATACATATATTACGTGCGGAAAAAGTTTGCAAATAATATGGCGAACGTATGTGATGTGGGAATCATTCTCTTTCGTACATGATTTCCATTGATTATAATCTTTTCTTGTATACCTGGGTACCATATTATACGCTTCATAAGCTCGCTTCCGCGACACTTTTTCCCACGAAATCCCGCGTGCTGTTAGATCACATCGCGCTCCCGTTAAATCACCGACACACACCGTGAGCCTCCCACTGGAGTATTTTTTTTCGCGTGCAAAAAATTCTCGGCGAAAATGCTATATATATATATATATACATACGACAAAATATCGCAACAATGCAATCCACTCGACTCGCACTTGATTTACACTCGCGCGTCTATTTTCGTCGAGGTATAACCTCCGGCTTCTAAGCCAATAACTCCATCGCGCGGCTATTATCCACCCGCGCGTATATATATACGTATACAAATATACACGAAAACACATACATACGCACGCGCCGGCGCGCATGCAGGATTATATATGCACCGTTCGTTCGCGAATGATGGGTAATTAAAAAATGCGGAAGTATATGTATCGCGTGGACGGAAGTATATCGGCGTTTTTCGCAGACGAATTTTCCGAAGAATTTTCCACGAGGGAAAAAAATGGAGACGCGAGCGGCTCCTCGCGCACGCACACACCCGTTGACACTCCGCGTGTGATCGATAGAATCGCACGCCGTCGTCGCCGGCGACTCCTCCCTCCCTCAACCCCTTCTACTACGCCCACGTCACGCACTTATCGTGTATGCACACTTTGCGCAGTTGCGAGGAATCGGAGTCGCAGTCGTGCTTCGCGTGTCTCGAGACCGATCACGAGACGAAATTCAGGAAATTCCAGGCGCTCTGGGAGGAACTCCGTGACGCTACGTCGTCGTCGCGGAATCCGCGACGGACGCGTCGTCGCGACGGAGCCGCGGGTGGCGTCGCCGCAGGGGCGAATGGGATTTTTCTAGGAACCCCGGGGGAACATCGGACTCGCGAAGAGTGAGAAAAATTCATCCTTGCTTGTTGTTTGATTCATCGGACCCGTCGTTGTCGATTACGACGTCAGTTTCTGTCCGAATTAAATTTTTCGATTTTGACAGGTGTTGTTCTATCTGACGCGCCGAGAGTCGACGCTCGTTTTTCTTACGGCCCTGAGGGGCGATGGAGGGGAGGATGAGGGAGATCCACCAATCGCGAACGAATCGAATCCACGGAGGGGGAGGCGAGCGCACGTGACTCGCGGCGTGTCGCGCTGTCAAAATCGGGCGCGATCTTATCCGCATGGATTTTGACAGATCTATTCTAATTTTTTTTAATGAATGTGTTAATTTATAACGTGATAATTATAACGTATGATTTATTAGAAAATTTATAATTTTTTGGTATTAAGTTAGGCCTACATACATATCTCTTTCTCCCGATGAGCTCGAGGTTTTTTTTTTCTTTCGTGAATCGGAGTAGAAATGAATAAATTATTTCTTTACATGTGTATGGAAATATGGAAAATTATTATGTGGATTATAATTCAAGTATGAATAATTGACGGTGAGTATAAAAGGGATTAAAACTTATAGTTGCGTGATAAAAGCATAAACTCATTCAGGTCACGAAACATATTAAACTAGAAACTTATATGTACATGAGTCTCTCGGAAGTCAAACTGATCATTTCTATTTTTTATATACGTTTCTTGGTTTTAATAACACGTCATTAAAATTAAGAAATGTACAAAAAATGCTGCAGCTGATTAGTTTGACTACTCAATAGTTCATATGTATAATACTATATTAGTACTTTCAAATTAATAATAGCATTTGTTTAAAATTATGTATAAAATATATCTCTAAATAAAGAATAATAATCGGCGCGTTCTAGAAATTAAAAATTTATGAAGCTACATTTAAAGAAACTAAAAAAAAACAGACATGAAAGACGAATCAAATAACGTGTCGATTGACGTCATCAAATAAGATGCTATCCTTTAAGTAGTTACAAAGCGAATGCAGAATATGTGGAAGCGTTTACGGTGGAAGGTATTTCACGAGATCACTCAATTATTCACTCCATCAGGCGGGAAATTGATTTATCGTCATCGTCAAACGGCTACTATAATTCGCACGTGAGAGGAAAAATTTACAAACGACACTTTATAACTTAATTAAGACTTGCCACTGATCGCTATCATTCGATAACGAACGCGAAAGTTAGCTTCAGTGAGAAATTTATCATTTAATGATTTAAGGACAGGAAACTTGAGAGCAAGGTGTCGATCGAATCATTAATTAATTGTAACATCATTCATTAATGAATAGAATGTACTCTCGATTTAATCGCGATGAGATGCGAATAAAAGAACCGTGAGTTTGATTGTTTGCGAATCAATAATAATGAGTATATGCATATGACTTCCGTCAATAAAACTGCCAATCCATTATACGTCAATCGTATCTTGATTGAAGAAAAAGAAGAAAAAAATGTAGGAATAACTCGAGCCAGCGGAGAGATTGACAAATAAATTAATCACTCTTCACTTAATAAAAAGCGAATGACGCGTGTTATTTTTCTCGTGTAACATAATTATTTATGTAGAATGTTGGAGAAACTTGCAAATAAAGTAAATAGTGTGTATATATGTATGTATGTATATAAGAAGAGAAAAGAATTGATTTAGATATATAATCAATGATATTTATAAATGAATAATATCTAAATAATTTTAATAACATCTAAATAAAATTAATAATATATTATTAAACTAAAATTTTCTTAAAACAATAAATTCTAACATATGATTTTACGTCAATAGATATCAATTCTTTCTAAATTATTTTTGTTCTTTCTATAGCAACAGCATCTTCTACGTTCTCTCTCGGCCGTGAAAACTCTCGAGCAATAATACAGGAAAAAATCGATAAACGTTACACACGATTTGAGGAATAAAATACGAAGACTTGGTCGAGCGATCATATACTCCCGAGGCACATTTCCAGTTTTCAATCAATCGAAAAAGTCTCCATTCCAGTAAGTAAATGAATAATAGAGTACAGATCCCACATTGTGTTAGCTGGGCAATATATCGGTAGTGTTAAAACGGAATTAAAATAAAAAAATTCTTTCCTTTTCCTATCGTTTTTTTACCCATACACACACAAAAAAAGTTTATTGAATTCGAATAAGTATTTATTTCAATTACTGCCAAATAAATCATTTATTTGAAACTAAAAATATTGATTTGATGTGAAAAATATTTATTTGTTTCAAATAAATGATTTATTACCATAAGCAGTATTAAACTAAATATTTATTAATTTAGTCTTTTTTTTTCAGTGCACGTCAATTAAAGAAGAGAATGTGCGACTTACACTCCCCGCGCAGGGGAAATGACGTAAATTCAAACTGCGCATTTAGATGTGCAGATCTGGAAACACTCGGAATCTCTTTCCACGCACCTGGCGATGTATTTCAAATCAAAAGCACACAATTGTTTTATATTGTCTACGTTTATTATTATTAGCGTTTATGAGTAAATGACATGATATGTTACAATTTCGTCAAGTAAACTCCGTGTGACCCGACTTAAAAAAAAAAAAAACTATTGTTAAAGATATAATATATACATAAATAATTATTCCAAGAATTCCTTATTTAAAGTTTTTTATGCATCTAAAAGCGTGAACATTTTTACTCCAAATACATAAAATATATAAATTCAGAAAAAAATCAGATATTGCTATAAAAAGTTGAATTTTTTCTATTGAATTTTATGTATCTTTTTTCTATTGTACATATATATTTCTGAAACTGTTTTCCATCATTTCAGTCATCCTATAAAAAAGTAAGCTCCGTGACCGACTTTAAAAAATGCATTGTCAAACACACACCTTTTATCTTTAAACTCGATCAAAAATCCTAGGTTGCAGTAACTTTTTCGCTTTCAAAGACGAGTTTAAAAAAAAAATAAGTAGAAAAATAAATTCTCTCTCTCTTTCTTCGTTTCATAAATAGATCCATAGATAATTCTCAAAACTAGAGAAAAGAAGGGCGAACAAAATTCACAACTTTAAAAAAAGCATTGTCAAATACACACCTTTTTATCTCTAAACTCAAAAATATACCTAGAACCTAGATCGCAGTAACTTTTTCGCTTTCAGAGACGAGTTTCAAAAAAATAAGTTGAAACAAATTTTCCCTCTTGCTTCCCGTTTCACAAATAGATCCATAAATAATTCTCAAAACTATACTGAAAAAAAAAATTATTAAATTAATAAATATTTATTTCAATACTGTCAAATAAATCATTTATTTGAAACAAACAAATATATATATCTGTTTTGAAAAGGATTATTCTATATGAAATAAATATTTGCTCGCATATCAACATCATTATATAGTTTCAAATAAATAATTGACAAAGCAGTGTTGGAATAAATATTTATTCGAATTCAATAAATGTTATTTTTCAGCGAGTAGAGAAGAAGAAGGGCGAGAACAAACTCACCCGCCTCGAGCAGCTCCAGGTCCAGGTTGCCGCTACGACTGCGGCTAATGCTGCTGCTGCAGGCGTTGTAGCCGCTGCTGGAGCGAAGAGCGGCGGTCTCCTCCATCGCCCGGGAGGCGCTACGCTTGAACTGCTCCAGGAAGCTGTCGATCTGGTTCTCGATGCTGGTGGGCGAGCTGGCCATCGTTCAAACAATCCGGCGTACGTACGACGTTTGACACGTGCGAGATCGATTTTACCGATACCGTGTATGCGACACCGGCCCGGACGACGACGTCCTCGACGAGGGAGAGAGAAAGAGAGAGAGAGAGAGATAAGGACAGAGACAGATGAATAGACAGAACGAACGGACGGAACCGCGCGGTTTACGATTACAAGGACTACATCGTAGAATCACTTGCACTTGTGCCCGCGATCGGTCCCCGGACGCACGTCAATGTTTCCTCCCGGGGAACGACGCGGGTTAACGACGTGACCCGGCCCTTGACGCGGCACCACCTCGTTTAGCCGTGCGATGCTGCTGCATGTCCGCTGGCTTTTCCCTCGTTGCTGCCGCAACGTTCCGCTGTCGTCGCGGTACAGAGAGAAGAGACCCGCGGCGTCTCGGGAAAACGCCAAAACTGAAATGACATACCGCGCGCGCGCTGCCGCAGTGTTTTCGCGGCAGGTGTCGCATAAGCTGCGCCGCTCGACCGGCGCGTTTCACGTTTCACCTGAACTCCCTTCCCTCGTAGACCAGCGAATACTACGTCTATCTCGGGGTGGGGTGTAAGGGGAAGGGTCAGACCGCAAGGGCGTTGATCGGGTCCGGTAATAATCTTTATCGCGTGTCGGGGATGATAAGAGAAAAGAATCGAGGAGATTGAAAAGTTTCGGAAATATTGTATGACAGAAGAGATAAAAGTCGAAATTATTCAAGAAATTTTTAAGCGAGATTTTTTTCTGAATTTATATATTTTATTGATTATGTGATTTTTGGGTTTAATATAAAAGAAAGAATCCTTAGAATAAATATTTAATATACGAGTTTGACAATGCTTTTTTATAGGCATATTGTATGATAGAAAACTGTTTCGGAAATATACATAAAATATAATTAAAAAGTTCGACGTAAGAGCGAGATTCGATTTTTTCTGGATTTATATATTTTATTAATTTCGAATAGATTTTTGTGCTTATATAAAAGAAATTGGAATAAATATTTATAATATGTGTATTTAACAATGCTTTTTATAGGAACATTGAAATGCTGGAAAAGTTTCGGAAAATAACAGAAAAAAGATAAACATAAAAATAATTAAATAAAAAAATATATAAGATTCGATTTTTCTGAATTTAAGTAATAATCTTTATCGCGTGTCGGGGATGATAAGAGAAAAGAATCGAGGAGATTGAAAAGTTTCGGAAATATTGTATGACAGAAGGGATAAAAGTCAAAATTATTCAAGAAATTTTTAAGCGAGATTTTTTTCTGAATTTATATATTTTATTGATTATGTGATTTTTGGGTTTAATATAAAAGAAGGAATCCTTAGAATAAATATTTAATATACGAGTTCGACAATGCTTTTTTATTGGCATATTGCGTGATAGAAAACTGTTTCGGAAATATACATAAAATATAATTAAAAAGTTCGACGTAAGAGCGAGATTCGATTTTTTCTGGATTTATATGTTTTATTAATTTATTCGCGAGTAGATTTTTGTGCTTATATAAATTAAAAAAGGAATTAGAATGAATATTTATAATAATATGTGTGTTTAACAGTGCTTTTTATAGGAACATTGAAATGCTGGAAAAGTTTCGGAAAATAACAGAAAAAAGATAAATATAAAAATAATTAAATAAAAAAATATATAAGATTCGATTTTCTGAATTTATATAATTTTATAATTTTTTTGCAGCTTTTGCGCTGAATTTATATATTTTATTGAAATTGATAAAGAAATCCTTAGAATAAAATATTTAAATGCTTTTTCACAATATATTTAATTTATAAGAGAGATTCGCATTGAAATGATGAAAATAAAATTTCAATGAAACATACAACAGAAAAAAGATGAACATAAAATATAATTTCAAAATTCAACGTAAGAGCAAATAGTTGATTTTTTCTGAATTTATATATTTTATTAATTTCGAGCAGATTTATGCGTTTATATAAAAGAAATTAATGAAAAAATCCTTCGAACATTTAATGTGTTTGATAATGCTTTTTTTATAGAAACACTGAAATGATGGAAAACAGTTTCGAAAATATATAACAAGCAAAAAGATGAATAAAATATACTTAATTAAAAAATTTTACATAAGAGAGAGATTCGATATTTGTTGAATTTATATATTTTATTTTAAAAAAAGAATTCTTAGAATAATTATTTAATATATGTTTGACAATGTTTTTTTCAAGTCAGTCACATGGAGTTTACTTGATAAAATTGTATTTTATAATTTAAGCGTAAACATAATAATGATGAACTATATAGTAAGTACCTATATAAAACAATTGCTGCTGAATACTTTTTTCAGTATTCTCGATATTACATGCTTGCTTACAAGCAATATTTTTATTTGCGGTAATAATTAATTGTATTAATATATTCAAAATATTTTTACTAATAATTGTGAGCTACCGTGCGCAGTTTATTTGGTAAAAATGCCGACAGTATTTTGAAATTTTTTCGGTACTCTCGCGATATAACACACGCTTTTTGCAGATGATATTTATTTTTAAATATCTTAAAATTGTCTGATTAAATAATATTTCTTGCGCTGAAATCACGCGCATATCACTAAATCTGTCAGATTCAATTTTATATTATAATCGAGATTTCGAGATCAATATATAAATAATAAAAATGAATAATTAGACTCACATTTCGACTATTCATCTTCTCCGATCTCGGCGTAATCTGGATTCCTCACCAGCATCGTTTATCCCGTAGAATGTAGAAAATCAACTTCTGCATTTCAGGAACTATCCTCGTAGGAGTTTCACAAGAAACACTCGCGTTATTTTTTTTTTAATTATCACATTTTCGACGCGTTTCGATTAAACGCGAGAGCTTATTTCCATACGAATAAAACCGACGCTCTATTTATTTCGCTGCTTTTTTCAAGGCCTATTTATCGCAGAGCTTTATCGAAATCGAACGATGATTCGACGACTTCCTTCGCGCAACGCACCAGAAAAGTCACCGATATTATATTCCAGAAATGGCACATCACTATATTTCATATTTCACTCACGCAATAATCGACGACGAGGAAATCGCGGAAATCACAAGGGAAGAGATTCGCCGATTATTCAATGTATCGTATTAATTCGACGACGCCACGAAAGTATAATATATTATCACTTTTGTTTGGAACAAAAATTGTCCACCGAATTTCGAGGAAAAACACGATTGTCGCGATGTTTTAAAAAAAATTGAGCACCGAAAAGTCATCGAAAATCGTAACCACGAATACCGAGAATCGTCCAAGCAGCCGCGATTCCGAGAATTAGCTCCTTCAGCGAGATCCAGAAAGAAAGAGAGGGAAAGAGAGCGAAAAAAAGAGAAGGAAACAGACAGGATTCGTTTCCCGGACACACTCGCGATCGCGTATTTCGCTAATATATACGATTAATACACGCACTTCTCGCGGTTCGCCAAATATTTCCGGCTCGACGATTCGCGAGAAAGTTCTCGAGAACAACGCACGATAGTGAAAAATGTCACAATAGCAACATGGCGACGCGACCGTGTCGTAGCTAAGCTTCGCGATTTTTACGAAGATTATACGGACCTACTTCGTCGCGTAATGACACTTCGACACGATGCTCCGAAAACAAGAGCGGAAACGCGCAATCGCCCGCTTAGAACACGCTCGAGCACGGCGAAGATCTCCGGAAAATTCGCGTCGAAAGCGGAGCCGGGACTTCTCGCTTCTGCACCCTCGGAAAGTCGCGCGCGCGAACTTTTCGCAGCTCGAGCAGGAGCGGTGACGTCACGCGTCACGTGACGACTCTCGCTCTCGGGAGACCGAGCGTCGAGAAATTCGCGGCCGATTCGCGGCCGAATCTTCGCGCCTGCACTCACGATCGATAATTAATATAAAGATAGTAATTAGCGCGAAACATTAATTAATATACTCACACTCACGTTACTTTCGCGGAGCGGAGATGAAAGTGCGACTGTTGACCGCGAATTACGCGAAATGCGCCAGATGGCAGCAGCAATCTAGATCGTGCTCGAAAATATCTTCGTCGCCTAGGGTGAAGCGCGCGATTGGCCAATCAGGACGAAGAGATTCTGGCTCGCCGATTGATCGTCGCAGAAATTGTCCAACCAATCGGAGGCCGCGGATCTTCATTCTGATTGGCGGACTAAAATTTGGTCGACCAATCGGAGCGCGAGAATTTCTCTCGATCGCTCTAGATAAATATATTTCCGAACACACAATCCAGAATGCTGCTGCTGCCCTCTGAGCTTCGCATTATTCGCGGTAAACGGTCGCGTTTGTCGTCGCTCCGCGAAAGTACGCGAGTGAATATTAATTATACTAATTTCGCGCTAATTATTGTCTTTACGTTGAGCGGGCGATTGCGCGTTTCCGGTTGCGCTCTCGAATCGTCGTATCGAAGTATCGTTTCGCGACGAACGATCGAGTTGTAAGGGATTGTAAAGATCGCCAAAGTCAGCTCGACACGTCGCCATGTTGCTATTATTGTTGTATTTTACTTTCGTGCGGTGCTCTTGAAATCTTTCTCGCGAATCGTCGAGCCGGAAATATTTAGCGAAGAAAGAGAAGTAGTGTATTAAACGTATATTAGCGAAATACGCGATCGCGAGTGAAGTGTTCGAGAAACGAGTCCTTTTATCTCTCTTCTCTTTTTCTTCTCTCCTTGTTTCGAAGGACCGAATTCCCGGAATAGAAAATATAGTGATGTGTCATTTCTGGAGTATCGGCGACTCCTGGTGCGTCGCGAAGGAAATCGTCCTTCGATGAGGCTCTCTGATAAATGAGCCTTGAAAAAGCGGCGAAAATGCCTCAAAAATGTGATAATTAAAAGCCGGTTGCACAACAAAAAAAAGTAACAAGTGCAATAGTGTTTTGAAGCTTCTACGAGAATAATTCCGGACGCATAGGTTGGTCTTCTGCAGGAAAAATGGTGCTCTAGAGGAATCCAGAATAATATATGCCGAGTCACGAGAAGAAGAATTAGTCCAAATGTGAGTCTAATTTTGTATTTTGTTATTTATTGATAAAGCGATAGAAAAAAATAAATGCCTAAGTATTGACTGGATATTGTGTCAAAATATAAATATACACAATATTGTAAAGTTTTGGCAAAATCGGAGAGGATTCCTTTTTTTGAAATATATTCATTTTATTATTTATAAAAGCAATGAGAGAAGACAATCATTCTAAACAGATTTAGTTTCTCGAAATGCATAAATTAAAAAATGCGTAAAATAACATCTCGTTAATATAGTTTTTCATAATATAATTCTAAATTTTGTGTGATTGCATATTTATGTTTCTTATACGAGTATATTTTCAGCATTAGAATTGCATTCAATTTTCTTGAAAAAAAATTTAGTGATATTACATATTTATATATTTTTTGCGACTGATGATGTAATATACAGCCTACTTGAGCTTCTCCACTGACGTAACTTTGCGTTTTCTCATAAACTAAAACTGATAAGAGTTTCGCATCATTCTGTTATGTTCTAGCTCTAACAGAGTGTAAATATCTCAATCTATTTTTATAAATAACTCCGGCGCGACTTTGTGTCGACATCTCTCTTTTTCTCACAAATTTTTATATATTTTCATTTATTTAATTTTATTTTTTTATTTAATCTTTTTTATTTACAAATTCTAAGACATTGATATTATTTTTTAGTGACCTATTTTCTTCTCCTTCGATCTATTTCACTTTTTTCGACAAAGAAATAAAAATTTTCATTTATTTAATTTTATTTTTTATTTAATCTTTTTTATTTACAATTTCTAAGACATTGATATTATTTTTAGTGACCTATTTTCTTCCTTCGATCTATTTCACTTTTTTCGACAAAAGAAATAAAAATTTTCATTTATTTAATTTTATTTTTTTATTCAATCTTTTTATTTACAAATTTCTAAGACATTGATATTATTTTTTAGTGACCTATTTTCTTCTCCTTCGATCTATTTCACTTTTTTCGACAAAAGAAATAAAAATTTTCATTTATTTAATTTTATTTTTTTATTCAATCTTTTTTATTTACAAATTTCTAAGACATTGATATTATTTTTTAGTGACCTATTTTCTTCTCCTTCGATCTATTTCACTTTTTTCGCCAAAAGAAATAAAAATCACAGTTGACAGTATGTGTCGACATCTCTTTTTTTCTCACACAATTTTTATTTTCATTTACTTCATTTTATTTATTTATTTACAAATATCACAGATATTAGTTTTTAATCCTCTATTTTCTTCTTCTTTGATTTTCTACTTGAATTTTTTCAACAAACAAAAAAACGAAAATGACAGTTGACAGTATTTATAAAGCGGACATAAAAGATCGATATTTAAATCGCGCACCGGGAGAATTTTCGGAGCAGCTGTCGTCGATAAAGCGGAGCGCCGCGTGTTCCTTCCGCTAGGGCGAGGGGTGGAATTAGTCGGAGGGGGGGGGGAGGGAGAAGGATCTCGCGGAGCAGCAGCAGTCGCGGTCGACTCGTCACTCGTGTTGTAGCGCTGACGGAGTGCAGACGATCGTTTCTGGTTCCCTTCGATCGGTGCCGGCAAGTGGTGGGTGTGTACGGATCGCGTTCTCTCCCGATCTCTCGGCGCAAAAGCAGACGCACAGGAGCTCGTCTCTCATCAGTAGACACCAGTCATGGGAGGTGAGGGCTTTTCCCTTATGTTAAGAATGTCACCTTGCATCAGCAATTTGACTTCGGTTCGCCGGCCGATAACGTCGCTCGCCGGTCTTGACCCAATGACCTTCGTGTGCCGTACGGATTTGCATCGTGTCGGGACGTGCGTTAACCTCATCCTCTTCTTGCTGTTCTTCTTCTTCTTCTTCGAGCGCGAGACCGGTTTTCCCGGGTGCGCGAATCAATTTTTCAGGAAGGAATATACGATCGAACGCGAGGACTCTTCGATCTGGATTTATTCGCGCATGTAAACGAGAAGATTGCGCCACTTTTTACGCGCAACTGTTTTTATTTTTTTCGCCCACGAGATTCGCGCCCGGAATCGACACGCCTGCGTCGAAGAAGAATCGGATGGCGCCAATTTAAGTACTAATCGTTCTAAAAAAAAAAAAATATATATTTAATGCATGTGAAAAAAAAACAATATATATTATAGGTATATAAAAAATAATATATTATTATATATTATGTACACTGGAAAACAAATTTATTGAATTGGAATATATATTTATTTCAATACTGCCATATGAATCATTTGATTGAAATGAATAATATTGATTTGATGTGACAAATATGTATTTGATATATGAGAAAATTCTTTTCAAAAGAGATAAATATTTATTTGTTTCAAATAAATGATTTATTAGGGAGTATTGAAATAAATATTTATTAATTTAGTCTTCTTTTCTTCACAGTGTATAAATAATAATATATAGAAATTTGGAGAAACAGAACGAGACAAGACAGGAAAAAAAATGCGAGAAACTATAGAGATTGTTGTTGCAAAGAATAGATTTGCAGGAATATTCATTAAATATATTTTTTAATATATAAATCTTTATTTTTGTATAAAAATGTGTAATGCTTATTTAAAAAAATAATATTTCTGGAATAATATATTTCAAAAGCATTAATTATATATATATCATTTTATATCATTATTCATATATCATTTTAATACTGTTTCTATTTTATTACTGTATATTTTATTATATATCACTTTAATAATTATTTTATATCATTATATATTATTTCACAATAAAATATTTAAAAATCATATTTGAAAATAAATATTATTATTTGATTTAAAGAAAAATTGTGGAATAAATATTTATAGAATTGTCACCTTTTTGTAAGGCATCGCATGCATTAATTGATCGTATAATTAGCAAAGAAGAGAAAGAGAGAGAAAAGGTCTCTCGAGACACGTAGAAGACCATCGAGGTCGGCATGCAAGGAAAATCTAACTGCGTTTCGCGCTTTTTTTTCAAAGACGTTGAATTCCTCACTCACCACAAAATAAGATAAGTCACAGTCGTCGGCGGTATCTCTTAAAGTTTATTCCTGGCTGTCGCTGAGGGGAAGATAAATTCGGCGGCTCCTTGCCAAATGCTCGGAGAGGGTGCGGACGCTTATTTTTATTCTTTGACAGCATCGTCTCCATGTATTCTCTTTGAGACAGAGGAAAGATTTTGTTGCTATTGCATGTAACAAATATCGCGTATTTCTCTAATTGTTCGTCGCAGGTGGCGAAGTTTAAATACCTGCCAGAAAAAATTCATCAAACTGCCATATGACGTATCGTTGATGTACATATATATATATATATATATATATAGGGTCTCGCCCAAACTACACACATTTTTTTTTGGCAGTTTTCTTTAGACTATGAATCCATTAATATATTCATGTAAGAAAAAAAATAAGCTATTCTATTAAAAATGTATTAATATATTATATATTAATATACTATAATTTGACTTTACTATTGCATTTGTCATGAAATATGTGGATGTATCGGAAATTAAATAACTTATCTGGAATATATTTTTTTGTATATAAGAAATATAAGTCATGGTTATTATTCAATACGAGTATTAGGTAGCATTACTAGTTTCAAGTGTCTCGAGAAGGTATACTGATTATAACATGTGTAATTAAGAGTTTGCGATAAGAATATTATGCTTATCGATTGCTGGGACCTTGATAATAAATACAATATTTATTTTTGTGTGAAATTTAAAGTAAAAAAACTATTAATACTAAGAAAATTTATTATTTATTATTTTTATAATTTTTCTAGTTAAAAAAATTTGTTAAATTTGGGTTGATTAACATTTTTAAGGAAATATACCTAATATTATATAAGCAATATCGTGATTTTGAAACAAAAAATTCCAATAATTTTCTAATTTCAATATATTTACACAATTATTAATATTATTCAAAATATACATGAATAAGTTTCAATTAAAAATAAATTTTGTATAAGGAATTCTATTCATTAATCTATTTATTTATTAAATAGTTACGTTAAACAAATAAAGCTGGTCATTTTAAATGAATATTCTTTTTTGAAAATTATTACATGTATAACGAATGTCTGCAAGGAAAAGAATAAAATCGCGTACTATAAATATAAATTGCTCAATAATCATATATTTAACAAATCAATGTGTGAGAAATTTGGCACAAGTAATTCTAGTCAGGTTCATTGGACCTTTATCGACAGTAAGCTATACTATTTTTATACGATCTCAATCTTGACCCGCTTTGGATCAGGAATTCTGGCTTTCGCTATTAGAAGTCTGGTGCCAATGCGTCATAATTTATTCTCGTAAGAACAACCGTTGTTTTCGCAGAGAATAGCAGTTAGCATCTAAAATTAGGAAAAAAAAGATTGCATCAAATGTAATTATAATTACGAATTTTATTATTGCTAATTTTCTGCAACTAATAATTTCACGTTTATTGTTTCTTTCATTTTTCGAATGGAGAAATTTTAATTTAGATAATAATGAATAAAACAAATGTAATAGTAATAATTCAATTAATTTTTTTGAATTTTTGAATATATCGACTGTTTGATTTTTGACCACTATCGATATTTCCGTGTTGAGAAAATATGTATAGCGGATATCCGCATCGCTATAGTTGAGCAACGATTTCCTTTATACTCGCACGAATCTTATAAGGAAGTAGCCGGTTCAGTTCCGAGACACAAGCGCTTGACCTAAGACAAGGTATATGAATGCATTTCCTCGCGAATGCGAGGCTGTCTCGCTATTATAAGAGCTTGGAGAGCGGTTTGTATAAATATAAACCTATGCCGGCATTCTGCCTCCTCGGGTTTCGGTTACTCTCGCGCCATAATCTTATACGTAGAAGACCTCACCTCCGCGTCTTTCAAAGAGAAGATTAACCCTCGCCAATGCGCGACATTAAATATAGCGGGGGTCCTAAAACGTCTCGTATCTCCCGCCGTATAATTTATGCACGAAAGATATTCCTCTCACTTCCGAATAGAAGATTAACTATTTTTCTTCAAAATTATAGATAGAAGAATCCTAAATATAGCACAGCATTTTTTTTATGCGAAGTTATGAAATATTTAAAAATTTTTCTTTTACAGAAATATTTATTTTTAATCTTAAATGTTTTGCAACAATATATTTTTTAATTAAAAATTAATTGAAAATCTTTTTCAAAAATTTCTCAAAATTATAGATCGAAGAATTCTATATACATACATATATATATAAAACATTCAAAAAAGTTTTTTATAAAAATATTTATTTTTAATCTTAAATATTTTGCTAACTACATGAAGGGAATTTTCGTTATATTTTACCGCAAAATTTACTACAAATTTCATCATATTGGTAATAAGTCAAAAATTACCATGCTGCATGTAAAAGTTATTATGAATGATTAAGCTAGATTTAAAATATTATATTGCATAGTAAAATTGATATAAAATATTATATATGGTTATCATTTTTTTGGCATTTATTCTCTTTAAAATATTTAAAGAATCATATAAGTTTTTAATATATTTTAAAATTATTGGAATTGCATTATATATTTTAGTAAAACTAATCAAACATATTTTATATTTTATTGTAGTAGATATTAATATTTTTTATTGTGATAAATATTAATCATAACTCATAAAATTTTTCCAATACTACATTGTCCCATACGACTATCATGATTTTTCAGGATACATTTTAAGAGAAAATTCTCTGTGTAATATATCCTTTAATTCAAAATATCTCTAAATCAATAAAGTTACAAAAATTAATTATTTTAATAATTTTTAAATATTTTCTTACGTTTTTCATTTCGATCTGCAAAAAATTAAGTGTCTGACAAATGGGAGAGGTGGGTGGGCAAATAAAGTATACTTTACACGATAAATTCAATTAGACATGACAGAAACTTCGCACAAAGTGCGCAGAATTAAATATAAACAATAGAATAAAGAACCAACAGTGGTTGAGCAACGGAAGTTATGATGGAGAATAAATGTCGTGTGCTCCGAAATGTTATTGAGAACACCGGCGGAGCTAGAAATCCGATCCTCCTCAGTTCTACCTTTCATCTCCTTTCTCTCTCCGCTCTTTCTTTTTCTCTCTCTCTTTCTGTCTCATTATTATTCGTCTTCGACATTTATCCGTTCTAAGTTGTGCGAGCATAACGACATGACGACAAACGTCAAGCGATCTCATTACGAACCGGGAACGCTAGGGTACATTGGGGAACTAGAGGGAGAGAATTGAAAAATCATTAGTTTATATCATGTACAATGTATGGTGCGATCGATGCTTTCAATCACGTGTACACATGATGACATTCTTCCTCGTCCACAAGGTTATCTTGCGCGCTTCATCGCGTTATTTTGGCAAGTCTCTAATTCGCATCATTCAAAAGTTTTCAAGTCAGTGGATTTTGGCGCAAAAAATTATTTCCGACGAAATTTCCGCGATGAAATGTAACGACATTAAGAAAAAAAATAATCGATATTTTCTATCTCATGTCGTTGCAAAATCTTTGGCTAAAATATTATCTAAAAATTAATCGAAAACATTTCGTATATATGTCACTACTTCTCGATACATTTTGTGTCACAACTACATCATGACTTCGTCATTGGAACTATCATCAGTTCTGTTATCTTACTAGTAAATATTGTCCACATTTAATGATAAATATTGTTCAGTGATCCTTTTCGATAATTGAACTTTGCACTGATAACGTATGAGTGATGCATTACTTGCTGTCTTTTTATTATTATATACTTTATCGTATCACAACAAAATTAAATCTTATAAATACGTTATGCTTGGAAAGCATAATTATGTATAATTTAATTACCGCATAATTCAGCAAAATATTTCATTTTCATTGATCGTAGAAGAACGTGATAATAAGCAAATTTTAATATTAACGCAGCAGAATTCTAAGCTGCATCTTGTGCAATTTTGTAAAAAACTCTTCTTCTCTCTCAGTCTCTCTAGAGACGAGATTACTGCAGCATGTGCGTTCGAGTCGTAGAATGAGCCTAAGAATAGATGACGTTTTGTCCAGGGGGAAAAATAGATGCGAAGCCAAAATTCAGGATACCTACGCGCGATATCACGTGAAATAGAAACACCTATATATACGTTTATTATAAATAAATATGCGGTGAATTTTGCATTTGTAAGAAAGTAACGCGCAATATTTGCGATTTGCATCTCACCATCTGCCAAGTTTCTATTGCGTGGGTAAAAATTTTTGCACGTGCTAGATTTTCCACGCCTTAACACCTGGTTGTCGCATATCAAACGAGGATTTGCGTACTTACATCAATGTATTTAAATCATCAAATTTGTGCCAAAAAAATTTAAAAAATTATAATTTATTTTAAAATGGCTATAAAAAATGTATTTAAGTATATTATACTATAATTGTACTGATATACTAATAGTATATCATAATATTATTGGAATATTAATATATATTTTTATTTGTATATATTATATATATATATATATTTAAATAAATTCTAAACTTTTTAAATTTTTTTGATAATCTGTAAATAATAATAACAGTTATATGTGCGTATATATAATTTTTTTAATTTCATAAAATTTCTTCGTTAAAGACACATAATCTGCTAGTAATCATTGAAGATTCTCTCTTTAAGAGATACATGTGCTCGGTTAATCTATAATGTGTTGTATAACACAAAAGTGAACATAAACGCGTCGCGAAAGATAATTATGTACAATTGAAGCCTTCTAGTTCCAAGTCGAGAGGAAGTGAGGTCAATACGAGCAAGAGCTAATTATACATCCGGAGTTGGAAGATTGCCACTTTCATTTTGCAGCTTTTCTTTTCGTTAGCGCCACTCTATTTGCATTTGCCTTGCATTCTTGCGATAGAAAGTAAATTGGATGCATCAGGTTTTATGAATATTCGGTCAATATAATTCTAATTTACAAATTAGCTCTTCGTGTGCGAGACACGATTTATTTTTTTTTAATTTATTGCTCGTAAAAAGAATGATTTCGGACGTTTCTCAAATACTTGGGATTTTTGCACAGCGGTATACGAAATTTTTTTTCGACAAGCTTGAGATAGCGATGTTCGTGTAGAGAGAAGTGCACGTCTGCGTTCGAAATACTCGATAACATTTGAACTTCATGGAGTTCGTTGGCATAATTCAACATGCCTATCTTTATTGCGCTTACGTAAGATCTCGGTTAATTCAAGAATCGCGATGAACAAAAATCAGTTTAACACTGCGCGCTTATCAGCGCGCGGAATTACAATTGTCTTTGCACATTACATAGCAGTCTTTCTTGTGTTGTCGCGAAGTTGAGCTACGAAGGACGCCCAGTAAGAAAGTATTTACATATCGATGTCATATATGTTATTTATACATTTCGAAAGCATTTTAAATAAACTTTTGCAAAACTTATTTGAAAATAGAGAGATATCCCATTGAAATTAGCATCCTTACATTAAATTTTAATACATGAAAATTGTGTAATGTATTTCATATTTTTAATACAGTAAATTTTAATTAATTAAATTAAATTCATTAAATTAATTAAATTATATATTAAAAGAAAATTTAATTACTCTAAAACTTAATTTTGTTTTAATATAATTTTCAAGATATATAAATAACTTATATATTTTTTATGGCATACAAAACAAAAATTTGAAACGGATTTTTAAATGTTACGTTTAAACATGTATGAACTCTTGTCTTTGCATTCCATTGAAATCAGCATCTTTATATTTTCAGTAAAATAGAATTGCTCCGAAACTTAATTTTGTTTTGGTATAATTTTCAACATAAATAATTTACATATTTTTTTAGCATACGAAAAAATTGAGGTGTTGATTTTTAAATCACATTTAAATATTTATACGAACTTTCAAGCATTTTTGCATTCCATCAAAATTAGCATCTTTATACGTTTCATTAAAATGTAATTGCTCCAAACTTAATTTTGTTTCAGTACAATTTTTAAAATAAATAAACTTATATATTAATATAACTTATAATTCTTATTTTTAGAATACGAAAAAAAAATTTGACATCGATTTTTAATTAAAAAAAAGTCACATTTAAACGTCTATCTGAGTACTCTCGGGCGTAAAATTGAAATGGCCTTGTGTGAAAATGAAACTGTCATCAATTCTATCGCATGCGCGTGTTCTGGACACTACGTAGTGGATGTACATCCACTGGATGCAATAATATGCGCGGTTTTCGCCAGTGATCCAAAATAGACTCGACTCGGGTGTGTCTATTAGAAGCTAATGCGCGTCTTCCCTCGTCTGTTTTAGGATATGCATGGGTTACATTGGCTACAAATGATGCTTATTCGTTGGGAGCATTGGTCCTGGCACACTCCCTACGTCGGGTCGGTACCAAGTACGAATTGGCTTGTTTGATCACTCCCGGAGTTACGGAACCGATGAGGTATCATTATTATATAAATATAAATTAATGTTAAGATTAATTGCCAGGATGCAACTTAGCCACATATCAAGTCGTGTCGAAAAAAAATAACAAACTTTATTTCTCTATTTATTTGCATTTGATTATAACTGAAACACTAGATTCGTACACATCCTTCTCGTTTATCAAAATTAATCAAGTTTATTAAAAATTTCTTTCGTGATTGATATATATTATCATCATCATGAGTCATACAACCAGCATTCTTCTTTTTATCTTAGAGAAAAATTGGCGGCAGTATTCTCCTTGGTACAGGAAGTCAATGTTCTCGATTCGAAGGACGAGGCAAATCTGGCCTTACTGGCTAGACCAGAGTTGGGCATCACTTTTACCAAATTACATTGCTGGAGGCTAACTCAGTACGAGAAATGTGTGTTCATTGACGCAGATGCGCTTGTGAGTAACGCAATTTTTTTTTAATTTATTATATATATATAACATTTTATTCATTATATTTTTATATCATTTTCATATCTCTCTAAAATTAAAACTATATATAAAAAACGAATTACATGTATATCATCATCATATTAATTAATAATTTATAAAAATTAATCTTACAATAAAAATTATAAAATTATCATATAACAAGTATGAATTATTATATTTATTTTTAGGTCGTACGCAATTGCGATGAGCTGTTCGAGCGCGAGGAACTATCGGCCGCACCCGATGTCGGCTGGCCTGATTGTTTCAATTCCGGAGTATTTGTGTTCAGACCATCTCAACAAACGTTTGCATCAATCACCGCATTCGCCGCGGCCAAGGGCTCGTTCGACGGTGGCGATCAAGGCTTATTAAACATGTACTTCAGCGACTGGGCCTCTAAGGACATTTCCAAACATCTACCATTTATTTACAATATGTGTTCTACCGCGACGTACTCGTATTTGCCTGCATTTAAGCAGTAAGTCACATCGCGCTTCTTCTAGATATTCGTCGTAATTAATTTAAAAAAATTTTTTATATTAATTTTATTTGTTTATATATTTTTTTAGGTTTGGGGAGGACGTGAGAATAATACACTTCATTGGCATAACAAAACCTTGGTTACAGTATTTCGATACCCTAACCGGTGTCGTTCAACCACCGTCAGGATCTACGCATTTGCAACCGCTGTTGCAATTGTGGTGGAACATATTCTGCGAGCAAGTGCATCCACAATTATCGCCTTCTATGGTAAGCTTCATTAATTAATTTGAGATCGGTATGCGTTTAAGATACTAAAATGACGAGTGATATTTAATAAGTGACATTCTCCAAACGCGCAACTATTTTTATATTTACTTAATTTACATATTGAATTTTATATTTCTAACAAAAGAATTCCTCTCGTACATGTTAATGATATGAATAACGTTTTCAATTATTTTATTATATTTGTGCGTTTTTAAGAGATAAAAAGAAAAATTGCAACTTTTTTTCTTACACTTGTGCATTTATTTTACAAGCAAAGCAGTGAACAATTATGTCCAATTATAAATACGATGAGGGTAAGATTCTATTATATGTATCTCGCAGTTATTTTGTAATACATTATTTTTAAATTTTACTTTACATTTCAAACTAATATTATTTATTTTAATGTGTCGCATTTTTATATGAAAGTGTAGCATTATGATATAATTTTAAAAATTGTCTTCATTGTTTGATTGATTTCATTATTATGAGTTTTTCAAAATTTTTGCTGGCGAAAGAGTTGCATTCGCGGGTTTTATTTATAAATATAGCCAGGCAAATCTAAAATTTTTTAAACTGCTTGCATTTCTTAATAATTGTTTTTAATGCTGATATGAAAGCTTGCATAATGAGTGGTAGCATTTGAGAATATAATCATAACTAGGTTTTTTTGCTGTGTCTTTATGATATAAAAATGCATAAATTTTTTTTCTCCACTTTGAATATATTTTGAACCCTATATTCTTTAGAGAAAAAAAAATATTTTCAAAAATAACTTAATTATATTTTAACTAGTAGGATTCAAAATATGTGTCGTTTCTTTGTATATACTGTAAATAGTGTATATTAATAGCTACATTTTTCAATATAACTTTATATTAGAAACATTCTTTTAATAAAATAATGTAATTTAAAAAGCTACATTTAACATATATTTAGCATACAATATATATATGTATATATGTATTTATATATGTATATATGTATTTAATAGAAATTTTTCAAATGGTTGATGCGGCTATTAATATAACGGATTTTTCTATGATTTCTATCAGTGTCTATTTTTTTCTTTGATCTACCTGTTCTTTCTAGCTCATTCATTTGTAATTCGTATAAAAATTTAAGTCGGTCACTATGTATTATATTAATGCTTAACTGCATTATCCGTAATTTTTGTAATAAATGCATCGAGCATGAATGTTTATGCGTATGGCACTTTGAAAAAAAGCTATTGATACAATACCACGCAACGTTTTACTTATCGTAAGATAACGATATTTTATGTAATTGAAAATCGTGTAATATCAAACATGTATATAGTTTATGGAAAAAACATGGCGCTGTTATATAAGAAAAATGGACACTGCCAATACTTAGTTCACTACTAACCCATCAAGTGTGCATTTTTCTGTTTTGGCATGATGCTTGCATAGGCCACCAGCACATTGGCTCCAATTTGGCACGCATTTGCATCCTCGTCCTACCTACATCCTGTTCCCGATATTTCCGTTTACTATGATGCAAGAAACGACGTTGTTTCTCGAAAAACGCCGGATTTTTCGGAATTTAAAGATCCTTGGGAAGAGTACTCTCCGCAAAATGATTCATTACCAACTGATAATAGCAACAAGAATGAAAATTATTATTACGCAGCAGAACATGAGAGAGAGATTGCGGATGTTGATCGTCAGAATGATGGCAATATATCTCAACAGCACAATCAGCAATTTCATTACGAGCAACATTTTTCTCATGCGCCTGCACAAATGCAATATAGTTCGCATCCTAATAATGAACATAATCAACACCTAGAACATGCGACTTCTCATTATGAAGAGAACGATAGTCAAAGACAATTTGTACAATCTACTGAACATCACTGGCAGCAATATAGTAGTGACCAAAGACATCAGCCAGTCGAACAGAGACACCATCCTGAGCATTGTCACAACGGGCAACATTATCATGAACACCATCATAAAAGACACCATCATAGTAAACATAGTGAGCATCATCATTCTGGACAACTTCAACAACATGATTATTATAAAACGGATGATCATCATATCCAGCATCAGCCAGTTCAACAACAATCGCATTCTAACGAAACGTGGTATGAGAATCGTGCGCAACAGGCCAGTGACCAAACTGCTCGTGCGGATCATCACAATCATAACGATTTCCATCCACAGCATCATATCCAAAATAATAGTACACAAGACAATTTTACATCTCACTATCAAAGTAATGAGAAAAATAGCGAACAATCGGAAACTACGAATAAGCAGACAGACGCGCAGAGAATCGACCTCCATCCTTCCTCTCCTGCACCCTGTACAGATCTCCACAATGTAGCCATGCGAACTGACTCGAATATAACGGAACATCTAGACAATGCAAATGTAAGTAATTGTTCCCGCATCTTTTTTTTCTAAATTCGCGTCTAAATACATCTTTGTTATTATACGCTTACGAACACATTTTTGAAAATATATATTTGCTTTACTAAAAGAACGATTACAAATATATTAATACAATTGTAATTTTATTATTGTAAAAGAAATTTTTGCAATTACAAGGTGTATTGTATCATTCATATTATATTTATATATATATATAAATATATATTCATTTATTATATATATTATATATTTTTATTATATATTATATATTCATTTGTTCTTTTCGATAATGCTTGGGACATTACTTGCACTTTTATTGGGAATATTTATTTAATTTTAATGTATGTAGTAGTATAGAGAGTTTATATCAAGTGCCTGAAGTATAATTTGGTTTTCATTTATTTATTATCGTCATTACATATCTTTTCATCAGAGATCATAGATAATTACGTTTATCCTCCAACAAAAACAATCTCTTAATTCGTCTTTATTTAAGGTGTTCCATTTAAAAAATAATATATATACATGTAAACTAACCCATATTATATATACTTCCACATTGTACTCGCCGTACTCTCGTGCATCGTGCTTTAAAGTGTAAGTAGGACCAATTTTGTATTATAAACGCACAGAAATCGTGTTGCAATGTTCATGTGTTTATAGTAGCTCGCACACTGTCATTTTTACATCAGCCGACTCTCCTTGATGTGTCGCAAATAGTTACGACGAAGGAATATTTATGTTAATTGCACAGACGGGTATCGCCGGTGCCTTGGCTCAGCTAACATTGGGTGAAGCGAGGAGTGTCGAGCAAATAGCCTTGGAGGAGCACATGAGGAAGCAGAGCTGGGAGCAGGGACAGATCGACTACATGGGCCGCGATAGCTTCGACAATATATGGAAGAAGATCTGCGAGACACTTTCTCTTTCGCCGCAACGTCAACCAACCCCACCTAAAGAGGTAGCTTGAAGTCAAACGACTGTATTTAATTCAATTGCTCGGAACATATCATGACTGAGAGTCTTAATCGTTAAAATCAATAAGCAAATAGTAGTTGAATTCCGCAAAAGTTGCGCAAGTCACGACGGTAAAGATCGAGTTCTAATAATGAATAATTCATATCATGATGAATATTTGTAGGAAACCACTGAACCAAAGAAGAGCGATACTACTGCTGAATCTGCTGAGCCTGTTAAATCTGCTGAGCTTATTAAATCTGCTGAGCCTGCTGAATCTGCTGAACTAAAGACTGTTGCACCTGTAGATGTCAAAGTGAACGAACCAGTTGGTACGTCTCCCTCTTATATGTATATAAGTAATCGACGAAAACAATCGTAAATAAAATCGTAACAAATATTTCAAGTGCATCTGTACTACAGATAAAATCATAATGTACTTTAAATTGAAAAATGCAAACACCAGAACCGAGATAACGAGATACGATACTTAGCTCGAGCACTATTTACGAGTTATTGAAATAATAAGAAATCTTCGAGGTATTTAAGATAATTCGATGTGCTCTATCTCTCTCTCTCTTTCTCATAATGCAAAAGGCCATTAACTGTTTCCTCGAGTATGCTTTGCGTTTTTGTTTGTTTTTTTCGTTTCACTTATACATAATACAGCATGCGATATTCATTTTTATTTAGTTTCGAATTGAAGACATCAAGTATCAAGAGCGAGGAAACGATTTGAAAATCAAGATGCTTATATTGATATTACGCGAATTTGTTGCGATATTTTGAAGATACAGAAAAAAAACAATATCTTTTTTTGTTAATACAATTGATCTAGTTTGAGTGTTTGAAACAGGAACAGAGGACAGCAACTAACAGATCCTGGCGCCATAGCATTGCTGCGTCTTGTATTGTCGTTTTGCTTTAATGGGGTAAATATTTTATGCGCTCACACAAAACATCATTACTTCTTTTTTTTTATATCTTACTTTAGATGACAAAATTTTGTAAAATCGCGATATTTTTCAAAATTATCATTGTTTATTATGTCATAATATCAATGTTTATTACAATTTTAGATTAGATATTTTTCTTAATATATTAATTACTTATATTTTTATTAAACTATAATAACTTACAAAACGCACAAATGCATTGTTTTATTACTATATTAAAATTGATCTCGTTTTTATAATATTAAATATGTTCTTATAAATATTTATAAATATTATATTTTTGATTTAATGAACTATTTGCATCTGCAACACAGTTTTAATTTTTTTACAGACATATGTAAAATTAAATGTTTATGAACAAAACGTGTGAGATACAAGTGAATACGAATATTTGGAGAATACTATGCTTTTGTATACGAACACAATTAAAAAGCATAATAGCATGCCTTTTTTTAATGTTATCTATTTCAGTTGTTTACTAATTAAATATTTTGTGGGATATATATTGCTTCTTTAACTCGCTGCAAAATACAATTTTTATTCACGCTTTAAAAGTGCCATACATTATGTATGCAAGATATTAAGCTACATCGATTACGCTTTATACGCTTTGCATTAATAACGAGCACATCAGTACTATTTATATGTTTCGCATTTATTATGTATGTTAAAATCATATACATATATTACCAAATATGTATTATTGTTAATTCATTCATTCGTTCATTCATGCTCGCACTTGAGCACTATTTAAAATTCATGACGTATTTCAACACGTGGGAACAGAATCACGATCGCCATTGCCCATCGTCTGTAAAAAATTGTAAGATGTAACAATCGTAAATATATCATTGTCTCTCGCATTAATCGATATTTCTATTCCTATTTAATAAAAAAGGAAAAACAACATTTACTGTATAGAATTTTTTGCACGATTCTTTTGCGCAACGCAATTTTCTATTAGAATAGTTTCCTCTCTGTATACATACATTAATATTTATTATATTTATATATCTGTCATGTTCTCTTCTTCCTTCATTCAGTTGAGGCGGTCAAGGATCCAACGCAATCTTTAGAAGCTCCCGAGGAGAAGCTTTCGGTAGCGGAAACTGCGTCCGGGATTAGTGATGAAAGCGTCATCATCGCGCAATCATCCGAGCAGAAAGCACCTGCGTCATCTTCCGAAGAAAGTGTCACGGCGAAAATTGCTGCAGCAGAGGTACCCAGCGAACCGATACAACCGGCCGCGACACCGACAGAAGCAAAATCAAGCGAAACCAGTACTGAATTGCCTTCTACCCAAGAATTGACACCTGAAGGCAAAAGCGAAAGTCTTCCCGTCAAAACGCAGCAAACTGATTTGCAAGCATCCACGTGTCTCTTGGCGGATGCCGCCTCCAAGGGAGAAGAAATCACGCCCGTTACGCAAACTGCCGAAGTAGAAACTCCAGCTTCCGCTACTCAAGACGCAACGCAGCCACTTGCAAGCACTTTAATTAGCGTAGATAGTCCACAAAGCATCGCTGCTTCGCCAATAGAAACTGCGAAACCTGTTACCGAACCCGATATAATGCAACCTCTCACGATAGATCCGAGTGAGCAGCACGCCGAGGTGCTGTTGGCGGCCTCTGAAATTTCCACCGTGAGTCCCGTGCCTATCCAGGTAGCAGAATCGGTTCTCCAGGCGGAACCCAAAGAGTCCTTGTCAGGAACGGCTATAAACGATGAAGCAATCGCCACGACCGTCACGGCTGTGCACGAATCTACGAATGTCGCTCCCGCAGCGATCACAGTGGAACCAACTCAATTGAACGGATCGGTTTGCGAGAAACGTGACGACCTAGTTCCCGCTGTATCGGAAAGAACTGATGCTTCTGCTCTTCAGCAGACGAAAGAAGCAGCGAGCGACTTAGTTATTACGAAAGACGTGCCATCAGAAGCACCTTCGGCTACTATAAAGAAGGTAGAGTCCGTTAGCAGCGTGGTGCCTCCGGAAACGTCATCTGAAGAGGAGAAGAAAGCGGAACCTGTTGAAGAACAGACTGAGAGACCAGTAGTAGTGCCGGAAGCGAAATCTACGGAACAGATCGTAAAGACGGAAACGTCAGAGCTTACCGAGCAACCTGAGCAAGCCGAGATAATGGAAGAGATAGCGAGAAAATCGTCCAGTGAAATTTCAGAGACGTTAGAGATCGCCGAGTCAAGTTCGGCGGAAGAATCTGAAGCGAAAAAAGCGCTCGACATCCCGTCGACACCGACGGTGATCGAGGCTACACCGCCGACCAGTCCGTCTGTGGAGAGCACGCAGGAAGCGGAGGAGAGGCAAGAAGCCAGGAAGAAGAGCCTAAAGAAGTCCGATTCGCCGCCAGATGGTACAGAGGGGGAAGGTGCGGACAAAAAGGCGAAGAAGACGGTGAAGAAGGTGCCGAAGAAGCCGAAGACGAAATCCGAGGAGACGACTCCTTCGGCGGAGAGCGCAACCGCTGCGGATACTTCGCAGGGCAAGGTCACGAAGAAGACCGTCAAGGTCACGAAGAAGATCGCGAAGACCGGACAGACTCTAGAAACAGACACCAGTGTCCCGGAAACACCACCGCCGCCAGCCAGCGCAGCCTCCTCCGACGCGCCTGTTCCACCTAAACGGAAGACGAAGAGCAGCATTAGCGCGAAGGGAACGACCTCAGGCAAGAAACCCGAGGCTGAAGAGTGATCCGAATCGATGACGATACCTAATAAATCCGAGAGACCGGAAGAGAGGTCTTTTAAACGTTTGCGATGGACGGGGATGCAAAGTCGAAGTCTAGAGCTCTTTAACCCTTTCGAGACTTCGCGTTTTTGAAAGACTAAATATTTTCGCGCGCAAATTTTTTTGTCTTTTATAGTTTTATTAAGATGTGAAGTTTTGTTGAGAGTCAGGATGAGAAATTTCGCTTAATCTACCTGATTAGTTATTGAAATTCAATAGCTTCCTTTAAAAGAATAAAAAGAAAGAAAAAAGACAGCGATAAAAACTAACCCAGCCGTCTCGGAAGGGTTAAAGGACACTTGGCAATTGAAGATTATATACTTGCTAGTCTGTTACACAGTTTTTTGATACTTTTAATATAATCTCGCAAGAAAGAGTCTCTATATCGTCGTTAAGCTTGATACCGCCGGGATATTCGCCGGAAGTATCGAGCGATACCCGAGAGTTTAATCGACATCGCAATAAAATTTATATTTATATCAACTGCATTACTTCACACACTTATCTTTATATACAATGTTATTTTTTCTTTTTTTTATCGATGATATTACTTCTTTATATAGCTTCCCCTTTATGTAGCTTGTTTTTATTTATCTTTTTACATATCGTACTTGTGTAACTACCTGTTTTCTCAAGTCAAGATGTTACTCGGACGGGGTCTCGCATATTCCGCATAAGATATATACGGGTTTACTATATACAACTTGATGTATACTCTGCCCGAGGAACGCGAGCTTGAATGTCTTATCGTGAGCGAGCATTTTATATTCGTCTATTTGCTTTAGTACATTTGATAGATCGCAAGAAGAAGAGAAAACTATAGCTGTGATTGATCAGTTCTGTTGAATCACGTTTAAAATTTATGCGAGTCAATTTATGCCAGCCAGCATTGTTGAGCCTAGCAATCAGCTGTTCGCTGTCAATTATCATTTGTGAAATTATCACGAAGAGTTGATGTTTTATATATATTATATATAATATTATGCAATGTTTTATACAAGATGTCTGGAATAAAATCGGAACAAACTTTGACGACATGCTCGAGAAATGATAATCATGATAAGTAAAAAGAATTTCAATAAAATACACCCTAAATTTCTCGAATATGCTGGTGAAGTTTGGTTTTCGCTCGGAAACACTTGCTCTTGTGCATTGTAACATGTAATATTACGCATGGAATTTTATCATCGCTTATTTACATCAATCGAGTGAAACGAATAATTTTAAAAAAATTCATCAACAAGCCTACTAATTTATATTATATGTACGAAATTAATGCAAACGCGTTGCGAAAACAGCAACTGAGATATTGCGCGAGGAATCTAAACCGATCATTTTTCTTTATATACTTACATATATACACATTAAATTATATTTTTCAGTGTGTATTTTTACTCTGTTTTATGTTGATATTTCCAGAAAAAATATCTATCTTTTTCACGATATATATATACAAATAGAAATGTATGTACAAATTTCTTACTGATTTAGATTTAAGCAAGCCAAATGATTTTTTAAAAATGCTCACAGCACTTTATTCTTTCCAGAGAATCGCGTAATTCGCTGCAATATAGTTTATACAAATGAAGGATTTTTAATATAATAATTAAAAAAGAGAAGACTTCTACGTATATATAATAATGTAATTTTGTTATCGATATAAATGTTTGAAAGAAGAAAAAAAGTGATACAGAAGATACTCCAAAGATGCACTTACAGTGCAAGATTTGTAACAAGACTTAATTATATCATTAATAAAATGTATATCGTCAATGAGAAATGTATTATTGTTCCAGGCAGTCGAATCTATCCACGCGCGGAGAGCAGATTTTGCAAATTTCCCGCAGAAATTTATTAAATAAAGATATAAATTAGCAGCAGACAAAATTCGCACTTTTTGTAAGATCTGTTCTTCGACAGACTTGACTGTCTGGATATAATTGCGCTTTGCTGCATGAATCCAAAAAATATCTTTAAATATCTATATAATATATATTATATTTATATAATGAATATATCTCTCTCTATAAAGTATATATTATAAATATGAATATACTGAATCTAAAAAAAAGTCAAATATTTTAATTAAAATATTGTTTTTCCATACAATTAAAAAAAATATATATTCAATGCATCTATAAAAAAAAACATTTATATAATATATATTATATTTATATAATATCTATTGTAAATATTTGTATATATATTTCAACTAAAACTAAAAGATAGTTCTAAAATATTTAATTAAAATATCGCTTTTATACACAAAAAATATCTTATAACATTTCTATTATATAAACATCTGTATAATATCTATATTTATATCATATTTATTATATAAATTATATCTATATAATATTTGTTATAAAGAGATACCTATATATATTTCGACTAAAGCTAAAAGATATATAATCTCAAATATTGAAAGAGACCAATTTGTTTCAAACGAAAAAATTCAAGTATTAATTAAAATTAATTAAAAAATAAAAAATATCGCTTTTTCATCAAATAAATTTCAAAAAAAAATCTGAATATCTTTATTATAATATATATTTAATATCCATTATAAAAATATATATATATATACATTTTGACTAAAGCTAACGAGATATAATCTCAAACGTGAATTAAAAGAGAATTCGTTTCACTCGGGAAAAGAAATTCGAGATGATCGAGTTTCGGAAGAATTGAAAATTGAAAAAGGAAAAAAGTGAAGAGCGCAACCGCGCGAGGGCGCCTGACGTTGCGGCGCCGCTCCTGCGCGCGCAGGTGTAGATACTCACGCGGTACAGCACCTTAGGGGCAGACCGTGCAGTATGGCCGGCGGTGGCGTAGTAGTGCGCCGCGAGTGACAGATACACGATCATCGTCCGCTCGATCTCTCCGGGATGTCCGCGCGCGAAACTCCGAGTGATAGAATGTTCGTTTCCATCTGAGGGAAGAACAAAAAGAAGAGAACAAAATAGAAGTAAGTGCGCGAAAGAAAGTGTGTACGAAAAAAAAAAAAAAAACCAAGAAAAAGACAGACGGAAAGAAAGAGGGAAGGAACGAGAGAGAAAGAGAGAGAGAGCGAAAAGCCCGTGCGGCAACCCATTACTATCCATCTATTCCCGGCGCCGGTGTGATGATCAAGGATATGGCGGACGATGAGGCCATCCAGGCCACCAACGACGACGCCAGCGAGTGCAAGCGTTACGCGGTGCAGCTCGGCTACTGGTGCGACCCGTTCATCAGCCTCTTCGTGAAGCAGACCGCCCGGAAGGCGCCCGAGATCAATCGCGGCTATTACGCCAGAGTCAAGGGCATCGAGCTCTTCGTCGACAAGTTCCTCAAGGTGAAACGCGTTTTCTATATACAGCTACATATCATCCTCGTCCTCGTGCGTCTACACTTTTCTCTCCCTCTCTTTCTCTTCGCATTTATCAGATCCGTTTATTTATCTAATCTCGAGAAGAGACGTACGTGATACGTTTGAAAGAAGGTCTCTCTCTCCGACAACGTTCGCTCTTCCTCTTGCACCTTCTGCACCTTTCGCGCCTTCCGCGATATTAAAAGACGGCGCGTGTCAAAAATAATCATCTGACAACCGGGGAGGATTTTTTTTTTTTTTTTATCGCGGACACACACGGAGCGAGTATAACCTAGAAGGCGAAGAGGAAACAATCGGGTATGCGTGCAAGGGAACGAGAGGGCTGACTTGACAGGCGCGCGAGGGGGCGGGATACAGCTGATCCGGGCAGAGCAGGGACGGCGGGAAACCTTGACCCGGCGACGGCCGAGGCCCTGTCCTAATTCCTGCGAGGTTCTCCTCCCGCTTTTATCGCGACCGCCAGCGCGCCGATATATGGGTCAATGAAAAACAAGGCCTTCCCTCATCCTCGTGTCTCGCGTTTCCGAATTTCGCACCGGCGGGAAATTTCGAGCCGGCGAAATATATATGCGATGACGTAACAAAAAAATTTCGAGCCGGCGAAATATATTATACGATGACGTAAAAAAAAAAATATTTATCCCTAACAGCGATCCGAGGATGTTCGAATGTCTTCGGGATATTCTTCGGAATATGTTGCTATTAGGGATATACATGTGGCGGGATAAAAATATTTCGCGGTTGTACATATATAAACAAATATTTGTTTCTCCGGATTTCATGTTATTTTGCCGCGAATTTGTTCGTTAAGCCGCGATCCAAACACGAGGAGAGAAAAAAGGGAGAAAAGTGTGCGCGCGTGTATGTATACGTATATATGTACTATATATATATATATATTTATATATTTATTTATATAGATAATCTTCGAGCATAAAAACGAAAAATCAATCGTTTCCTATATGCGAGTAAAATGGCCTTTTAATCTGTTCTCTGAGAAGCAGTGTAATGATAGTTTAATATTAAGCGAAATGAATTTTCTCCGAAAGTTTTTAATTTATATATTAATCTCTCTTTAATGAAAATGTTCCCACGAATTAGAATTCTCTTTCAAAGTTGATTTTCATAAATCCGATAAAAGCAAAAGTTTCAATATGTTGATTGATCGATAAAATAATTAAAAAGCGAATAATAAATCAATTTTATTGTTTCAAGAAATATTATATGTAATGTGTGTGTTGTACTATTAATAATTTATAATACAGATTTTATAAATTATACTTATTGATTAATATTATTAAAATATAAATATGCTCGTGTACACAAAATTATAAAATGTAAGAGAGAGAAATTATGTATTAAAAATAGAAAATATTTATTTTGCTGTTATTAATATTATTCATTTTAAAGTGATATATTTTTTTTATTTCAATATACTGATATATAATGATTGAACAATAAAATAAGTACGAAATTAATTTCAAAAAATAATATTGCATTTTATATATATATATATATGTGTATAATTTAAAAAATCGATTCTGTAAATATGTGAGTAATATTAAAATATAGATATATATCTTGTTTATGTCCACATAATTATTACAAAGCATGAGAGATTAAAAAAGAGAGAAAATTATGTTTACTATACATATATTAAAAAATTAGAAAAATGAATATTTGTATTGCTGTTATTTTAATATATTATTAGTCTTAACTATGTATTTTTTGTCACATCTACAGCTGTCTGGCGGTAAGGGTCAGATCATAAACTTGGGTTCTGGTTTTGACACACTCTACTGGAGGCTAAGGGAGGCGGGGAACAGTCCGGCGAACTTCGTAGAACTCGACTTTCCCAGCATAACTGCGAAGAAATGTTATCACATCAAGAAGCACAAGCAATTAATCGATATGCTAAACACCGAAGGTATCTTGGGACGCGCACGATATTATTATCTCGTTATCTAAAAAAAAATATCTATACGCTCTCTGTACACGTCTCCTCTTCATGTAAATTATTTTTTTCAGACGGAGAGATCCGATTTTCGACCACGGAGCTGCACGCCGCGAATTATCATCTAGTCGGTACAGATCTTCGACACATAGCGGAGTTGAATAACAAGCTAACCCAGGCCGAAGTCAATTTCAATTTACCCACTATGTTCCTCGCAGAATGTGTTCTAGTGTATGTAGATGCTAGCGCGACCTCGTCACTGTTGAAATGGCTAGCAGGCAAGTTTCCAAACAGTCTCTTCGTCAGCTACGAACAGGTGAACATGAAAGATAAATTTGGCCAAGTTATGCTGTCGAACCTCCGTAGCCGCGGGTGCTTATTGGCGGGCGTGGAGGATTGCGAGTCGTTGGAGACTCAACAAAGGCGGTAAATATTATACATTCCTTTATCTTTGTACGACAATGATCGACCAGGCTAATATGATTTGTTTCTTTCAATTTCATTTCAGCTTTACTATAAACAATTGGGAGGGCACGAGCGCGTGGACGATGGTAGAGGTTTATGATTCACTGCCTGTAATGGATCGTAGTCGAATCGAGCATATAGAGATGCTGGACGAACGAGAACTCCTCACCCAGCTACTTCAGCACTATTGTATCGCCGTCGCTTGGAACGGACAAACATTCAAAAATCTGTCTATAGCACAGGGTTAGATGAATCTAACTCTTCCTCTCTGTGTCCTCTCTTGCGAGTTACTCCAGGTAATGGCATTATATAATTCCTAATTTGGCGAAGTTTTGTTAATTACTTGCAATTAGAGATGTAAATAGAAAACACACATTGTTTCTTTTTTTTAAATTAGTTTTCATGACAAACGTTTTTTCGTTTTCTTTTTCAAATTTTTAATATCTATATTTTTATTGCAGCAAATTGATATTTCATTATTTTTAACTTTTTAGATGATACATTTGAATAATAGATTAAAATTATCCGAATCTTTTCGAATTTAATATATAAAATCAAACTTAACATTTTTCTAACAATAAGTAAAGATAATTTTTTTATTACGATGCGTTTTCTTAAATAGAAATATATCCTGTGTATCGATGCTACATCCAGCTTCTTTTAACACGACCTCGAAATCGAGCTCGATACCATAGCCCGCATTCTTTTATTTTCTGTATACAGCAAAATTTTTCTTTTTTTCTGTAACTACCTTCGATTCGGATTTAAATTGTTACTTGAAATAGATATTATTTCTCAAACATACTTGCTAGTCCGCTTAAACTTTTTCCTTCTTTAATCTTCTTATACTCTTCTTATGATCTTCAGTAGAGTTGAAGATCATTAACAAGTTTATAGAAGCTATGTTTTCTTTTTCATAGATCATTTATATGAAAAGATGCATGATGTACGAAAAATGTAATTTGCCGCAAAAGTATTATTAATTGATTAAAATCATTTTTTTATTACGTTAAGGAAGAACATAAAGAAAAATATTATATTTTTAAAAATAATGAAAAAAAATATGAAAAAATATAATGAAAAAACAATTTGTTTTTTTTTCTAAATGAAAAAAAAACATGATATTTTAAACTGTTTTTTTTCTATTAGAAAAAAATGGTTTTTTACATCTCTATTTGCAATATATATGTATACCAATATATGATTGACAGTAGAAAATTAATAACTTTTAAATTGCGCTTAATGAACAGGATTCGGATACTTCTTCTTTTTCACCTTTCAAACAGTTCGCCGTAATAATTTTTGTCTATGCTTCGAGTATATTCTTCGTCCTCCACTAAGCGCATCATGAATATACCTACTATTTTTTAATGACTGCTGTAAAACGAGACATTGTAAAATTCTCGACGTTGAAGATGTGGCGCTAGTTAATAATAATGATCGGATAATCTTGATGTCCTTTCGCAGAGATTTCCAGTCACTTTAATTTTACATTTACGTATTCTTCAAATTTTGTGTATAATGTATAACAAAGTCTATCTCTGCAAAAGAACGATTGAGTCTCGCTTCTTATTGCAGATTTTTCATGTATAAAGTCACGATCGATATTATAATTATTATAGATCGCTATTGTTATATAATTGTGTATGTGCGGCCAAATAGCGCGATAATAATGCGCAGAGTAATTTATTATATTATGAGATATCATCGAAGATCAATCATCTAACACGCTCGTTACGTATTTTTTTCACCATTTCCAGTTTATTATCCGCCTATAATCTCATTTTAATATATGTATAAAGTTTTACATTTTGTAATATAGTTGCAGAAAATAATTTTTGTAATTATATATGCTACATCTGCTCTTTTTGCTGTTTGAGAAAAAAAGAATGTAAAGAAAAATATGTAGAAACTACAGCTAAAAAGAAACGATTCTATATTTTTTATCTAGATTCTGTATTTTATGAATCATTCATTACGAACATAAAACTGTATTTTTCTGAGACATTCATATAGAATTCTAACTTCTTTGAATTAATACACGAGAATCTGTGACAGAGATGGTGTAAAATTATTCCGCGAGATCCGATCTTTGAATGTATATTAAGTATTAGAGATTACGAATCACATATTGAGTCATGAGAAAAGGCGAGATTAGTATTACGATTATATAAATCGTTATAATAAGTGATTATCAGTCTCGTATGCGTGCGATGTGATCAATTATTTAAGATACAATAAAAGCATAAAAGTGAAGCACAACGAAAGTAAGACTTTAAGCAATCGAGCAAGTACTTAAGTACTCTTTGCGAGTGTTGGAACAGCACATCAGCCTGGAAAGAAAAAATCGGCGATGTACAGGGTGTTGGGAAAAGATAAACTATTTTAAAAGAATTTAATATGTCTCAAAATAAATTTGAAAAAGTCTTAATAAATATGGGTGCCATATAAAATGGGAACCATTTTTTTTAGATATTTGTAATATCTCATATAACTTGACTTATTTAATTTAATTTATCTATATTCACATTGATAAAATAATTAAAAGAAAACAAAAAATTAAAAAAAATTATACAAATAAAAAAAATACATAAAAAATAAAAATATCTCAAAAATAGTTTATTTGCGGACCTAAATATTTATTAAAAGTTTTTTTAAATATACTAAATCCCCTTAAAATATGTTACCTTTTTTTCAACACCCTGCATATGCATATACGTTCTCAATTAATTTTACTTATTCGCTCGTAGATGTCAAACTTATTATCTTGCATTAATTACGAATGTAAAAAAAACTGCGTGCCGATGTTCTTCGATAAAAATCCGATTGTTTGAATTTGTTTTAATGACGTGGAAAACGCAAACGCTATTGAATATAATATAATAGCTGCTCCGCTTCTTTTCTTAACACCAATACAAACAGTGAGTGTATGTTACTATACTTAAGCAGGTCATAGAACGGTAGTGTGAAGGATCAAAGGTCACAAAGATTTATTTTCATATATTGAGGAATATCAGGGTTACGCATGTGTATTCAATCTAAGGATAATAAGGATATTATAAACATTTACGAGACATTAAAATCATTTTTTAATATATATATATAGATACGAAGTGCTCCAACAAGCAAAACTCGGACTTTGTCGTCGTTTACATGATAAGTAAAGTGAAGCGTGATTGCTGAGATCGTTTGTCGAGCATTAATAAAGGGACACCGATTGTTTTTCCTGAAATCGGCCTATCGGAGTGGAATGATTGCGTTATAATAATGATATTGTATAGTATGTGTGTCATGGTGTGTACATGTGATTTTGGCGATCACGCCTCAGACATAAACGACGATGACTTCCCAGTTCTGTGTTAAGGGATTATACTAGTCTAGCGAATCGAAAAATATGATATTTTTAATATTAAAATTTTTATTTATAAATAGACAAATTTGTCTATTATTTGTCTATTATTTATTTAAATAAAAATTTTACATTAAGAAAATGTCCTATTCTTTGATTCACTAGATTACTATATGTATAACAAACACATATTTCTATAATCATCTTTTATCCTATTTCGATCTTTTTTTCCCCCCCACATTTTTAGCATTATGTGAACAACGGTAATTTATTAGATTTAAAAATATAAAAGCAAAATACATAATTTTGCCGAATAGTTACGTAGAGATTGTATAGGTGATTTTTCGATCTCTCATCCCTTCAACGAGTAAAATAACATACCTGGAGTAACGAACACATATAAAGAGAATAATCTCTCAGATGTTCTATTTTTCTCAGAAGTTAACAAAAAAAATTGCAGCCACATTGTTACGATGTCTATCAACGTTTGTAGGTAAAAATCCCCGCCTCCCTCGTCCGACATGTTGCCTTCTTTGCACGTAGAAAAACAATCCCCATCTCTTTTGCATTAGTTTCATTAGTGTCATATATAAGTCAATTTTTCAGGTAAAATCGACTAATTTTCTTCGAACGCTCTCGTCATGTGTTCAAACCGGCTTCAAGTTTGAGAATCGAAAGCTCTTTTCGAATTTTCAAAGCTCTCGCACTTAGCGAATTTCGCGAGAATTCGAGCAAAACACTGCCACTATGAAAATTGAGCGAGATTTCAAAGCTCATTGAAACTTGGCGAATTCGCAATTTTCACGTGCACTTGTTGGCTCTTAAAAATTAAAACGAAAACAATTACGATAAAGTCCCGTTTATAGAATTTTTTCCACATAAAAAGTTTATAACGAGGTTTTTATTTTTTGAATGTCTAACAATGACATTCATTCGATTAATTACACATATTTGATTACATTATTAAATTGAAAATAACACTCTAATTTAATTTTGATGTGTAATAAACAACGAATTTTACTCTTTGCTAGAATTACTGTTAAAAAAAGACGCGTTATATAATCGAAAAATTTGTTTTATCTAACATATTTTTGTAAAGTGCGAGAAGTCGGAAAATGGCAAGATAATTTGATTCTCAAACTTCAAGTAACGCGATCGTGTGTGCGGATTGTGCGTGCAGCTTCATGTTTCTTCGCCTCAATTTCGTTTTACATAAAGTATTAATCTCATGTACACGGATGTTACACACTTTGAAAAATAATAAATAACAAGATTTATATATATATATATATATATATATATATATTTATATATATACATATTTATATATATACATATTTATATATATACAGATATCTTCATAGATATCTACATATATATATATGTATAGATACACACAGACACATACACAGTGTGCTTCCACTTATTATGGATAAAGAACGATGGAAGAATTGTGCATCTTAATATTCGCATAATTGTGATATTGTTAAATTATGCATTTAACGATTAGAGAAAAACGAGCGAGATTGGTTATATTATTATTAACGATTGTAGCTTCCTATTTGATACATTTCTTTCATATGTCACGCTAAAAAGAGTTTCTTTAAGTGGGAAAAGAGAGCAGCTACGATATAATATTAAATTATATATAAATATTTTTAAATGTATAAGATATAAGATATATATATATATATGCTGTAACACGATACACTTCTCCCATTTAAAGTCTTTCATTTAATTTATTATTGTAAAAGACGACTTAATACATCGTGTGATCTATATATTAAATGATTATTTTTATTATTTTAACAAAAATGATGGATATATATATATATAAATAAACAACATAAAAAAAAAACTTCAAGTAGATGTTTCTATGATTATTTATTTGAAATCGTCGTTTCGTGTAAAGGTATGAAGAGAATATTAAAAATATATAATTTTATATTTACATCATACACCTTATGCTTTACACCTTAACGAATTTACTAATTGCATTGTTCATTGCTTGAAATTATATGTGCACAAATAATTATTATAGAAGATATAATTATGTGTGATCATACATTTTTTTTTATATATTCTTTACTATTTTACATTTCTTAATTCTTTTATATGTATTTATATTTTAATTTCAAAATTTTGATATTTTTATTTTACGCATATGTCTCTTACTTAAAATGTATACATATTTATAAAATACAAGTTTTTTAAATCCATAGACTACCTTATTTTACTTAACAAATTTCTATGTCCACTTATATAATTGAATTATAAATTAAAGAAAGAAATATAAGAAAGAAAAAATCAAATAAAAACATATTTTTTTCTTATTAATGCGAAGAGCAGCAATTCCTATTTTTTATATTCACATAGATTATTGTAATTAAAAATTAGATAAGTCGTTTCTTACAAGATAAATGTACAATACCCTTAAAAGCCCAGAGGATTCAATTGCACGCACCCGCCGACATCGCATACGTTCCTCGAAATTTTACTCAATTTAGAAAAGATGTCCAAGTGCTTACCAGAATTGACTTGCTTCAGATTATATGCAACACGGCTGGACGCCTATTCAAAATATTGCAATATTAAATAAAGCGATATATTTGTAAAATAAATCACTAGTCGTATTCTCTAGCAGAATCAAACATTCACAAACAAAACATGACAAAATAAATAAAAATGATCAATTTTTGATTATTAATCAACTGTCAAAGAAATATTGTATGATATTGGACTCTATAAATATGCTTCTTGTACATTAAAAATTGATTCGCTAGATCATAATATTATAATGAAAAATTGTAAATAAATTTAGATGGTAGTTTTTGACCCTGTTAGAATAAAGAAAGATATAAATATATTCACATACCTCTGCGCACCAAGTTTCCGTCATTAACAATTCATGTTCCGCACTAGAGAGATTCTTATTCAACGACCTGCTCGCCCTGCTCAACACAACCGCCATTGTATACGTATCGAAAGCAGCCTGCGTGATTCTGTTGAGGATAAACTGTTCCTCTACAATCCCTCGTCCGTATTTAATAAGAACGTTCTCTATCACTTGACCAAAAGTCTCCACGCTCTGCAATTGCAATATTTTTTTTTAATTAATAAATCTATGTACGTTATACAAGATTTTAGCTCATCGTTTTTTTTTACCTTCGAGCAAAGCGCGGCACTCTCCGCCAATCTCGGATGAACTAAATCTCCAAAGGTAGGCGGCGATCTTAAACCGATCGCTCTGGTCGCTCGCTTGGTAGCTTCCTCGACGATCAGCCCTAGATTCGCCGTGGGATTTTTAAAGGCTTTTTGTAGTTCTTTCAAGTGACCACCGGCGTACTGGATCCCGGTGAGCGCCACGAACAGACGCAAAATGTCGTTTGTTCCTTCGAAGATTCTGAATATCCGCAGATCGCGCATCACACGCTCCAAACCAGCTTCAGCCATGAAACCCATACCGCCTAAGATCTGAATAGCTTCGTCGCATACCGTCCACGCAGATTCGGATGCGAAACACTGCAACATAAAAAGGATTTATAAGTGATTTATAAATTATAAATAATACATATACGTTTCCTGATTTGTCAACAATAGAATTGTATTAGATTTCCTACGTAGGATGTCGTCTGCGTATATCGCATCGTCGTTTCTACATAGTTTTTATATCATAAAATAAATATTTATTGTATGAGGAAAAAACTGGCTTGATAAATTAATGAAGGAACAGGCACGATCTTTTCATTCATTTCTCTAGCGAGTTTTTTTCCTCTATCAAATGAATCATGCCAAAGTTATTTTTCAGAATATTTGGTAACTTAGGAATCTTAATAGTATTTTGATATTTTTCTAATAATATTTTCGGAAGTGGAAAGTGTTTATGTATTGTATCTTTCTATTGAAGAGATTTATTATAATTTTGTAAAGCTTTATAATATTATCTTATTTAAATAAATCAAACTATTAATCGCGAAAAACAAAAGAATTACCTTCGAAATTGCTGCTTCTAGGTGATAATCTTGGCTTCCTAAGTCCATATTACCAGAAATTGTGTATGCGAGAGACTCGGTGATGTAATGTAGTATAGCCATACGCGCCAACTTTTCCTGTATGGTGCCGTAATTGTCCAACGTGCGACCAAATTGCACGCGTTGCGTCGCGTGACTCAGGGCCTTATCGAGGCAGTAACGCATGGTGCCGGAGAGACACGCAGCCATACCAAATCTACCATTATTCAAAATATTCATCGCAACCTGCAATTATGGCAATTATTCATGCAACATTTAAGTTTACGAATAAAAATTTGTATACATATACATGATACATATATTACACTTATACATGTTATGAAAATATAATATAATATATAATATAAAATAGATAGTATTAAAAACATACTACTTAATTTTTTTTTAATTTATGATGTACAGATATAACAAGTCAGTTTTTACTGTTACCTTAAAACCTTCACCCTCCTTGCCGAGGAGATTCTTGGCTGGAATTTTGACATCCTCGAAGAAAATCTCTGCCGTGTTGCTACATTTAATGCCCATTTTTTCTCAGGCGGCCCGCTGGTGACACCACCAAATCCCCTCTCGACGATGAAAGCCGTCACCTTCTCCTTCATTTCGCCCGTTTTCGGATCCTTGAGGGGCATTTGCGCGAAGACGGTCATGATGTTGGCGATACCGCCGTTCGATATCCAGATCTTGCTGCCGTTGAGAACGTAGTGCGACCCGTCCGCGGACTTGACTGCGCGTGAACGTATCGAGCCGGCATCGGAACCGGAACTCGGTTCTGTCAGGCAAAAAGCAGCGTACTCGCCGTTGCTGACCCTGGGCAGATATTCGGCCTTTTGTTCCGGAGTGCCGTATAGAAGTATACCCTAAAATAATAGACAAAGTGTACATACAAAGTTTATTGAAGAGAAGAAGTTAGAAAGACAGAAGAATAAATGAGAGAACGTATATTATATTCAGCTTCTCAAAAGAAGAAGAAAAGTGTTAGAGGAAAATAAAGTAAAACAATCAAGGAAGATGTGAAGAGAATTTTACCTTAAAGCCTATACTCTGATGCGCGCCGAGCATGATACCTAAACCCAAATCGTGATAGCCGCATATTTCGACGATTCGACTGTATTGAGTATTTGTCAGTGCTAGTCCGCCAAATTCCTCGGGCACTTGCAGAGCGAATCCGCCCAATTTCCAGAGTGCATCCGCCGTTTTCTCGTCCACGCATGCGTTCTGATCGTTCTTAACCGGATCATTTTCATTCTGATAAAAAATAAACATTTTTATATCTTTTGTGCATAGACATTCTTATATTTTACTGTTGTATTATACACTGTTTAAAGAGATATTTACCTCATAAAATCTCTCCACAGGATCAATGAGTTGTCTTATCGTATCAGTTTGCTCCTCGTTCATGGCTTCTGGATATGGAAACACCTGACTCAATTGCAATTGACCACGAAAGAGATTCATGGTGAAGGACTGAGACTCCTTTGTGGCGGCACTTTCCTGCTGTCTTTCCTCCTTGAGTGGTTTCACTGCAGCTTGGGTAGCCAAACATCTAAAAACATATGTTGTATGTAATTGTTAGTATCATTATATACAATTATTTCTAATTATTATTTATTGAGAATCATTATTTCAGCAATTATATTTCCTTGGATATAAATTAATATTTTATATTTTTTTATATTTAATATTTTTATATTTTCTTAAATATAAAACAATTTGCTAATAAATAAATTTACTTTCTTATATATATATAACATCTTCAATAAAATAAATGTATGCAAGGACTATTTCATCTTATTGTTGGAACATATGCAAAATGATCTTTCTTCTATCCTATTTATAATGCAATAGGCATAGATCAAGTTAATTCTAAACTGTAGATAAATAATTGATAAACAACACATAAATATATGACGTGTGCATGACGTATGCATATAAACATGTTTGACAATTCCGCGCACATGTATGTATAGACAGAAGACAGAGCGAAAGGTCGAGTCCAAAGTCCACATATGTTGAATGCACATGTAACTTGAACCTAAAAATATCATCGATACAAAATTGCTGCACATATAAATTTACGAATTTCGCAAACTGCGCAAATTTCTTATTGCGATTCGTTAAAAAAATATATATATATATATATATATATTTATCCTACAAAATAAAATAAACAAATGTAATGTCAATCCGCGAATATTGGAGTAATTTTTCTAATTTAAACTCGATTGAAGGGATCGTATGGAAATACGAATTAATGTCGTGCTAATTAAATCAAACAAAATTAACGTGATTTTTGACAGTTCGAAGTTTCCTACAAATTAAGCAACAGGTTGTTTGAATCGAACGAGAAACGATTTGACACTATACCTCGGTGTAATCTTGGTTCCTAAAGACGTTTCGAGAACCTTATTAAGGCTCTTGGGAGCTGACGAGAGCGTCTTGGTAATGCGAAACATTATTTGGATACTTGTATTTATTCACTGATAATAATATGAGATTATTATCGATGATAATTACTTTCACTTCACTTGCAGGAATCGAACAATTTTAATATTTATGCACGAACGATCGCTCAGTTGGCGTGAAATGATTCAACCATTGAATTCTGTAACATAGAGAAGCAACTCTTAAGTCATAATTGGATGGATCGCTGTCTTTGTCAAGAGTTCACTGATTGGTTGGTACCAGAGATAGTAATATCCTAATAAAAAACATTGACTTCGTATTTCACGAATTGTAGTGAAAATAAATAATTCAGCGTTTAGATTTATAAATAAAATTATTTAAGAAGTTAATACAAATTTATAAATAAAATTATTAAAAAACATTTCCTGCGTATGCAAGATGAGCATGTTTTTAGCTCAGGTAATAAATGTAAAAAAAAAGTGACAAAAAGTTTGCACTGACAGTTTATATTTTTTTCGCAGCTTTCAAAATATTTTTATTTTATCTATAAATTTAAATAATCGAATTGGTTGCTAATTATGTGGACATATAAATGCGGCAACTTATCAGCTGTGATCGAAGGTTAATCAGCTGTCAGACAATATGGCGGCGATGACATTTACACATATTCGATGATGAGTGCGCGATATAACGAGTGTTAAATGTGGTCCTCGGCATCGTTAATACCTAAAATAAAAATGTAAATATTTTAAGCTATGGGTTAAATGAGACAAAATGAAAATTTAAATATGTAAGTTGAAAATGGACCTGTCAAAAATCCATTGACACGTGCTAGAATTTAGGTTATATAATATGATCGCTCGATTCCCGCAAATTTTTTTTCATCTTCCTCGAATATAAAATAATTTTATTAATATATGAAATAATTTTTTTAATTAAATATTTTTTAATTGGTAATTAAATGATAGCAAAGATATATATGATTGAATAAATCGTAGATTTATGTACATTGAAATTATGGTATTTTTTTGTGTAAGAAAATATCAATAATAAAATTGAATATAATTAAATAAATAAAAGATAATTACTTCAAATTAATTCAAGATATGATAACGCATGATTTGCTGATACAAGTTGATAACTAGCTAATCTCTATTTTTCATTCTTTCAGATAAAAATATGCCTAATTCAGAATGTAATTTGCCACGATTATCTTTGACCAAGAAGTATGTAGAAGGAGAGATTACATTTAAAATTAGAATAATTGAATATTCTTTCTCTCCTCCTGCATATTTTTGGTGTTGCTAAAAATTATACTAATATGAGTAACGTTACATCGCAAAAGCTTTCGCTGTATTCGATTTTGAAAATCAAAAATGATGATATCAAGGAATTTATTTGTGGCTGGGGAGCTGCTGTCATCAATGTCAGTGTCACTTTTCCAATTAATAAAGTCATATTCAGACAGGTATGTAACTCAAATAATACTAATAATATATTTCTGCACATTATGATAACACAGAGTGATTATACTTTGTAAAATCTTTCTCAGAAATTTTTTTATCAGAAAATTTTAATGAAATTTTATTGAGATTCAGATTTGAAGAAAATTCTCTCTGATAATTTTACAAGTATTCAGCAATATATATTTATAGATTGGTCAAGTTGTAAAAGTATATGTTCAAAATATATTATAAATATACTTTTTATATAATTAAATATATGTATATATTTTTTTATTTATATTACAACATATTTAATGTTTTAGCAAAATATTGAATATGTGGTATACATTTTTCATTATTATTATTTTAAGTGATAAAAAATTAAAAATGTTTGGTAAATGAACAATGTTTATCTTATGAAAGCTATTCAGTTTTTCAATACATTTTTACATTTAACATTTGAAATTCTGAAGTGACTCAATTTTTCTTATGAGTGAAAGTAATTTGTCATTAAAATGTACACAATAAAAAACTTATTTTAAAATGTATGTAAAAATTTTACCTGATATTTTGAATAAAAATGCTTGAAAAATCAGAACAATTTGTAAAAAATGTATAAAATTTAAATCGTTACCTTGAAACACGTTTGATCATTGGTATAATAATTACTTCTGTTACACAGATTTTGGAAGGAGTACCGGTGAGAGCTGCAGTTGGGCAGATATCGCGAGAGGGAATACGACTGCTGTATCGTGGAATCTTACCACCTCTGTGCCAAAAGACCTTGTCCCTTAGTCTAATGTTTAGCACGTACGAAGGATGCAGACAAAGATTCTGCTTACTTATGAAAAACGACGTGCTGGCTAAGGTACTGGCGGCGAATATAGCTGGCACAGTGGAAGCTGTGCTGATGCCGCTCGAAAGAGTACAAACGCTACTGCAGGATTGGAGATATCATGACAAATTCAAGAACACGTCCCACGCGTTCAGGTACCTATTGACAAATTACGGCGTGTCCGAGTGTTATCGCGGCATGGTTCCTATCATATACAGAAATGGCTTGTCCAATCTGATGTTCTTCACCCTGCGAGATCAATCAAAGGTGTTGATGGGTGAACAAGATTCATTTCTGGCCAACTTTGTCAGTGGTGCGCTCATCGGTGGCTTCACCAGTACAGTGTTCTATCCGATGAATGTAATCAAGATACACATGCAAACAAAATTGGTGGCAACTTCGAGAAATTCCAGATTGTGATTCGGGATGTATATATATCTAGAGATCGAAGTTTAGCTTCTTTTTACAAGGGCGTACATTTGAACTATATGAGGTCTTTTATTAGTTGGGGTGTGATAAACGCATCGTACGATTTCTTAAAGAGCATTTTGTTTGAAATCGTTTAATGGAGAAGAAAAATATCCTTATTTGTATTTTCATTTAGGAAATTTATTTCACACCTCGTTGTATATATCCGATATTTTAGATAACAAATTACACTTTTTTTTTGTAGAAAGATGTAAATATCGCGACGCATTCTTTTTCCTGCTATAAATATGCGGGATTGCACATAGGAAAGAAACTTATAAATTTATAAGTTTAATTTAATAAACTTATAAATTTAATTATATGTATGTAAAAAATATGTATAAAATTTATCTAATTTTAATGGGTATTTGGAGATAATGTCAGACTGATTAATTTTCTTTTTAATGGATAACAATAATTCTAGATGATTTATTAAAAAGTACATTCTTTTTGTTTACAAAAAGATTGAGTGATTTACATACACAGATCATAGATAGGTGTTAATAATTTGATAAAGATAAATTTTTGATAATTTAATCTTTACACTATAAATATAAATTTTCATGATGTGAATTTTTAAACTCAAATATTTTAAACGTGCGCAAGTTAAGATGGAAAAAATTACAATTAAATTAATAAAATATAAATAACGATTTGCTCCAAATAAGGAGAAAAATGCTATTTTATCATGGTTGATAAAATAATATGAACATAATTATTCTATGTTTCATGTTTATTCCATAAATTGTATATAATTATACTGAAATACTTTATAAAACTTCTCTGATTACATATTATACATTCTATGGGAAGTCTCTGAATTTTGAGATGTCTAAAAATATATCACTGAAATTCAGTGATACAATATATTATGTGTGATATGACATTGTGTGTCAAAATATTTGAATAATCCAAAAAAGTAAGAAAAAGAGAAATATTCGATATTTATTATCGCAATAATACATATGTGATATTATATAATGTAAAAATATCAAAGAATTCTCTTATTTAAAACAATCTAAAAGGGAAACAATGTGTAGCTTATTATTTAAATACACTGCGATATTCTTTCATAGATATTAATTTCATAATTATACATATATGATGATGGTATTTTTAATTTGTGATATGTGTGATATATGAATTTACGAAACATAGTCAACAATTTGATCAACGAAACGTGATCTGATACAATGTTATAATTGTATGAATTAATAATTCAATATACACAAAGTAGTCACACAAAGAAATTATGTCAAAAATGTTTGACATAAATGTTAAATGAGATTTATATTACCAAATTGGATATTCATATTACTTGCGCTGAAACACAAATATGTAAAAGTAACAAAAATACAATATAATTTCGGAATCAACGGTTACAGCGGTTTTATTCCATTGTAACAATAATAGATACATTCATATACGTCCTGTCAAAATCCCGCCATATTGTCGATTTATCTCTATGAGTAAACTTCAGGTCGTCAAGCGAGAAATGACTTCATTCTGTGAAATTGATTCTGAAATGTCCTTAATTTTCGCAGACGCGAGTCGGTGGTCGGAGGTCGATACTCGAGAATAAGATATAGGAACCTGGGGCGCCAGGTCGCCTCGATACGTCCCTGGACGAACGAACCGGCGCTTATGCGCGGCGCCCTGCATAAATCGATGCGCCGCTGCTTTCTCTATCTTGGCCCGGGCGATATATACGTTAACACACGTATTTAGTTCGGCGCCTGCCATCAGGCTACCTTACCCTCGTCGTCTGGAAGCGTGTCGCCTCTCTTCCGGTCTAGCCTAACCGGAATTTTCCTACTTGACATCCCATTCCTATTCACACTTTACATTTAGGTAAGATAACCTCATATTCCATATAAGAGAGTATTCAACATATTTATATTAATATATTATATACAATTATTCATACAATTTATAGTATATATTATATTATTATAATATAATATATATAGTATAGTAAATATTATAATATATTTATATATAATATATATTATTATATATGTATACAATATTATATTATTATCCCGTATATATATATTATATTATAATATAATCTCTATAGTCTAGTCCCTAATATATTTATCTATAATATATATTATCTATGTCTCCCCTATTATATTCTTATCCCCTTATTATATTGTTCTTCTTATCTACTGTCTTTCTCTTATCCTATAATATCTAGTCTAGTAAATATTATAATCTCATTTCTCTCTCCTCTATCTTATCTTCTCTATGTATACAATCTTATATTATTATACCCTATATTATCTATTCTATTCTCTTATTCTAATCTAATCTATATAGTCTAGTAAATATAATATCATATTTATCTCTAATATCTATTATCTTATATATGTATACAATATTAATTCTTCTACAATCTATTATATATTATAAAATTATATTATATACTATACATATATCGCATTATATTTTGCTTTCACAATTATTTCAATGTCGGAAGAGTGCGGAATTAATTTATTATTATTTTTTTTTTGACATTTCGAGGCGAGGGTGATTTTCGCGCGCCTCGGAAATTGAAAACGCACCGGTACACGAATATCCCCTCCAGCCTTGCGCGCGACAGCCCCTCTCCTCTTCTCCCCTCCGATTTACGCTGGCTTCTCGCGCAGGGAGAGCCCCTATGATGAAGGGCCGTCGCTGGCGTCGCGAGGAACGGCCCGGAACAGCCGGGACGGTGGGAGTCGCGATAGTGCGGTAGCCGCCGATGTCGCCAGCGGTAGTCGGCAGCACGGCGGGCCTCGTCGCCGAGGAGGCTGACAGCAGCAGCGCGACGAGTCTCGGACGGTACTCGGTCGGCCCAGGGTGCCGTCAGCTCACCGATCGCCCTCGAGAATAATGAGAATCAACGCGACGAAGATGAGCACTCCGATCGAGGAGAAGATTGATCAGAAGCTCAAGGTATATGTATGTGTGTGTAGCTAGTCTCTCTCTCTCTCTCGAAGAAAAAAAGGGCCAAGGCGATCTCGCACGCTGACCGTCGATCTTCGATGATCAATAAAGCGCATCCGCGGGCTCCTACTCGGCCGAGTAAGCCTTTCTCTGGTCTCTCGCGTCTCGGAGATGTGCGGCGACGTTATCCTGGATTCGATGATATATATATATATATATATATATATATATACATGTATATATGTGTGTTATTGCGTTTCCGGCGTATTTTTTCAACGATTAAAGGTCTCCCCGAACCTTACTGAAAATGAGATTTTTGAAGATTAATTGAAGATATATTTCTTGTATCTCTCTCTCTCTCTCTTTTTGACGTTTACTCGACGGTGAGATGTTACTCCGTAATTTCGTTAGGAAGCGTGTCGTTAACGTGATGTGACAGATAGATACTTATGTAACGATCGCGGATATTCAGCATTCAAATCCAGTTATATTAAATTGCGAATTATGTTTGACATTTTAATATAAGTTCCAATTGAATATTCAAAAGGGAGAGTTTGATATAATCCTTCGAGAAAAGATACCGACCCGGATATATTATTTCTCTCTGTTGTAAGGGGGACAAAATAATAACGATCTTATTTCATTAATCTCGAGTACAGTCCGTCTCGTTTCGAGTTGGTTTATCCAGCAATGAATATTTGATGTTAAATGTTAATCACAGATTACAGTCACGGCATCATTTACCGCTAGATACGGTATGCGAGCGCGGCCTCGTGTTTTTTGCATAAGATAAGAGCGAATGAAAGGTCAAAAGAGCCCGTGTGTGTGTTTGCGACTGCGACTGCATTTTAGTCGGGTCGCGTTGCACACGTAATTCTATTCGTTACTTCGTCCGCTTCGACCAGACACACGCGTACATACTGATGAGAAGCAATATCATCCGGACGTCCCATAATTAGAAGACGCATTCACGGAGTGTCTCATCCTCTTTCTCCCTCGGGGTTTATCAGATTCGTGCAAAAACTTGGAAAAACTGGCCCCCTTCGAGATGCACACGTCTCCCTCAAATGAAATCTTCATAGTCATTCTCAATCGAATTGTTTTATTTTTTATTTATTATAATAAATACAATATATATTATTTTTATTATTCATATTTAATGTAATTTTATAATTAATAATTTATATTTAAATTTAATTATATATCGAAGATATATAAGTGATTTTCTTACATTGTATCTTACTTCGAGAAAAAATGTCTTTCTTAGTACAAAGTTTAAATAATTTCTTTTCTTTACGTTTTTAGAAGTCGAAGATGTGATGCGGAGAATTACGATTTTGGACTTGGAATTTTCTGGACCATCACTCGCGCATCTTCAGCGCATCCTCTCCTCCTCGCGTCAATTATTCTCTTTGCACTCTCAGATTCTCGTCGGCGCGTTTTATCATCCCGATGTGAAATTCACGGCGCGACAGGTGCACGAAATGTTTCTCGCGATCGAAACGTCATTAATTTCTCGCAAACGAGAGGCAATTCGGTCCCTGAATTGTCGGAAAATGGTGAGAAAAATTTCATCGATCGCGCGCGTTTATTAAGCTCTTTTAAATCTTTGTTTCAAATCGATTCGAGTTGGTTAACCGCAATTTTTTCGCTTCCTTCCAAATCGCATAATAGCTACATATATTAGCTATAGACGTACGTAGCGATGGACTATAGGATCTCAACCCTGATCGATATTGGACATAGAATCGACCCGCGAACTGTTTCCATAAACGTTAGTTAGTTAAAGATTACTGAAGCTTCAACGCGATTCTATGTCCTCCTTTCTAGATGCAGAAGGAGGAGGATCCAGAAAATGACAGTTGAATCTTAATTAATTTTAACTTACGCTCTCTCGTAGAAATAACTCTATGTTGAAATTAGCTTTGAATTTTTTAATTGCTGGATTTGTATCGCTGAGTTGTATTGCTGGTTTTTATCGCTGGTATTTGTATATCGCTAGAGTTCTAGGCTTTATAGCCCAAGAAACTTCAAACAGCACTTAATTGATACCTCCGCATCAATTAAACGAACCTTATCATTCGCTTTGATAGATGCTCCTGCGTATATATGTATCCCAAATTGGCAGTTTAGTATCTGCCATTAAGCAACTCTGCGGAGAAGATCAATATTCTGTATCGCAGATACCAATTAATTTAATTACTTCGGCTATGTTGTTAATAATGTTTTACTTGTCGATAATATTTTGCCACGTTAATAATGTGTATATAATATCAATATCGCACTGTGCTAGATTATATAAAAATTTGTTACATTTAATAATCTTGCTACGTGACGTATATCGCGCGCGTTGCAGAGTTCTTATTTTTATTTCCTTCGGACAAATTGCGATTTTTTTTACATCGCAGTTTTTTTTTATACGATAGTTTGTTACGTCGTAATAAAGTTCTCGATTCTGCAATCGCGTAACGAGTGTTTCGCGTTAGTTTGTTTTTCGAGTCAAAAGGAATGGAAAAAGAGAGAGAGAGAGAGAGTAAAGAGCTTATATCAACGACATCCATCATTTTCGCTCTTCGGATATTGAAGATTATTACGAAAAGGGTCGTGAGAAAATTCTGAAAATCCCGTTAAATATTCCACACGCTGAATTTATAGAGAACTATATATGATAATAATGTCAAACCGGAGAGAGAGAGAGAGAGAAAGAGACATAATGTATTCCGAAAGTGTGAAATCGAATTTTTTCTTCGTTTTATTTTTGAGACTAAAAATATGAGACACATAATCTTAATTTTGGAAAACTTCATTAAAATAGAATCTCACGTAAACTGACGTTATTAGCAATACTTTGACAATTAGTTTTTCACGAAACCCGTTGAAACATATTTCCAGGAGATAGTTTAGCGACCTGATAATAATTAATTGACATCGAATTAATTGGAACGGACGAATTGTTAACGGGGACAAATAACGAATAGATACTGCCTGTATATATGTGTACGTGTTCGCGTTTACTAAAAATATAATGTATAAATGTGTAAGGAGGACGTTCGGGAAAATCTGTTAAAATATAAAATGTCGTCCCGTTTTATCTGATTTTAACGACCCCGAAAAATTTCATTTATCAGCCAAGTTTTCGATTGTCACTTAAAACATATATATATAGATACATTATAGATAATATATAGATACATTATATATATATATATATATATATATATATATGAATATTATATATATATATATATATATATATATATATATAATATATATATATATATATATATATGTACATATATACATAAAATACATGCGAGAATCGATCAATTTAGAGCTCTTCAGAACTTTTGCGACCATTCGAGTACAATTTCTTCGACGAGATCGATTCGTTTTATGTAAAAAAAATGGATATGCATATATTTTTTATAAATTCACGTCCGATTCGATAAACCACTCCGATTTTTCAATCTTTATATACTTTATATTCTCTATTCGACGTATTTTTTTAAAATAAAAAATGCACATTTTATGCAAAAGTTTAAATGTAAAATATTGACAGTTCTTATCGCGAACGATATTTATTCCCTATCGACATCTTGAGAAAAATGGAAAATCAACATCGATCGAGGAAGGAGCTCATTAATGAAAGATATAGCAACACGCCGAGTTATATCCTGGATCCTCTCTCTCTCTATATATACACATATATATATATGTTACACACTTACTGTCTATAAATATTAACTGGGCTTTTCAATCATTTAACTGTTTTTCTTTCTATTTACGGTTTCCATCGACGAAGAGGATAATAAAAAGGGAAAGAGAACCAAAATCAGATCGCGACCGAATACATAATATAGGACAGCTTTATTCGTTCCCGAAAAGGATCGATTGATTGGAACAAAGTCGCCGAAAAGAAAATAATAAACATTTGTAGAATGCGGTTCTTCCGGCAAACCCGCGCGCGGCAAATTAACAAATTTGAATTAATTTAAGCCGATATTGCGGTCTCGGCTTGCGGGTCAAATGTAACAGCCGGATCACACGGTTCGTTCCAAACGAACGGGAAATAACGTAATAACGATAATTCTGTTTCGAATAATTGAAAACGATCCGGCTGTGTAACCTAATAAAACACTGACGTCCAATTAAGAATTTATCGAAACCTTTCTCTCAAGTTTCTCATGCATAAATGCATGGTTTGGCCCGCGTGCAATGACTTCCCTCGATCAATCAATACATTGCATAGAAATTTATTAATATCAGTATTCGGTGCCTCTACTTTTTTAATCTTTAAATCTACTTCCGCATGAATGTTTCCCACCCTCTTCCTTTCTCTCTCTCTCTTTAAAATAGCTTTTATTTCCTCTCTTTAATTCAGCCAGTCTTTATCTTGCTTTTCCTGCCTCGGCTCAGTGTTGCGAATGCAAACTACTTTATACGCCGAATATAAAAGCAGAGAAAATAATAGAGCTACACACACATGCGTTCATTGCACGTCGTTATTTTTAAAGCTAAAGCCTCACCAAAATATGGAGTATTTTTTAATCAATTGCGAAGAGATAAATTCGATTTGTTCTTATCAAGTTAAAAACGATCAATTTATGTGATTTATCAGGTCTACTAAAAAAAGCCACTCCGCGTATCTCTTCGCTCGAAATTCTCCATTTAGATACGGCCGTCTGTTTTCTCATATTTTTCGAGCGAATAAAATGACAGTTCTCGATGGACTTTGGCGCGGAAATGGGGTTTTTTTGTCAATTTAAATTTATTATCGATAGGTACGGATGGGGATGGTGACGGTTAGCGATGGGAAGAGCAAACCTATCCCGATGCGTTTGCACCTGTCGATGGAGGTATTGAAGCTTCAACGGGAGGATTTGGAGGTAAAGTGCCTTTCGATAGTGTGTACGTCTCATTATTCATTATTTATCGAGATAATTAATTCACGGTTGATGAGAGCGGATATTATTAGCTGCAACAGAATTATTTTTAAATTCCTCCACACTTATTTCGAACGTTTGGATTTTCCTGCGGATCGCATCCGCAGCATATCAATTAGTAAAAAAATGATGTGTCAAAAATAAGTATAGAGAAGTGTAAAGAAAAATCAAAATAATAAATTAATTATATTAGGCTCTTTTAAAATGATAATTAAATAGGGGTAAAACTTTTTAAATTTTAGTCACAATTTCTTTCATCAATGTTAATATCAATTTTATTTGCGCTGAAGATAATTTTTAAATTTATTTTACAGTATTTTAATCAATCTTGATTTACTTCTGTTTAATTTAAAAATAATTTTATCACCTAATATCTATGCTCTTATGCTAGCCTTTTTTATAGCTGGATTTGTATTTATACACATATCAAATCCTTTTTTTATTTATCGTGATGAATTTATATTTAATCATCGCGTCCATATAAACGTGAATACCTTATCGATTACGAATCGCGTTGTATGAAATGTGTCAAAGACGAGAATACATTTTAGCAGGCAGCGAATCACAATAAGCAACCTCTGGACGCCAAGGAGCGAATGGTGCAAATTACCAGGCAGAAGGTCGGTGGTCTGGGGCTGAGCATAAAGGGTGGAGCGGAACATAAACTTCCAGTGCTGATATCGAGGATCTATAAAGGTCAGGCCGCCGATCAGTGCGGTCAACTGTTTGTAGGAGACGCAATTATTAAAGGTATCGATAAAACTACGTTCACGCACGTGTTTGTCTTACATAAATTATGTTACATAATGCAACTTCCTCCCTCGTTTTATCATCATATTTTATGTAACGCGTATTTTATACATACGAAAAAGATAAACATCAGCTATCAGATTAAATGTAAATTTTAGATGTTCTTATATTATACTTGAAATTTAGTTTTAATATTTTTAACTATAATTTAATGGAGAATTTTCTACACTAAATTATAGCTTTAAAAAAATAATTACCGTTGAAATTTAGACATGATAATTAAATTTTTGGTGTAATATCTAAAATTTAGCTGTGGTAATTAATATTATATATATATCCGACCTCTTTCTCTACTTTAGATTGATAAATATTTAATAACAAGATAAGTCGAAAATTCTATGTATATTTTGCGTTCATTCTTGCTTTATTCGTGCTAATTTAATTCTACTTAGATTATTTTAGTCTGTATCAAAGCTATGATATCTTCTATTAATATTTGCTCCATATTATTCACACTGACACTTGCTGTGACGCGACATTGACAGTTTGGCGATAGTTATGTGTATAAGCACCCTGTACAGTTAATGAGTATCGATTTCAATCTTCCTACTTGTGTGCCAGTATACGCTCGCTCCTATTGAAAGAAAAGTTGACATTGATACGCTATTTCGTATTATACTCGAGACAATTAGGATCTTTCTCTGCCTCTCTATTTACTATGTATGCTACTCTTTGTTTATGACAATATAAGAATTTATTAAATTGCATAATTCGTGCTCTATGATTTTACAGTGAACGGAGAGTACATTACGGCGTGCAATCACGACGACGCTGTCAATATTTTGAGGAACGCCGGTGACATAGTAGTTTTGACGGTCAAACATTATCGAGCGGCCAAGCCATTTCTACAAAAGAACGGTATAAATTAGTTGTAAATTATCGCAAGAATGATTAATTTTATTATTTTATTTTATTTAATTATTTATAGTAATTTATTTAATTATTGCAAAAATAATATACATAGTTAATTAAATTATTGTAAAAATAATTGGCTAATAAATTGTATTGTCACCTATCTATACACTGATATCTTAAATAACGCTTGATTAACAGAGAAGGAAGAGAAACTGGATAATGTTGCCAATGGTACAGCGGACGACGGATGGATATCACCCAACAGACAAGGGGGAAGTCCCAGATGCAGTCATAGTCGACAAAGTTCGAACGCATCTTCCAGTTCGATACAATATAAAAGATGGGTGGACGTCATTACGGGTGACTATATTTTTTCATTCAAGTATAAATAGATCAATTTAAGATACTCTCGGAGCGCATTTTTATCCCCTCGTCACATTTGCTAACGCTATATTTACGCATCGATCCTAATATTATCCGAGTTTTATTTATCTCACGTTATATTATTAGTATCTCGATAAAAAGCGATTGTGCTACCCTGTTAAGAATGTTTTATATAAATACGACTTGTATCTTGTTATTCCTCTGGATCTGAAAGTATCCGCAATTTAAATACATGATACGAGCGTTTATGTATAATAATTAATAATGACATTTTCAGTTCCGTTGATGATGGCGTACGTCACGAGATACATATTTGGCACCGACAAACTAAGAAGAAACGCATTCGAAGTGAGAGGTCTTAATGGGGCGCGTACAGGAGTGATACACTGCGACGATAGTGCTATTCTCAGCCAATGGTTAAAATATATAACTGATAACATTACAGGATTAACGCATTTGCAGGTGACAAATTGATCGTATCATATCTTCCATGCATCATATATTTCAAAGTTTTCAAATATTCAAATAATCACCGATATTTATCCGATACGTATTGTGTCGAGCTTAAATTGAGCTTGAATTTTGATTTTAGATGAAACTATACAATCGCAATTTCGGAGTCGGCGAACGCATAGAATACATGGGCTGGGTGAACGAGGCAGTGAGCAATAGTAATCAACCGTGGCAGAGTTATAGACCGCGATTTCTGGCTCTAAAGGGACCGGACTTATTGCTGTTTGAGACACCACCTGTATGTATCAATACTTTATCTCGAATTTGATCAAAATCATTAATTTAATAATTTAATTTTAATAATAATTTTATATCAATTTTATATTAATATTTGTAATTATATATCAATATTATTAATAATACATTAATACTTTAATAATTTAATAATTAAATTAATAATAATTTTATGGATTGCACAATTGTAGTATAGACCAAAAAGTAAAAGTCTAAACAGAGAATACCACACCATCAAAAAGTGAGGTGTCAACAATAGTATATTGTTTTTTTTTACAATTAAAATAATATTAAATAATAATAAATATTGTATATATCGCAAAATTACATATATATTAAATGAAGATTCGTCGTTTTCAGTGCAATATCGGCGATTGGTCACGCTGCGCGCTGACCTTCAAAGTATACCAAACGATGTTCCGCGTGATGCGCGAATCCGAAAACGTGGACGAGCGACAGCACTGCTTCCTGGCACAAAGTCCAGGAAAACCGCCACGTTATTTGAGCGTCGAGACCAGGCAAGAACTCTTGCGGGTCGAGGCGGCGTGGCACACCGCCATATGTTCAGCTGTTACGCATTTAAAGGTATGCGTCGTCAAGTCCAGGTGAAACAATTCGACATCGTATCGTGTTTCTTTTCTCACGTTCTTTTTGTCGCTCTTTTAGAGCAAAACTTTCCCGGTGACCTTCAATAACAGAAGCGCGGGCCTGACGCTTGAATGGACTCAAGGATTTACGTTGTCGTATGAAGGGATTGGCGAGATCGCGTGGCGTTACAAGTTCTCTCAATTGAGAGGGTCCAGCGACGACGGTAAAAGCAGGCTCAAATTACACTTCCAAGAACCGGATAGTATCGCTATCGAAACGAAGGTAAAATTGAACGTCCTGTGTGGTTAATTTAAAAAATTTAATATAGTGGAATGTGCATTTACGTTTTGCATACGTTTCAACAGGAATTGGAGTGTTCCCAGTTGCAAAACTTGTTATTCTGTATGCATGCGTTTCTTACCGCGAAGGTAGCCGCGGTAGATCCTACATTTTTAACGTCGACCACTCCGTAAAGAGCTGTAATATATATATATGTAATATGATATAAACGTTATATTGCCGACGAAGTCACCAAGTGGATCACTTTTGTGTTCTGTTGTCGTTATACGGACTATAATAGATAGAGAAATATACGAGAGCTTGAAGTGTGTACGCTGAAAATTTGCTGAAAGGAGAGGAAGAGGAAAAGTAAAAGAGCAGCAGTAGAAAAAAAGGAAGCGACAAAAACTAGTCAATATATCCAAAAAGTATTTTTATCGTTTACATGTACGAATTACGGATCACAAAGCGGTACTACTATATTCATATTCATCCTACCAAGCCAATTTCACTATAGTATACATATGAATCTAACGGCTATTATAGTAATATACGCATCTAAGTATAAGGATTTCCGAATTTCTAGGAGCGGCAATTTATGGACGATTGCCCGCTTATGTTATCTGCTTTTGCTGTATTTTTTCTTTTTTTGGAATTTTTGAGAAACAATGTGTGTGTATATACACATATATATTTAATATATAATATATGCTTATAAATATATTTTTATTACATTTTAGTAATTTATTCTTGCTCTCTCCTGTTTTGGACGTTTTGGAATTGTGCTTTGAAAAAAATTATCGTTCAGTATTATAAAATAATAACATTGAATTAGAGTTTATAGAAATCTATATACCGTGAGAAGGAGAGGTTTACGGTTTTTAAGTTACAAAAATGACGAATAGTGTTTTTAATTATAAAAAATTTTATTTGTATATTTATATATATATATTGCGTACCATACATATATCAGGTGCCTTAAAAAACCATGAACAAGAAGTAGCTAAATTGAAGGAGGCATCAAATTTCTGTTTCTCGTCAATGAAGAGAATCGATCATTACACATTCATGTATTTAGACTAATAATAATGACTATGAAAGCAAGAACAAGTTACATTTTAGTAAAAAAGAAAAAGAAAAGAAAAATTGTAATTTGCAATTTTAAAAGAGATATATACTTTAAAGAATGTGATTGAATTGAAAATAAAACAGTATATTGATTAAAGAGTGTGATTGACTTGAAAATAAAACAAAATATTGATTCGTCCATATGATAAAATGTCAAAGTAACAAATATTACAGCCCTATATAGCAATAAATTATAATCTACAATTAGATGTGGCCACACTCAAATATAATAAATATTGAAATAATTTCTTTTTTGATGCAGTATTATCGATGGGGGCAACAAAGTTCTGCAAATTAAGCATAAATATCATTAATATCAAGCTAATAATTAACAGTCATTGAAACACTTGTAATTGTTGACTTCTCTATATTAGGCTACTATAACTATGTTCTATTGATGGTTTAACTTACACGATTCGCGAAAAACTCATCTATATGAATAATTCTAATAAGCGAAAAACGTCGTATATATATATATATATATACTGAAAGCTTATTTGATACGTAATGAATATACGAATGTCATGCTTCGACGCAACTCGACAGATCTATATAATATCTTGAAATATATCAATTATATCTCTTTCCAATCACTAGCTATAGCGACATAGAGTTAATTAACACTGTATATTATGTGAGTATATCTTATCGGTTTGCAATTATATTTAAAGCAATAAAATGTATAATGAACGAACAACTAGAGAAAAGCGAGTAAGATATAAACATATATATGTACGATAAAAAAATCTGAATACAGTAATAGTTACACGACGAGAAAAGAAATAATATCATTATCTATAGAATCTGCGAAAATGTTGCACGTTTTCCAAATGTACGCCTAATCGTTCTTTAGTTTCTTACACGTATATTATCATGTACGCTATGTTATATAGACAAGATGTAAAATTTATTGTATCATTTAATTTTTAATGTTGAGAGGACCGTGTTTTTTTCAATTTTTATTGCGTGTTTCGGGAGTTTCCGGTTACTCGTAGAAAGTGCCTACAAAGTAACATAGAGAAAATGTAAAAAAGTCCGCTCTTTTCTGTTTATTATATCATAAAATGTATCGAATGTCGATTGTACTTTTCTAGTCTATCAAAACATCAGAGTGTTTATCTAGGCGCATTTAATATCATTCTTCACTTTCTCTCGGTCGACGCAAGGATCTAAAAGATTTTCGGAAGAAGAAAATCGCCATTTTTTTATAAAATTCGTTGCACGGATGTTTATCATGTAAGAAGAAAAAGTATTCTCTTGCCCATTTTTTCGAGCATTATTCACGATTGATATAATGGGTATATATCATAGTATTATATAAGAATTAAATGATATCTTGAATTTAAGCACAGAGTGATGTGGCGACGATTTATAATAATTTAATTTGAAAACTTATATTCGTTTGTTATACATTTTTATTTTTCGATAATACGTATTTTTACATATCCGATTTGTGTAAGTTTACCTTAAAATTTGATTAATATTTTAAATGATCATTGAAGATTATATTACGCACTAATATAAAATCTATAATTTTATTAAATAAAATAAATTTTTTATTGAATAGAAGTGTAGGAAAAAGTATTTATAAAATTAAAAATCGCATATATTCTCTGTGCTTAAAGTTGAGAGAATTATCGAAAACTGCACAATTATACTATATAAGTAAGTTAATTAAGAAATAAATGGAATGAAGCTGGAAAAAATCTGAAGCAATTAGATCTAAATTACTTATATAGTTATTTATCGAGAAGCTACAGGTTGTTCTACATAACGAATTGTTGAAAAATCTCCAACATAATATATTGTATACTTATTTGTTATACTTTTTATGAATTAATTAAATTCCTTTTATACTTGTTAAAAAGAAAGAGAGACCACAGAAATTATATTTCAAATTAAATCAAGAATTTTTTAAATCTGGAATATGAAAGTATAATCCTGATAAATTTAATTAATTTATAAGTTTTTTTATATCCACGAGTTTGACAGTACAATTTTTTTTCGAATTTATATATATACATATATGATTTTCGAAATTCAGCTCATTCCATAAATTATAACAATAGCATATACAATAGCTGTATGCAAAGCGTACTTTGGCTACAGACTCTCAGAATATTCAACCAATTAGCAAATATTTGTGAATCCAGACCCTATATTGTTTCATTTGTTATTAGATTCATCTTCCTCTTTTTCTTTTACCTTTCTTCATATATTTATACTTATACCGGATAGGAAACAAAATGGAACAGTGAACTCGCGATGCCGGCTTAACATTAACATCGGAATCTTGCATTTCGAAATATATAGTTTATCTATTATAATGTCTATCCCCCCCATTGACAATATGTTCCAAAATATATCATTGTTAGAAGTTACAAATTCGATGCATTCTTAATTGCCTATCGGTTTTCTTTCTATTTATCTCCTTTATTATTTATCCTGCATATATATAATTATTAAAATATCATTATATAATTTAAAAATAAAAATGTGAATTTAATTTAATTTATTTATCATCAATTATTTTTCATATTTAAAAATTCATATTTGTTATTTATTATTTTTACGACCGCATTGTATTTTATTTGACTGATGTAAAAAACATCGAATATCATATCAAAACAACCATATCACGGAATTGAACCGTGCTTTTTACCGAGTTTCACGACGTAGTTCACGTCTACTTTCTCTGGGGGCGCATTAGTGCACGCGTCTCTCAGGTTTCTCTCTGCCAGCACCGAGTTTACTATCTAGTAAATTTACGGCGCGAGTTCTGATTGGCTTCTGTCAAGTGTGAATCCGCCCTTAGAATAAAATTAAATATGAAACACACACGAGGAGCCGCCATCTTTGGGTCATAAACGCATAACAATCTACCAGTCTAGGCACGCTATAGTTCACGATTACCGGCCATTTTGAATCATTCATTGTCGCATTTTGGTCTACATGACATGGATGTCGCGCGTCGTCGAACGCGATAGATCGAAGAAAGATAACGTGCGAAGCTACGTCGAGTTAGAGGGAAAGGCTAGAGAAAGTCGACGAATTTCATTGAGAAGTGAATAATATTCATCTCGTTTCTTTTCCTCTTCTCCTTATTATTTTTTTTTTCGGAGACCCGTTCGCGGATAATTCGACGCGTCGCGAATTTGGGGGGTCGAGAGGGAGAGAGACGGCCATTTCTAAGCGATTTTGATCTTTTTCTTCCACGATATGTCAGAGGGCGAGGCGTTGTCGCAGAAGAAGCAGCAACAATCGTTTCACCAGCAGCAGCATCATATCGGAGCAGGCCCGATGGCGAACATGGCATGGCAGTATCCGCCGAATAATATGCACAACATGTTTCCTCCGTATCCGGGGTGAGTGATTGATTCAGATGCCCGAGAGAGCGTCGTGGACAGGATTTAGCCATCGAAGTCGGCCATATTTCGAAATCGCTCGCTCGTACGCATCAAATGTATCAAGCCTTATTTTCACATTTTGTTTTCGATTCCGAACGTTTTTCTATGTTGAGAATATTTATTTATAACACGAAATCCCTCGAAGATGTATCTAGACGTACAAGAATGTATTTATGTCGAGCATGAAGGTCACGTATATGTCATACTGCAAAGTCTAATTTTCGACTCCGAAATCAGATTTTAGAAAATAAATAATATATAGCCCTGTTGTAATATATATAATCTTCTAATATAATACAACAATATAAATTGACACAAAAAAAAGATGTGTGTCTCGTAACTTGAGATGAATCATCCTCTACATACTTTGATTGTGAATGACCTCATTCTTGTCATCAACTATTGACATTATTTTTGATAATTTTGAGAATCTTGTATTTAAATATAATTAATCTCTTTGCAGGCAAATATACAATCCAGGGTATCAAGGCGTGCAGCATCAAGGACAGATGTTCAATTATTATCATACCATGATGCCAGGATATGGTCAGACTTTTAATCCACAGCAGCAACAGCAGCAGCAGCATCACCATCAGCAACAGCAGCAGCAACACCAGCAGCAACAGCAGCAGCATCAACAACAGCAGCAGCAGCAGCAGCATCAACAACAGCAGCAGCAGCAGCAACATCAGCAGCAACAGCAACAACAGCAGGGGAATAATCAGACGAAGCAGCAGATACACCAACAACCTCCTATACCCGGTACTCCCATGGCTTTAGATGATGATTCTGATCTTCCTCCGTTGCCACCAGGTCCACCACCAGCAGTTCAACCAACTCAGCAGCATAACAATCATATACAACAACAATCGATGGCTTATCCATCAGGATTGATGTATTCATTTCCCTATAATTGGAATGGAATGCACAATGACACTCGTTAGTATCATTCTTATCTTTTTGATAATAATCAGAGATGGGCAAAAGAGTTAACATTGTATTTATATGCATAACAAGAAATCGATTATATTATTTAATAATATAATTAATATTCAAATTTGTATTGTTCTAGTTTAACATAATAATATAAATTATTTTGATTATACAGATAATAATGTATAATATAAAAAAATATATATATACATATATTTTTAAATTGTATATAGGATTGTCAAAAGAAAATAATTTTCAAAAAAAAAGAAAAATATTTGTATATCGACAGAGCAAAACAAATAAGGTGACCAATGGAAGAATGACTTTCAGACCTTGTCATACAACATGACTCATCAACGTTCACTATTGCCATCGGAAAACAGTTTAGAAAATTTGTTGACAAACTATATTTGTCCCATCTCTGTAACAGATCTCTTTAAATATATACAGCTGTGCATTATATATATAAATGTGTTGCAGAATACACAAGCGGGCAAATTCGTTTTAACTTGCCAAACAAGAAAACAGGTCTCGGATACACGCCATCCGGCAATAGTGGCGCGGCGAAGAAAAACGTAAGCGGAACAAAAATTTAGCAGCTCAATTCAACAATAGCTTTCAGGGGAACGCATCGACGAACAATCCTAATTTCATGTCGAACGGACCTAATGCAAAGCCAACGGAACTGCCACCGCTGCCTCCGGCGCAATGCGAAGTGGCGGCTCCTCCGCCGCCCAGTGAAGAGCCACCACCCGGTCCTGTTGCACCTCCAGTTACGACGACGGCTAGTAACGCGATTTCCAGCGCCGGCGCTGCTACTTCCATCGCGGTCAATTCTAGTCCGGTTGGAGATTGGCCCGACAGTCTGAAGAATTACGTGAACCGATGCTACGAGAAATGTAAGACGGCGGTCGACAAGGATCAGGTTGAAATTATATTGAAGGGAAAGATCACACGCGCCGCGAACGATGGCTCGCTTTGGGTAAAGGACTGGGATAAGGAGCCTCTGCCCAGCATCCACAGCGAACGCATGACTATGACGATCAAACCTCAGAAGCCGGCGTTAAAGCTGGCGAATCCTCTGGCGAGCCCACTGGTCAATGGTCAACAGGGAGGCCTGCGCAAGACCGGGCTTTCCAGCTCGCTCGGGGCTCGGCTCGGCGCGCGTCTCTCTGTGACACACAGCAGGCGGTCGAGGACTAGGTCGAAGTCGAGATCTAGATCGAGGTCAAGATCAAGATCTAAGTCAAGGTCGCGGTCCCATTCGCGTTCGCGGTCGCGCTCGAGATCGAGGTCAAGGTCGACGCGTTCGCGCACACGTAGTCCGCCGTCACGCAGATACAACAGGCGTAGCACGTCGTCGTCGTCGAATATTAGCGATCGGGAGCACGATTACAAGGCGCTTAAAACGAAAAAGTCCGCGCGCAGCAACAACAAAGCGAATCATGGCAATAAGAAGACCAAGAAGACTAAGCAGGCTAAGTCACATTTCTATTCCGAATTTGGTTTAGCTACAGGCAATGTGGACGAGTTGGGTACCAAGGAGAAGCTACAGCAGCGTGCTGCCAGATTCAGTGATGGCATTTCCAGGACGGTGGTCAGCAGCAGTGTTATCAGAGACGATCCAAATACGGACTTTGACTTTACCGGACTCCATATTGTTGGCACATGCAAGGATCTAGAAAAGCCCTACTTGCGTCTCACATCGGTATGGATATTTTTCATTATTTTTATTTTTATAATGAATGGGACATCTAAACAACATTTAAATTTTTAAAGTAATTGTTATATAAAATTCAGCATAAAAAGATTAAGAGCCATACCCAACTATTATTATCTCTTTAAACTCTATACTTATTTTAAAATATTAATTTTTAGGACCATTCTTAGCAAAATTATAATATTATTACAGGCTCCTGCTCCGTCTGCAGTTCGACCGGTAAGTGTACTTCAAAATTCTTTGGCCCATGTCAAGAAACGTTGGCTAGCTGAGCAGGACTACAGATACGCTTGCGACCAATTGAAATCCATCCGACAAGATCTTACCGTGCAAGGTATCAGGGACTCGTTTACAGTTCATGTATACGAAACTCACGCCCGTGTAGCTTTAGAACGTGGCGACCACGAAGAATTTAATCAGTGTCAGACGCAACTAAAAATGCTGTATCAGGATCTCGGTGGGGAAAACCGATGCGAATTTATCGCTTATCGGATATTGTATTACATCTTTACGAAGAATACTCAAGGTTAATAACGAAATTAATAATATATTAAATTTCAGTACCTTCTAAAGTTAAATCTCACGCGGTATATTACATATTCAACTTTTGTTTTAATAATATTACGGTAATATTTTTATTATAGATTTAACGACAATTTTAGCATCTCTTTCGACAGAAGATAAAAATGACGAGTGTATAAAACATGCTTTGAAAATACGCTCGGCATGGTGGTTGGGTAATTTTCATGCTTTCTTCAAGCTATATAGAACGGCACCTCGAATGTCGGCCTTTCTGATGGATTGGTTTGTCGCGAGAGAACGAAAGAAAGCATTGAAATATATGATAAAGTCGTACGTATTACACATTTATTATTACAATTTTCTTAATATGTCTAAATGTAACTATTATTTCTATGAAATTGTCTTTTATTAGGAATTATTTTACTCTTTTAATTTATCAAAATAATTCAAATTTTAATTATTGAATTTTTAATTGTACCATCAATTTTTATTATTTATTTTATTAATTTTTATAAACTGCAAGACTTTTTAAATATTTTTCATGGAATAACAGAATAATATTTTAATTCTATTCGTATAACAAAAATTAGAAGAATGTAATGATAATATACGATTTTAGCATTTTTATCAAATAATTTTGTAAAAATTTACTATTTTTAAACGATTTTCAGGATAAAAACTTGGTTTTTATAGACATTTTTGAAAAATGTAGTTTGCTTTTTCTGGCAAATGCAAATATTGCATTGTTTTGGTATTTTTGCATTTGCTTTCTAAAAAGAATTTTTATTTTATTATAACTTTATCAAAAGTATATATAATTGAAAAAGTATATCGAAGTTCAATCGATATACTATTAATGTTTTTAAATTAATGTTGATTTCTCTTTAAATGTTTCATTAAATGCAATTTCAGTGCCACGCTTTGACCGATGATACCTATCGAGAAATATGAATTATAATTGCAGATTTCTGTTACAGGACGCCGTAGCCCAAAGTTAATAATTGCATATTTAATTGTGTTCTATGTATTCATTGCAACAGCCACATCTACATCTGCATTCTCTAACGTTTGCATTTCTTCTGCTGTTTAGCTACCGGCAAAATTTGGCGGTTCATTTCGTCGTAGCGGAATTGGCCTTTGAGTCTTTGGACAAGTTTTATGAGTTTGTCAATGAGTTCGGCTTGGTTTACGCTGATCTCGTTCGACAGCAAATCGACTGCAAGGCAAGCAGTGGTAGTCTAGGTGGTTGGTAGAAGCGAAACTTTCCTACCTTTATCTCTCATGGCGGAAGATAACTTAGTAAAACGCGCGAAAGAAAAGGGCCACACACTTAATATACATACACACACATATATACACACCCATATACACGTGTGCGTCGCATTATGTGTATATGCATATGTTTCGGACATGCATTTGTATATGACGCATATGCATATACATATATATATATATATATATATATCTTCCATTTTGCTGATATACTCGTGTCTCGAGTTATAAATTTTCCTCCTGGAAGCCCTACGTGTGCTGGCTCTATCTTTCGCACAAACTAAACTCTTCAAAAAGTCATCGTTCCACATCGCAATTTCATTATCGTCGGGCACAAAATCGCGCAAAAGCTTGGAACTTCGACTACAGCTCCGACTGTGAACATTTGTACATATGTTATACGCTCCTTCGTTCGCGGTTTTTCCTTCTACACGTACGTGTACATAATCACAAGAGGATATATATAGATAAATATGTGGATCGCTTTATGCCGGGGACTCGTGGAAATTGTACAAAATCCGGATGGATCGCACGTTCCCATTCAATCCGGCGCCATCTCACTGAAAAAGAGTAAACGTAGAGAAAAACCACCTCTTTATAATCGCAAATGAAAGAAAGAAAGAAAAAGGCCATTTTCGTCTCGTTTGTTCTCGACTTGGAACGATTCGTTGGTAGGAAACACGAATCGCTCTCTCCTTTCCAATCGTTAACTGTGAACACAGTGTTCGCGATCGATTTTCCAAGTATTCCTTTAAGTATTATCGTACGAAACAAAAGCCATAGCTGAGCCCCGAGGCAAACCGAGTCCCGCAAAGCGCCAAGCATCCTCTTTGAAGAGAAGAGAGCTTTGAAGAGAAGGCGACTGTATGGATTCCGTTTCACACAAATCCTGGAACGAGAAGACCCTCTGTTCGTGCCACTTGTGTTAACGCGAGAGACGTTCTTTTCGGTCAATGATGAAGCATTCCTGAAGTGCCGATTTTTAACAAGATCAAAGGAAGAAGAGGACATCGAAGATGGAGAGGAAGAGGAGAAGGGAAGAAAAAAACGGCAGGATCGTTAAAGCTTTTCCGCGGGCTCAATTCTTCGAAAGACGAATTAATTACTTGTGCATGTCAGTAAATCGGGAGAGAAGACGACGCGTTAGGGGATGGAGATAGAAGATGGAAAACCTGGGGAAGAGCATCGTTCCTGATGCAGACGCCTCATGTGATAAGCGGCATTCGGTTGATTCTCCAAACTAGAGTGTGGGTAGTAATTTTGTAATTAATTTCTCATTTGCGTAATTCATTTTAAACTAGTGTCCATGTGTCGCGCGCGAGACGATGACGGACTCCTTTCCACGTTAGAATCATCTTTTTCCCATTGTCATTGTTGAACTCTGAACTCTGCCAAGTGATCGAGACACTCCTGTCCGTCGTTTTTGCGCGCGCGCGAGCGCATGTGCACGGAAGCTGCATTAATTATACAGATTCGGAAAGGGATGATTTCATTGTATAATATTTACTCCGGTTATACTATGTTGTGCATAATAAATTATTTAATTTTCTGACGTTGTATATTCCTCAATTTTTTTGTCGCGTCGTATTACTATAAACCTAGCGCACTTTTAGAGGAGACATAAATTGCGACTTGTTTTTTTTATTCGCTTCGCCAATAATAAATAATCTTGTTCCTCCGTGTTGCGTCAAAGCAATTGCATGCCGCGACCGACATTCACACTCTGTCGTTGCTAATTATAACCGTTGGCGGTCAATAAAAATTTAAATGTTAAATAATTTAACAATTTACACGTGAAAAGAGAAAGAGAGACAACATAGAACATTTAAAGTGTATATAAAACAGTAAACGAGAAAACATTTTTTTTTTCAATTTCTTATCTTCTAACCATTAGATAATATTTAAGGCTCCTCACTATACCATTACATTACAATTGGAAGCGAACTTGATGCGCGAGAGACTCATACATATGATATATCGAAGGAATATATTCGATATTACTTGTATTCGACAGAGTGGATTTGTAAAATTGATTAAACTTTACAAAAATGCAGAATATCGTTACTCGTGAGTGTAGATTTTTCAAAAAGAAAGAACTCCGATGTATTTTTACCAATCCATTCTATCGATTACATGTAAAGTGGGACAATTTGTACAATTGTTCGCTTCTGACATAATAGAAATCGTAAATAGCCTTCGAATAATTTAACGTAATTTGATACATGATTTTTTTCTTTCTATTCGTATAATGAACGTAAACCGCGTTTGCATCTTTGATGCAAATTGTAGCCTCGTATTGAGAGAAGATACTTTTATCAATCACATCTTGATACATTTTATCTCAATTTTGCTCAACGACCTCTACAATACACTCAAAACGTACACAACACATTAACCGTGGATTAATTCATTAACGTCCAGTGTTCTGATGAGTTCGAGTCTGTTTCTTTTTCCCAATTCAAACAATTATATACCATTGATATCCGATAAGATTTTGATAATTTAAGGCTCCATTGTTTTTTCGCGGATGAATATCAAATGTATATCAAATTTTTCAAAGATCAAGTGTTCAACATCACAAAAAAAAAAATGTAAAAAACGTTCCGGACGTTAAGAGATTAATAAAATTGCCTCGTGCACGTAACAATTAGGAACAGATCGCGCGGAAGAGATCGACGTCAATATGAATAATTTCGCGTGCGCGTCGGCGTCGAGTCGTCGCGAGCTACACAGTGCGTAAATAGCCTTACGGTGTAAATATATTAATAGCGTCTCTTTTCTAAATATATAACGATACCGTCTTTGTATACACATCTGATTGATAGCTGATCATATAACACATTTTTTTTTAATTCACTTAAATATTAATCAAATAAAAAAAAGTGTCAACTATTAACGGTACGGCGAAATAACGCAGCCCTCGGAGAGAAATGAGAGATTGATCGATGATCAGTAGCGCGTTGACTGCGATGATGGGATCGGAGAGGGAGGAAGGAGGCAAAGAATGCGACGGAGGATTCCGTTTACACGGAAAGGGACACGAAGCTGTTATACTGGGTGATGTTGCGTTTTAGAATGTCGGCGCACGGGCCTAAGACCCGCTCGAACCGTGCCCGATCCAGTTTCACACATTTCAACGGACCCCTGGCCACTACGGTCGCCGCTCGTGGCCTGTCCAGCAGCAACGCTATTTCACCTGTACATAAAAAAAGTTTCCCGTCATTGAATATGTCGAATTTTGCTTTTTTTTTCTGTATAATTGTAATTATTGTAAATTTGCGCAAAATTGATTACACGGATGTATAGCTTCGCTTAATACTCGCCGCGACTATGTGTTAGATTGTGACGTCAAAGGCGAAAAATAGAAAATTTTTGTGTACCATTTTTAGGTAAAAAGATATTTGATGAAACACAATTTTAAATGGTTTTAGCACACTTTTAAAATACTACTCCGAAAACATTGTTTCCTTTGACAGAGTCAATCAACAACCGTAAAATAATTGAAACATCAGGCTTTGTCATGCGGAATGATTGCACATGTGCAAGGCTATATACGGATCAGGCCTCATCAATGTCATTTTACAGCTGTTGATTGATTATAAAGGAAAAAGGATAGTCTTCGGAATATTTTAAAAGTGTACTAAAATATTTTCTCGCCGCTGACGTCACAATCTAACATGACCGCGGCGAGTACCAAGCAGTCTTAATATTGACAGTTAATTTTGACAATTAAGTTATTAAAATGATCCTAATTATGCTAGATTTTCCATCCTATAATAAATTATCAATCATTTATCAGCTCTTCGATCTTGATTCTTACCGAAATAATCGGATGGTCCTAAACGGCCGACCTCCGCGGGTTCGTCCCCTTCCGAACGTTGCTGAAGAACCACCGCAGTTCCCTCGACGATTATATAAAAGTCTTCTCCCGGTTCACCTTGTCGAACTATCGTTTCGCCGTCATCGAATGCTACCGGCTCCAGAGCGTCGGCCACCGTGAGTCTTTCCCACTTATCCAAGGACTCTGTGTGAAGAGAAACACATAATAATTTTATTTTTTTCACAAATAAATATCTGTATTTTAAATAATTATTATATCCCTTTACAAATGTCTAAAAAATTCTCTTTGCTTTTTGAAATGGAGAATTTCGTGTAGGCAATCCGAAAATTTTTCGCCGTAATAATTGTTAATAATTTAGGAGACGTCGATGCCGAGGATGCAAACTCACCTAAAATCGAGACCCTGGAGAGGAACTCCTCGTACATTTTCCGTTTCCTTATAGTGGAACCCATGAGAATTCTGCGGTAAGAGTCTCTGTCGATGCCCCAAAGCTTCACGTCGGTCTTCGCTCTGACGGTGGCCGCACGTGGAGTTCCATAGATTAACGCGAGCTCGCCGAAGCTACCACCCTCGCCGATCGTCGTCGCCAGTTCGCCGTTGACGAATATCTCGACCTCCCCTTGATCGATCACGTAGAAGTTATCGCCTTCGTCGCCTTGAAAAGGACACATTGCCGCTCATTCATTCATTCTGACCGCGTCAATGATAAGCGAAATAAAAGCAGGAGCATGTATATATCAGCAACATGTATATATATATATATATATGGTACCTTGACGAATGATCGCCTCGCCGGGTAGAAAGGTCACGGGGAACATCGCGTCGAATATATCGGAACGCTCGTTCTCGTCCAGATGTGCGAACAGAACGTTCTTGGCGATTGCCTTACTCAGGGCAGCCATAGTCTTGTAGTCCTTAGGTACGACCTTCTTGACGTAACTGGTGGCGTCTTCCTCGAGACCGGCTCCGCCGAGATTCCACCCCGTCGTCGCGGCACCTGCGGACCCTGTTGCCCCGCGGGCATGTCCTCCGTGTCCTCCGGACTCGTTGCGATCTGTTGCTTGGCATCGTGAGCTTGTTCCTGCGCGCAGAGAAGATAAGAAGAGAGATGAAGCCTCACAGCTATAAGAGTGTAAGTCTCTTTAAGTACAAAATTTAGCGGCAGATTTTTTAATTCAAAAATTATAAAGATAATAAAATTGAAAAATTATTTAAAAATATAATTGAAAAAAAAATATAAAATAAATAATAAAAAATTATAAAAATGATATCTTTAGCGGCAGATTTTTTTAATTCAAAAATTATAAAGATATATTAATTGAAAAATTATTTAAAATATAATTGAAAAAGATATAAAATAAAATAATAAAAAATTATAAAAATGATATCTTTAGCGGCAGATTTTTGAATTGAAAAATTATAAAAATATTAATTGAAAAATGTTTAAAAATATAATTGAAAAATATATAAAATAAAATAATAAAAAATTATAAAAATGATATCTTTAGCGGCAGATTTTTGAATTGAAAAATTATAAAAATGTTAATTAAAAAAATGTTTAAAAATATAATTAAAAATATATAAAATAAAGTAATAAAAATTATAAAATGATGTAGAGTCGACGTGTGTTAGCATGTTCAAATTCATTATAATTTACGTCAATGTGTGCGTGTATGCGCACCATCATTATTATTTCTAATTTAAATTCAGTGTCATGCCACATATCATGGAAACCTTATGGAGATATTATCATATAATAGATTTAGTATAAGAGATTGCGGTCATTACATTTGGCATATATTAATCTAATTAATTCCATTCGCTCTAGTCTAATTAGCCTAAGCGGTTTCTTGGTCTCGAAACTTTAACTACTTTAAATACGAAAACAGAAGTTTCCCAATCTTAATTAAATAGAAACTAATTAATTCACAAAACCGCGATGTACGTGTACACTCTTATGAGAATTGGTTATCGATTGGCGTGATAAATGATGTGAAAATTTATCTTGAAAGTATCGAACGTATAATAAATCAACAGCTTCGGTACCAATGCATTCGTAAAATCATTTACGCTGTACTTAAAATATTTCCATATTTTGTTTTATTTTTATTTTATTGAGTTGATTCATAAATAAATTTCGTTTTACTTAACAAACTGAATTTTTATTTAATGTAATTGTAATTGTATTTTTAATGTATTATGCATCTTTTATTTAATATATTTTCAATAAATTTTAATCGTATACATTCTTCATTATGAAACACAAGCTAATTTATTTTCTTCCTCGAAAAATTTTCGAGGTTTTGATCCAAAAAGCTTTTTACAAAAATTTATCGATTTTATTATCATCATTAAATATTTTTCTATGTATTTTGGAGTGATGCAAACAGATGGAACTTTGATAGAAGAAGGTATTCGGAGAATAGGAAGGATAAAATAGAACTGAACACGAAAGCTCCAGAATTTTTTCCTGGGTTATTTTAGTCGTATGTGATCGAAAGTTGTGGAGCAAAATTACCTTTTTGCGATTGATGGTCGCTTTCTTTCTGTATTTTTTATATTCGCTATAGTTGCTGCACGTATACATCTGCTGATTGTTTCGTTTTAATTTAGAAGCTCAGTTTTGCAGCAGAAAAAAATTCAGTAATTACCTATACAAAGAGAATTTTCTCTTAGAATTTACCCTAAAATTGTGGCAATTGTAGGAATTGTATTTTATATCAGTTTCTCTGATTAATATTTACCACAATAAAAATATTAATGTGCCCAATAAAATATAAAATCTGTTCGATTAATTTTATTATGTATATACATAATAAAAATTATTATGTACATATTAATATTTTTTATTGTAATAAATATTTAATCAGAAAAATTCTTATAAAATTTTTGCAATACCATATTGTCCCACGATTACCATATGATTGTCAGGATAAATTCTAAAGAGAATTCTCTCCGTGTAGTGGAACTTATTTATGAATCAATTCAATATATGTATAATTAATTTTTTTGTAATGTACTTAACAATGATATATATATTTTATATAAATATACAATAATTTTTTGTAAATTTTTGTAATTTAATTATAAATGTTTTTCATATATAAATATATATTAATATTTATTATTATATATGTATTTATATAAAATACATATACTATTATTACGAAAAATGACAAGAAGTTAATTGCGCAAAAGATTTGCATGCAATTGAAAATTGTCGTCGTCAATTAATCGCAAGAATCGGAGCGACGAGGTGTTAAGGTCACCGCAGATAAACGCACACTCGAGTTTCGCGGTGATGTTAACGTGGGGTGTAAATCGTTAAAAAAAGAAGCGCAAATTAATAATTCATTAGCCACGAACGCGCGGTGCCGACATTCGAGACTCTCGCGCGTGTGTATATGTTTATCCCGTACAAAATTACCGTAAAATTATAAATTATATAGGTCTTTAGACATCATGTACATATATACCGTTTTATACGAGCGATGCACATCACCGGGGTGAAAGGGGTGCGAGCGAATAATGCCATAGGTCAGTTGTGTCGTTTTCACGCACGAACGCGTCATCATCTCTCTTTCTCTCTCTCTCTTTGTGACGACGATGTCGTGCGTCGTCGTTAACAGGAATATTCAAATCAGAGTGATTCGCATTTTCCCCTTTCAATTACCCTAATGATGCATCGCTAAGGAGTAAAGGAGCTGTCGCGACCGCGCGACCTCGTCTTCGGGGTTGACGGATGACTTTCGGTCCCGAACGCGACTTTCTTACATGCATCCCCTATAATACTTTATATTGGTAATAATAATAATATAGATGAGTTATACTGAAAAAATTGACAAGACTTTATTCTACAAAGTTGAATTTTGAGGAAATTAAATATGTGTAATTTTTTTTGAATTAAATATAAATTCAGATAAGAAATATTTTTTATTTCGCGCTTGGGCTCTATTGACCGATTTAAAAAAAAATATCATCGTATATTATTATTATAAATATAAATTATTTGAATATTAAATTAAATTCAATTATAATTATACGTAAAATCGAGCCTTTCTTGCAATCATTTTATATCTTCTTCTGCGACCTTAAGATTCAACATTCTTCATTTTTTACAAACCATATATGCTTCAACATATATATAATTTTTATATTATAATTATACTATAATATAATAAAAGTATAAATTATTTTTTTTCGATTTTTTTAATCCGTGTATTCTTTGCAAAAAAAACTTCGTTAAAGTATTATTGCTTGAAGTCGGTAATTAAGTTATATTTCTTTCCTCGAGAGAGAAGAATATCCGATCGAACTCTTCATAAATAATTACTAACATCGCTCAATTTATGAATAGGAATTATAGATACAAGAAACACGATGAATAGGAATTATAGATACAAGAAACACGATCGTAATTCGCTAATGATCGGCCAACATAATACGAACTGCAGCTTCTAATGAGTCCATAAAACTTAACGATCCGATAAATCTTCATCGCTCGTTTCCGCCTGCAAAGAGATGCGTCTGTTACGTATATTAAAAATAGAAGACCGGAATTTAATTTATCAAAATTATCCAAGGGATGAATATAGAACGAATTACCCTCTCTTGTCCAATTATTACAACTCATTTGCATTACATCTAATGAAATTTTAAACAATATATAAATCGATACAGAATCTCTCTCTCTCTCTCACTCTCTTTGCAACTTTATATGTCAAATTGTTAATATGTGTCAATTGTTAACATAATTGTAAATTAAAAAGAAATATTATGTTATGTCGATTGTAAATTCAACTTACAATTATAAATATAAAAAATTATACATACATAAAACAATTTGATAAATAAAAAAATTATTAATTGTATATATAAATTAAATCGATTTCTCTCCTTATTATCTTCAAGACACCAACATTGTGGCTTATTATTATTATTATTATTACAGATTACGTGTAATATATGCATCCGTAATTTAATAAAGGCGTATTATGTGATATATACATATAATAAAACTAAAGTTTAGAATCGTGGATCGCGAGCTTATTAAATCTGTCAGTTTAGTACGCATACCTGGCGCGAGCTTTCGGTTCGTACACGAAAATAGAACACGATTCCAATTTTGCAGACATAATTCTGCAAACGTATGTGTATTTCGTGTGCTAAACGAGGTATCAAATTATACAACTGGAATCTTGTTTCCAAACTATCCCGAATTATCGGATGTCGAAAATGGACTTTAGAATATCAAACGATCGAACATAGACGTATATATAATATGTATATATATATATATATATATATATATATATATGCATGTGAGTGCACATAACTGTAAATAACTGTTGTAGCTCTATATGCGACTCAATTATATATATAACGCGTCGTACATTAAATTCCAACTGAAACTCGACGGAATCAACAAAGACGTATGCTCTTATACAATCTCTCCAGTCAATGATGATATATAGTTGCACTCTCGCAAGTGTGTTACACGTACACGTACTCATACATCCTTGAACACACTCGTGACACAAAGAGAGAATCTTGTTCTCCTTCTCGTTCTCTCGGCGCAAGTGTTTTTCAGTCTTGGATCGTTTTCGCTCGCAGAACACGTTATACATGGAGTCGAAAGTGCATCAAAATGCGCTCGTAAAATGCATTCTGAATATCAAACGGAAATATAAAAATAGAAAAAATTCTCGAAAATCGATCAAATTTGGAGTATAAAATACAAATTCGATTTATACATTATTCTTCGATATACTGAATTGAGAAAATATAATTCCTAAATTATACGCGTGACTAGAATGTCGAGCGTGTTTCTCGTATCGATTTTCTTTTCTCTTAAAAGTGTTCTGCAATTTTTGCCTCTTTCCCTTTATTTCCAGTTCTCTATTTCAAGACAAACGTGAAAAGATTGCGTAAAAAGCACATATATTTTTATTCTTCTCTCGTTCTCAAAAAAGGCTAACTGCTATAAACAGCGCAGTAAAAGACCGTAGATGACGTTTACGAAGTTCAACGATTATCAAACGAGTTTATTGAAAAAATATAAAGTTGCGCTTTATATGAAAC